AAAATCGGTCCAGCCATTTCAGAGATTAGCCGGAACAAACAGACAGACAGACAAAAATGGTAAAATATGTTATTTTGGTGTATGTACCGTATTTATATTCATATGCAAGTAGTAAAAAACGGTTATTTCAATATTACAAACAACAGGCTTCAACATTCTCAAGTACCACAAAAAAGATGTTTTTATTAAAAACAAGGTGTTCCCGCGACTTCGTCCGCGTGGAATTTAACTTTATTTTTCTAAAATAAAAGTAACCTAAGTTACTCCTTATAAATCAGCTACCTGCCAAAAAAAAGTACCGTCAAAATCGGTCCAGCCATTTCAGAGATTAGCCGGAACAAACAGACCGACAGACAGACAGACTAAAATTATAAAAATAGTTATTTTGGTATATGTACCTTATACATATTCATATGCATGTAGTAAACATTACAGTAAAATTTTGTCAATAACATAATAGCAACTTAAACATTAAATCTCGGTATATCTATAGACTAGCTGGCCCCAGCGACTTCGTCCGCGTGAAATTTTATTTTATTTTTCTAAAATAACAGTAGCGTAAGTTACTCCTTATTACATCAGCTACTTGCCAAAAAAAGTCCCGGAGGAGAGTCATGACGCCCCCATGACTCCCATGACCTCCATGACGCTCCCCCCTGGATCCGCCGTTGCGTCTTCTCTTTATTCGCTCAGTAACGTTGTTACAAAAGAAAAGATTCCCGTCCAAAAAATAACAAGTATTGAGGTTTGATCTGGAGTCACGTTACTCCAGACTGATTTCTATAAATATTTAGATTAGATAGACTATTATTCTTGAAATACTAGCTAGACATTATTAAGTTACTGTAGCCATAATGTAGTAGCCCAAACGTGCCAATGAGGAAGCCCTTGGCAAATGCTGCACCCTGATTGGCCCGTTTGAATTGGATCAAGAAGTGCTCGTATGCCAAAAAGGTGGATTTGTATAAAATCGTGTATAAATCACTTAATTATTATTATTACTCGTCGTGACAGTTGTGGCTCAAAACGGAGCAACATTTACATATGGTCATCTGGCATTAGATCAACAAAAGGCCTCCGGATCAACAAGTGAAAAAGGATCAACAAAAAACTACCTATACGGCACGTCTGAGCCACAAAGTGCCCAAGGGGATATTTATATATATATATATATATATATATATATATATATATATATATATATATATATATATATATATTATATAGAATAGTGTACCTGCTTGCGTTGTCCTGCGTGTACCGTTAGCGCAAACGTATATTTCTTTAAATTTTACTAAATACAGTCAATTTACTGTTACGTGGCATATGGAGTTACCTAGTATCTATTTAGTCGCTAATAATATTTGAAGTGTTTGCCCACTGTAACATATCATATCATTTTTATAATGTTTTTTTCACAGAGGTAGAGCTTGTACGATCAGTCCTTGTGGGTACCTCTATCTAACGTATTACAAACGCCAAGCCGCTTAAATGTGAGATAAGTTTTGTTGAAGGTTGATACAAAGCTATGAAATTATAGGATATGGATACATAATATTTTAAATTCTTAGGGGAGGTGGCATCATATTTTTATGTCAATATAATTCAACCCGACATAATACTAAAGTTTAATTAATTATTACGATAATTAAATGCCATTTTTTTAATATTCCAGATGGCTGTTCTCCGAATTCTGCTGCTGATACTATTGTTCGGTTTGATACAGTCAAGTATACTCATAACTACAAAAAATAGATGCCCCAAGGGCATGTCCCCAAAGAAAATCGGAAATACTGTTGTGTGTATTGAGGATGATTATGATTGAAAACAGATAACTCTCTTATTTGTGGTACGAGTATCTGAGTCTATATGTCCAATTAGATGATCATATTTATATAATAAAAAGAGAAGTAATATTGTAGACAGAGCATTCAAAATAGTAGTTACATGTAATTTATATATAATAACTATCTAGTCTCTTTGAAGCATATATTATTTATGAATAATAGAATAGGGTATTTAGATTATATTTTACTGCTAATTTATTAATAAAAACGAATGTTTTTTAATTATATTTGTACTCTTTTCAACCTCTAAACTACCTCTCATATAATAGTTATAATATAATAATCCTGTCATAAAATAATTTATAGTATTATAATCGAAATTATTTTATTATAGATGCCTGTTGCAAACTATTTTTATACCTTTTTTATTGTTTGATTTTTTATAATATTATATTGTTTTTATATGACATAAGTCAATTTAATACAAAAATATTATAAAAAATATAGACAATAAAAAGGTATATAAAATAGTTTCCAACAATGCCTATTATTATACTGTGCCAAGATAATAATACTATTTTTAAAAAATACTTAATATCTATAATATCTACATTATCTAAAACAAATCGTATTAAAATAATAGTGTTGTAACAGGCGGACAACTGGATGGACTAAGTTACACGGTTAGTTGTAGGTAGGTACTAACTATAATTATAAAGGTAGGTAAATATTTTATGATAATTCCAAGATTATGTTTCGCTAAAAAATACTGCATCTTGTAGCAATTAGAATCATTATAATAATTTAATAATACATCTCAATACAACATTTTATTCTTACTTTAAAAGATACGAGCAAACACAGAGAAGTCCGATTTCTTGCTAAGAATATTTAATTAGGAGTAATGTGCTTGGATTTTATTTAAATCAAGTATTATCTATATTATTACGAATTTATGGAGAACGTAAAGATTACCATTCTAGACGACTATTATGTTAATTTTCTATTAACATATAAATTTGATTCTTTTACGAAATACAATTATAACTTACCTACCCAGATACCTTCCTTATAACCTTAACAAGTTGCTCCAGTCTGAAAGGACCGTTTAATAGGCAGGAGACGTATAATATATTGTGCAAGGAGCGGCTCATCTATAATTATCGGATTTCTAAATTCATGGCTTGCACTTGATATCCCCCAGTTTTTTCTGTTATTATACGGAAAAGCATGCTTCTCTATACTAACCTCTGCACATAAAAACGCCTGAACCGGTCTTAAAAAAAATTTATCACGAAGCCGTTTTCATTTCGAATATATCCGTCTATATAAACTATTTTTTATCTCACAAAGCACACGAAATTGCGGATCAAAACTATTTATCTATAAACACGGAAACACCTCGTCTTCTTTCCTGTCCGGTATTGTCAGGCAGGAGTTGGTCTTCAGCCGATCCATAAGTCCTTTTGCGAGTTTGGAGTGCTATCTACACTCGTGGCATATCGTTTGGTGAAGCTTTAAAGCCCAGCTGCGGCCAACAGCAATAGAAACAGTTCGAAAAATAGGTTTACGTATTCATACTAGCACAGTTAGTCACTCACGACGCTAATGCGGAAATAGGCGTTTAAACTAACCAAATCTTCTGTTAGTTTCATACATTTATAGAGATTAACCATTAAGTTATTGTGTAAACTGGAATAGAGAAATATAACTTGAATTTGACTACATGATTTTGTGCATAACAATACTTAATATCTTACGGTGATGTAATGCTCTGTACCTATACATGATTATTATTACAGGCCGTATAGTTATCAATAATAATAGAGTAAAGTTAGTTACAATATAGTATTATTTTCTTATCTGTGGTATAATCAAGTATATTATAATTATTTTATGGATGGATAAAAGACAACATAATTATATAGAGTTACTCCTAAGGAGCCAGGGCGAAAATAGTATATACATAGTATTATACATACACACGAAATTGAACGTTTTTGCCAATAAGCAACTGTGAAAGTTCTTTTTAAACCTACGAACATTGACTTATACATGACTTGATTCTGTACTTACAATGACATAACGCTATAAATTTCTAGGATCTTTATTGAAGTCAGAAATGGTATCCAAAGCTTTGATTTATATAATACTACTTAGAATATATTATACCAAGAAATATCAATGTTTTACCAATGTAAATAAAAATAAAAGCATAATATTAATAGCAGTCAACTTATTATGCAATTATTACGAACTGACTGTTATTGCTTGATAGACCAAGGGTTTATATCATAACACATTTCATAGGGACAATTTAAGGATACATTAAGATTTAATTGAATTTATATAGCTATCCAACATTAGACTTTAGAAATTGTATATTGAATGGTAAATATATAAATATTGCAAATTAATTCTTATCATTACATTTGTATTGATTACACCATAACTCTACATTGCCTATAAACTATATTTTTTTAAAACATTATTTTTAGGTCGTTATTATTAGGCACATTTGTTGGATAATAAAAAGTGTAATAGTTAAATTTGTGTTTTTTTTTCAAGTAACCTATGTCTCATATGCGACGATATATTGATAAAATGAGAAATAAATTGTATTTAGGTACTGCGATATATCCACTGAATATCTCCATCAGTTATTGCTATTATCGTATTATATTGCCTAGTAATTGTTTATATACAATTCCTTAGAACTCAATAGAAGTAGGTCTATATGTAATAAATACTTACATCGCTTAAATAAATTTTATTACCGAAATTATAAACATTATATTACATTTTCTAAGTAGCAATTATGAAACCAACTACAAATGTGTATAATGTACATACTATTAATAAATATATTTTTACTTACATAATATACCGAGATATACATATGTACATGGCATATGACAATGTCTCTCTACATTGTCTTTGACTAGAGTCGTCTGTGTGCTACCTGTCTCACCTATTTCAGCCGCCAAGCAACTTGCATTGCGTAGTTTATTTCGGTTGTCAGTGAAAATACAGGCTACGAAGGATTATCATCTTAATCTTACTGAATGGCAATGGTTTTAGGGTACCGTGGTGATGACATGATATCTGTGATGCTGTTTACTAGATAGACGAGGCGCTGTTATTACTTGCTATCAGGTGTGAAATCAATTTATTTGTCCTTTCAGTAAAAAAAACTATATTTTATGCACTTACCAGGAATATAAATAAGTATACACAACACTACAACTATATACAACTTCATAGTACACGATATTGAACTCATTATTTCCCGTGATACAAAGTCATTCAAACTTATTAGAGACAAATGCACAATTTGCACGGTCCATTTTTCGCTAAGTGTTATTATACCATGCGCAGCGCACCACTAAATCGTTACATTTGAACACGTATTATTAGATAATGACTGAACAGTTAAACAAGAAGTTGCTATACCGATTGTACCAGTACTAGCAAGGGAACAATTTGTTCGGGGGAGTAAAGAACCAATTGCGTAATTCGACACGGACTGTTCTACATGGGCTGCACTACAGCTGAACAAACACACCACTCATAGAATGTCTTAGTCGTTGGGATAACAACGTAAAGTGATTACAAAAAGAAACACATTCATATTATAACCTCATGAATAAACTCGCGACACTGACTTTTGTAGATAAGTATAATTATTGTTAGGAAAGTGTCTCATTGATAAGTCTTATCAAGTAATTACGGATCACAATTACAGGATGCGTGACTGACTGCATTTTATGCCTGCAATGAGCGTTATGGCGCAGCTACTGAAATTGTCCAAGTTGCAGCATCATTTGCCGTGTCCCCACCTCATCGCCGCGACCTTGTCGTGTATTATTATGGGTTTACAGACAACAATTTACAATAGACTGACAAGCCAACGACGAACGATAGTGAAACGGACCGATAATAATAACGCTGAATTCCCAATACGTGTGTGTCGCAACTACCGAGTATGCGGGTACCACCTATGGAAATTCAAAATGATGTTGTACTGACTATTTACTGCGAACTAGCATATCATTATACCTACCTGCACATAACTAGCATTTTTATAACATCCGTCATATGTACACATGTACATATAAAAACATGTAATTTGTTACAGCGGATAAAAGTTGCCGTTAAATTACAAGTTGTCAATAAGTTATTATGCTTACATTGTACAAAATTATTGATGGTGATAGTGCGGAAGTTGTTTTTGTGTATATCGAACAAAGGACATCCATCTTTCGAACAATTATGAGATTAACTTGGACAATAAACTTTGTCACTTTTAAATAATCATCAAATAGTGGTGAAAATCAATAAATGATATCCCGTAAAATGGCACACAAAAATATTTTAATAATTAGGTACTAACAATATTTCTGAACTGAACGGTTTGTATCGCTAAAACCGAAAATCCGAAATATTAATTAAAATTCTTATTATTTTATGTAATTAGTATTAAGTAGTAGGGGGATACTAGATACTAGGTACTCGTATTAAATTAATCTAGTTCATACTAAAACAAATAACACAACTTACACTTAATACTTATTTTCACACAATTCCGTATAAAGTGCGTTGGCGAATTAGCGTTTTTTTTCTTTTACGGGTTTATTAGTCACACAAACATTCGTAACTGCGATTATTATATTGTTACTGAGGTAGATATTGTACAAAATCTTTTGCATGAATGGGTACCCTGTTTCACCTAACTCTGCTTTCAAGCCCCTTGCATTGGTATTACGTTACGATCTATGGTATTGATTACATCATTACAGGATATATTAGATTATGGAGTCAAAACACCATAGTCCTTCGGAATTGCAACTGACGAAAGGTATGTATCAGTGAAATTTTAGAATACCTGTAATGTCTAGAAAATACGGGAGCACAATAATAAACACCTGTAGGTCGAAACTCAAGTTTATTTCCAACTACCTACGAATAACTGGTTTACAGATTACCTACATTACAATACCCAAGCATGACTGCTTTCGATTATATTTTTAAAGTTTACAAAGATTCTATATACCTAATTTTTTGACGACCTCGGTGGTCTAGCGGTCTAGCACACCGCTTTACGTCCGATGGTCGCGGGTTCGATTCCTCGCACGGCACAAACATTTGTATTCATGAGTACGATTGTTTGTATCGGTCTGGGTATTTCCTATGTATAATATGTATGTATTTACGAAAAAAAAAATTATCTATGTATTTATATCAGTAATCTAGTACCCATAACACAAGCTTTATGTAGCTTAACTTGGGTCTAGATGGCGCTGTGTGAATTGTCCTGAGATTATTATTATTATTATATTAATTTAAAATCTAAATCTGTTCCAAGTAGTGTAGATCTTATTAAAACAGCCTGTAGATGCTTACTGATATTCGTACATTTACAAAACAGTCTAATGTTACATTAAACAAAACTAATTGATTATATTAAACTTGTGCTGACTATTTGTCTTGTTTTGACCTATAAAGGCAATTTGTTATGTTAATTTGATAACATCAATTCTATTGTTATGTAAATAGTACGCCGCGCCGGCCAAACACGAGCCTCGTCGCGTGCATCGTTGTGTCAAATGTATTAGTTAATTATTGAAATAGGTACCTATATTTTATGATACAGTCAACACGCAGATTCAGTTAGTGGAAATCTATAATTTTATATCAAGTTACAAAAACCTATATAGCGAAAGACATTATTTATTTATTTATTTATTTATGTCATACTAAGTGAGCTTTACAGTATGCCCACTTAGGAAGATAATATACAAATACACACAATTATAAACACTAATTACACAAGGAAATAAAAGCGCAAAACAATATAATAATAATAATAATACCTAATCTTAATTTAACATACTACCTAAATAATCTACTGCCATCCTACGAAACTCCAGCAAATTACAAGTAAATATGTCTAGATCTGGAAAGCGACTAACTACACCGTTGAGTAGACTCAATGCCAGAGAAATAGGAGCCTATTTGGCCAGCTCTGTTTTTCTTCACGGAACATCAAACCAAGTTTCGTCTTCTTGCTTGTACGTAATTATTGGGCGCTCTTATGGACACTGATGTTAATACCGCTTGGTTACATTTTTCACCTCTCATGACTTTGACTACATATTCCATTAATGCAATCTTCCGTCTTACTTCGAGTGTGTCATATCCCACCATCCCCAACAAAAACATAGTAGGATATGTGACTCTATAACCATACTGCCTTTGATATACACATCGTATAAACTTTTTTTGGAGTTTCTCCACCATGAGTATATATTTTGACTCATGTGGGTTCTAGATAATTGCGTTACTTTCTATTCTATTTACTGCGTATGAAGACTTTATATAGTATTTTAATACTAAGTATGTTGTCTAATTATGAAGCCATTGTACAAATAACTACATATTTGTAACAACTAAGTATAAGTATATTATCATACTTCAGATAAAAACAATATTCATAACCTAGGAAAACTCACACATCGCCTTCTAGTCTCAAACTAACCAGAGCTTGTACTAGGGATACTAAACAACTGATAGTCCCCCTGGAAACCATTTTAGATTATTCCTGGTGATTGGGACAACAGACCTGATTTCATGCTGATACTATTATCAACCAATGGTGCAAAGCTAGATCATACTTTAAGTGCAGGCGGGAGCACTAGTCAATTAACACCCATAATTCCATAATCAATGACATTAAAGATTCTCATGAATACAAATGTACCTAACGTGCGAGAATCCAATCCGCAACCATCTGAATAATGCGACTTGCTAGACAGCTGGACCACCGACATCATCAATATATTTTTGTATATTGCAAGAAAGTGTATAATACTATTATACTATTTACATTATGTTAACACAAAAAAAAATCTCTTGAGGTAGGTATAATATATCTCTTATGTGTTACATAGATATACCATATTGATGTTATGGAAGCCACATATTTAACGCTGTGAACTATATAACTGAAAGACTGAATGGATTTTAAAGAAATTTGATATTAAGATAGATTGTATTTTTAATTGAGTTTACCAACACAGGAAATATATTTTAATTTTTATCACAAAAAATAAGAAGATGAAGTCACAAATACCTAACAGCTAACTAATATAAAATAACAGGATAAGAGGCATGACATGTTAGTCCTTTGAACGAATGAAATCGTATGACTGAGTATGGTATCGCGGGTATCACATGATAACGTTATGTCACACCAAAAGAATATTATGTGTACATATTTATATGTTATTGATGTGTGTATAAAAAAGCAATAACTGAAAACAGCACATAAAAGAAATCATTGGTATGCATAAAGCATTTATTAATTTAATAGTTGTTTGGAATAGCAGACAACCTTCAAAATAACAGAATATTTATAAGCATATATCTACTTTGTTATATTTTTAACATAATATAACATATACTAACAAAATTATTCAAAAAAGCCTGTATGATAAAAGGAAAATTAGCTAACAAAACTATAATTAACTCTAAACTTAAATCTGCATTCTCGAAATTTTAATATAAACTAGTAAGTAAGTTTTATATATAACGCGCTAAATAAATATTTTGTATTAGTACAGAATATATTATTTACTTAACATTAATACAATACTTTCTTTTTAATAATATAATTGGAATTGCATACAATATGACGGTCCACCGATGCTACCGTGTGGAAACATATATACATGAACATCCCTATGACATCACGTTATCATGTGACGTATGAAACATTCATTACGGAAACTGTATCAGTTGTATATCTATGGCAGAAGCGGAAGTATGGATTTCACCTACTTATATGGCATACTAATTTATTAAACTAAAGTTCCTTGTAAAAAACCAATAGATAATTTACAGCACTTTTATTTATGAATCGATTATGTAGTTTATTATTATATCAAATATACTGACTTCGACCTTCTACATTCTTTCTATAGTCTATAAAATAATACAAACTCATTACACAAATCATAAGTAAATTTATTAATTATATAGTTACTTGGTCGTCGACTACAAGGTCGTGTTGTTCGTAATTCATTTAAGAATATTTATTTCCTTATTATAATAGGCAGTTTTACTAAACCAACTTTATTCCTTAAATCCAAAAAATGTGAACATCATGCATTTTTGGAATGATACGTAAAACTGTAATGGGTTCGAGATACCGTTATCGGTAGGAGAGCAATGTGCTAACAAGTTGCATTAACATCACACATACATAAATGTTTTGCATTTAACTACCTGTACCTACGTAATATTTTTTAAATAATTAGTACGTTTCCGTGAAATTTTCAAGGCAAATACTACAGTCTATATCAATAAATATTGTTATAATAACATCTAATCAAACCCGAGACAAATTTCCTAAATTTATTATAATACAGCTCTTGTAGGAATTTTCCTTTGCGTGAAGTTTAAATAGGCGATCTTTGTATGGTATTGTAATATTATGATTTTGACCTATGATTTTAGTTACAATTTCGTTAATATACGTGACATAAATAAATAAAATAATATATCTAAAATTTTAGGATACTCTCACTAAAAAAATTAACGGAGGCTTAAAAAATATATATATAAAATATTAAAGTACTCACAACAAAAGAAATTTAGGTTTTAATCAAAACTGAAACAGATGTTACGCATAAATTTGGTTTCATCCGTAAGACCTAGATTTAATCACAGTTTGTTGTAACTTGTATAGGCACTGTGGAAAGATAATCATACCTGCTGCGAACTCCCCCCTCCTTTTTACCGCCACGTTAAAAAGGAGGGAGAAAATACTAATTAAAAAAGGTTTAGATAAGGATAATGATCGCTATCGATTGGCATTAAATAGCAATTGAAAAAAACATACCATATCCATTAATTTAATGTTCGACGCAAACCACCCTTTTTTTCACCCTTGTAACCAATGTTTTCCAACTTCCCGATTACCTATTAGTCCCGAGATTATTTGATAGTGCGACCTTTTATCTTTTTTTAGATCGCTTATTTTACAGCAGTCCTATTCTATTCTCTAGTCAGTTTTAGGCTTGTATACGCTTGTTCCTATTCCACATATATTCCTGGCAACGCGTATACCTGACTGTTCCAGATTAGTGTAAGCACGAAAATTATAAGCGAGATGTGATATTGTTTTTGAAAGTTCAGGGGCAGTGACTGGGCATTGTGCAAAAACAAGTTTTCATGTTATTATAATATTAATATTCTTTGTAGAATGCTCAGTAGTCAAACGGATACGAGTCGGGAAGGTCAATTCGAGTTGGCACCTTCTGCTAATTAAAATTGAGTGGTGAGTGTGTTATAACGTTTAAATTATTTAAGTATATATATGTTACTTGATTACCTACCACAATAAATTGACGAATTAAGGATTAAGATCGGCCAATATTACTCTGTGAACTATAGATAAAAATAAGTAGTCCTTACCAAGAAAACAAGCATCTTATAAAACAAATATTAAATGTATGTATTTGTTTGCATACTACGTAAACAATGTTTTATTTGGTAATATATACAAATTACGACTATTTAAATAATGAAACTAGATATGTGTATGTTATGGGTAAAAATATGGCAATAGAGTGAAAACATATGGATAAAAATAATTTAAAAGGAAGTTATTGTGTCTTCATAATTAGAGGTTATCAATAAATCTTATCGCCAACACTTATCCCAGAAGGGGTAGTCAGAGGCATTCTCAATATTCTGCGTCAGCATAAATGCAACTATCGACAAGCCCACATTTAGGGTGTATCAGCACACGTATATTTAAATCCAACGTGGCAGGGGCCGAACTTACGGTTTTTTCTTGGATAAAAGTTTGATATCGGTGTTTCTTTCACCGGAATGTCAAGCATAATTATAATTAGACTTTTTTTTAATCGTCCCTTTCATAATATAATTTTATGAACCTGTTTTTAAACATTGACTTTGTAAGAATAATATTTTAACATACAAATATTAAAAATTTTACTTTTCTGTGGGTATGTACATGAATCTTTCATAAGGGAAAAATGTGTGTAATGTAGTATAGAAGGCAAAACAATTACTGCTGGAATAATTATCTGTGCATTTGGGCACGTTAATGCTAGAAAACTTATTAGCTTTACTTAAAATGAAGTGTTTGTTTTATCTCAATTGGTTTACAACCAAACAAATTATGCGAATATGAACTCGCGGGTTTCGTCAGTGAGTAAACAAATAAACAATAAAGATATAATAACTCAAGAAACATAGATAATGTGAGAATTATAAGCCCAGCTGCACTCATGTCAGTATAATAATAATAATATTGAAAAGTTTGCAAAAAGAGATATACCTAATAACGGTAAGACAAAGAAAAACGAGTATAAAAGGAAAAAGTGAAATGACTAAGCTGATTTAATTAAGGAGGATACATTGCTAGCAAATCCAGATAATAAACCCCATTATCTACCACAATGTACTTAATAGTACTCGAGTACTAAGATATACGTTTTAAAATATTATAATATTTGTTACGCAATTGCGCAAATACTTAGATATAACTCGTATTAGAAAGTGACGTCTGCGAGCTCTAAAAACACACTAACATTAACTAATTTTTAGAGCATTGTGTTGGATATAATAATGTGACCTATTATTGCAAATAGGGATGTTTCATTCAAACCTATACCGTCAGAACAGGGGCAGGATGTATAGATACCTAGATCCTATAGGTATTTGAATTTAATAATTTATAGATAAGCTAGTTAAGACCTCTGATAACTACGAAGTATACGCGTGGCAATAAGTAGTAATCTAGTATTTATTAGTAGTAAATAATAAAGTATAGGAGTAAATTAAAGAAAATATACACTTCTGAGCTTAATTTTATCAATTCGACCGTATTATTGACGAGTTTCGTGTCCTAGCAGTTTATCACACCGCTTTACTTCCGATGGTTCGATTCCTCGCACGGTGCAAACATTCATATTTATAAGTATGGTTGTTTGTATCGGACTAGATGTTTTCCATGTATATGACGTATGTATTTACAAAAAAACACTCTAAGTATTTACATCAGTTGTTTAGTACCTATATCTCATACTACCCATAACATAAGGTCTATTTACCGTCTGGTCTGGGACAAGATTATTTATTATTATATATATTTTCTTTCAGATGGCGATCCTGAGAGTTCTATTCCTGTTAATGACAATATTATTAAGTTTGGTGGCTAGTGGTCAGTTGAAAAATGTGGATCCTGTAAAATGTCCCATCGACAAGATACCAATAAAACTGGGCACAGCAAGTGTGTGCGTACCTAAAAATTACACATTACCAGCAGAGGAGACGCGGCGCTGAAGACAAAGTACCCTATTACAGGCGTAAATGAAACAAACTGTGATTAGATAATTAAATTCTCAGTAGGTCTACGACTAACAATATTGAAAATTCAGTTAAGGTACTTACGTCGGTTACTAATTGTTTTTAATTAGTATATATTTTTAGATATAAAATGTATACCTAAAATATGCCTAATATAAGTATCTATATCGATATTACAATCATATTTAACATAACTTGAAAATTGCTACACTAAACAGTGATGCAATTCACTATAGGCAATAGAGACACCTCATAATTAATCTCAATAAAAAAGTTATGAGGAAATGTATGTAAATGTTATAAATTATACAATAAGCTCATAAATCTATATCATTGCCTAATTTTATAAATGAGATTAATTAATTATTAATTTTGTAACTACATTATGTATGGAAAATTTGGTCATCAACTACGCTGGTAGAAATAATATAATAAGGCACATTAAATAATCATTTACATATAGATATATAGAAATTATTGCAATTATAAATTTTAATGAATAACCTTATCATTTTTGATAAGAAACTATTATTTTGTTTGATTTCCCCGACTAATACCTACCTTAAGCAATATATTTTTTGAGAGTCTATAACACGTGTGTACGGAACTATATGTTGTAGGAAGATCAAGGATGAGAGCAATCGCGGGTTAGGAACCGTTACTTTGATAATTTTTTAAACTACAACTACGATCATACGACCCACTGTAATAATATTATTAATAAAAAATTAAAGGTTCCTTTTAATCTAATAGCACAATATGTATGTATGTAGATGTGTCTCAATGGGTAATACCTTCAACATCGGAATACGAGTAGGTCTGATTATGGTAAAAAAAAATGGTTTCAATGACAAGTAAGTACGTATATTTTTTGTGAATTACAATAATAAATCAAATTTGTAACATTTACAAACTTCAAGGGAAATATCCTTCAATATCCTTCTAATTCATTCATCAAGGATCAAGGATCTAATATACAACTTAATTAAATACAGAAAAATTAAGTTCCATATGTGTGATGCATAGAACAATGTTTTACTAACTGGGTCGACAATCCGTTCTCATTCCTCAGGGATGAGAATCCCCTGAGGAATGGCAACAAGTAAAAAAGACAATAGAAATAGAAATAGAAATAGAAATAGAAATAATCTTTATTCAAATAAACTCATTACAAGCACTTTTGAATAGTCATATTTTGATTCTACCACTCATTCGGAATGCAGATTCATCACAAGAAGAATGAGCAAGAAACTTGTGTGTTGCTCTTTTTGATAGATGTTTTTTTTATATAAATAATTACAGTGTAACAAGTAAGAGGCATGCGACAATCAACATAGAAATCGCTACGCACTCATTATTAGTGTAATCAGATAATATTGTCAGTGCTATGTATTTAAAATTTTTCTACAAAAACATTATTATCGTTAACGAATTCTTCAATTTTATAGTAAGCTTTTTTGCAAAGGAAGTGTTTTATTTGACATTTAAATCTTTTTTCTGGCAGATTTATAACAGACTCTGGTATTTTATTGTAAAACCTTACGCAATTGCCATAAAACGAATTACTAACTTTAGCCAAACGACATTTAGGTAAAATCAGTTTGTTATTGTTACGTAAGCTTTTATTAGTGCAATCACTAACTCTTTTGAAACTGTCTATATTCTTCCTGGCATACATGATGTTTTCATAAATATATTGAGAAGCAACGGTGAGGATATTTGATTCCTTAAAGCACTCTCGCAAAGACTCCCTGGAACCCATGCTATAAATGGAGCGAATGGCCCTCTTTTGTAAAATAAATATTGTATTTATATCAGCTGCTTTGCCCCATAACAAAATACCATACGACATAATGCTATGGAAATAGCTAAAGTACACAAGTTTAGCCGTTGCCACGTCTGTTAATTGTCTAATTCTTCTTACCGCATAAGCGGCAGAACTAAGTCGACTCGCTAATTTAGTAATATGAGCACCCCATTGCAACTTGGAATCTAATGTGATACCTAGAAATACAGTATCATCCACAAAATTAATAGGTTTATTGTCCAACATGATTTTTGAATCTACCGGCCTTACATTGGGGAGAGTAAATTTGATACATTTAGTTTTATTTGCATTTAGTAACATATTATTAGCCGTAAACCATTTTAAAACATAAGAAAGAGCACCGTTTACTTCGTCAAAATCATCAATATGTCGATTGACTTTGAATACTAATGAAGTATCATCAGCAAACAGAACTATGTCAGCTATCTTTTCTACCATATAAGGAAGATCATTTATGTAAACTAAAAATAAGAAAGGACCTAAAATAGAGCCCTGAGGAACACCCATTTTAATACTAGTCCCTTCAGACTTTACACCATTTATTTCGACAACTTGCATTCTATTATTTAGATAGGATTTCATCATGCTTTGTGCTTCATATCTAATACCGTAATGTTCAAGTTTGAGCAAAAGTGTTTCATGTTCAACGCAATCAAATGCTTTTGAAAGATCGCAAAATACACCGACTGCATCCTGAGACCTCTCCCAAGAATCAAATATATATTTAATGAGAGCTACACCGGCATCAGTAGTTGATTTACCGGCCGTGAAACCAAATTGTCGACTGTGAAGCAGTTTATTTACTTTAAAGTGTTGTAGCATTTGATTGAGCATAATTTTTTCAAACACTTTACTCAATACTGGTAAGATAGATATAGGCCTATAATTACCTACCACAGTTTTTTCTCCTGACTTAAAGAGTGGAGTTATTTTGCTGTTTCATTAAATTGGGAAAAACACCGTCAGAAATACATTTATTGAAAATAGTTACTAAATATGGAGCAATAACATCTATAGCGGTGTTAATAACTTTAACAGACATGCCCCAATGGTCTTCAGTATTTTTTAAATTTAATTGTTTAAATGTTTTAGTAATTGTAGCAATGTCAATAAATGTAAATTTAAATGTAACCGGACAAGAAACAACATTATCAATAAGGAATGATTTAGCTGTACCAGGAGAAGAGTCCAAAGAGGAAGTAATATCAGTTGGAATATTAGCGAAAAAATTTTCAAAAATATTGACAATTTCTTTTGTGGACGTTACTAGTTTATCATTATAATTTAGCGTAAAATCGTTATATGGACTTTTAACTTTGCCAGTTTCTTTGTTAATAATATTCCACACTGTCCTTATCTTATCCTTGGACTCTTTAATTTTTTTATTTAGATAATTAGACTTTGCTACATTACATACCTTTTTAAAAGTTTTTGAGTATCTTTTTACATAATTTACGAATGTACTATCGAAACGGTATTTTTTTTTAGCATATAAATCAAATAATATATTTCTACTTTTAAGAATTCCCTTTGTAGCCCATTCTGAAAATTTTGTTTTGTTAATAATACTGATAGTTTTTTTGTTAAAAGCCTTATTATATTCGTTAGAAACAATATTGAAGAAATCTGTATAAAGTTTGTTAGGTTCATTAGATGGAAGATAAAAATCTAATTTACTACGAACTGATATTTTAAATTTATTTATCTTATAACTAGTCAAGTCTCTTTTTAATAAATTAATTTTCCCAATTTTGTTTAAGTGATTTGGAAAAATAACTATTTGACCACCGTGATCAGAAGGAAGGTTGTTTATTATTATTTTATCTAAATACTCACTGTTGCTAAATATGTTATCCAAGCAAGTAGCAGACGTGGCAGTGATACGAGTGGGTTCGTGGAAGACATTACTCAAGTCAAAGGATTGAAATAAACTCATTAATTTAGTTTTTGTGGTATTATGTGATAAAATTTCACAAGATTTAGGAGATTCACATATAATTTTTTTGTTAATATTAAATACTCTTTTAAAATATCCTCCATTATCCTACCTCTTCAAATAAATTATAATCACTATTTGGAGGTCTATAAACACATATAACTATATAATTGTCTAGTTCCACACAGAAATTTCAATACAAATTCAACAGAAAGATTGCCAATATCACTACGTTCATTGAAATCACCACACACTATAATTTTTTTGTTAATATTAAATACTCTTTTTAAAATATCCTCCATTATCCTACCTCTTCAAATAAATTATAATCACTATTTGGAGGTCTATAAACACATATAACTATATAATTGTCTAGTTCCACACAGGAAATTTCAATACAACATTCAACAGAAAGATTGCCAATATCACTACGTTCTTTACTTTTACTATATTATTTTTCACCAATATCATAGAACCTCCTCTATTTACTATTTTTCTATTAAAGCAGCTGACAATATTATAATTGTTTAAGCTGAACATCATATTGCTCACTTTGAGCCAATGTTCAGTTAAACATAAAACATCTATATTATTTTTTTCTAAAAACAATTGAATAATTAATTCACAGCCGAGAAAACTTTGTATGTTCTGGTGAACAATTAAATACCTACCATTGAACCATTATTTAAAATATTAGGCAGCTGAAGCACCGCGTCTTATATGCATTTCAATTCTGATAGCTTTCCCTTTGTCTTTTTCAGCAGTTTAAATCTGCAGTCATATTTAAATTTTTGTAAATAAAAGGATTCTTACTAGAATCAATATTTATGTCAATATTTTCAGTATGTTTAGTATTAACATTAGTACAAGTACTACTAATTGGATTAATGCAACTAATAAATACTAAAAATATGATAACAATAAAAATAATTATAATTTATAGTCATAACAACAAAATATAAAGTATAACATGGCATAACAAATAATAAAATAAAATTATACCCGACTATTTAGCAAGACGGAAACATTTGGTACTAGCAAGCTGCCTTCACACATATGGCAAAAACTCGTTTCCTATTATAATAACGAAAATACTGAAGATATCCGGCAAAATCTCACCATAGGGCATAAAATATGATATTTGAGAAGAGATTCACATCGCTTTTAATTAAAAAAATATTATCTCACTGAGATTAATTACCAGACGTCCTCATTCCTAAAATGGATACGATTACAATACTTTGAATAATATTTTGATATTCCAAAAACTGGTTACCAAACTTAAGATCACAATGTATACATATAATAATTAACAATTTTAATATAAGATATTGTAAATCGGCAAAATAAAAAAAAAAAAAATACAAAACGTCAGCGGTACTTTAAATTTCTATGAATTTTAATTTTATTTATGTTCCAATTTTATGGAAATCTTTTGTTAATTTTACAATTTTTTACAAATAAGTGAATAAATTTTTACAGCCATATAAACTTTGCGGTTTAATTAACATAATTATACTTAGCCCAAGTAATCTCAAATACAGCGCGTTTTATAATATTATTTTATTATGATTAATTGGTTGCGGTCTGCGGTATGCGGTCTCTCAAATAGGAAAGAACGGAAGCTGTTCCTTTAGCGAGTATAGCGTGACGCGGTTGACGGAAACAGTTGCCCATAAGCTCCAGTGATCTGTAAATAATATGTTATTTTATAATCAATAATATCTACAGAACTGTTAATATAATCAAATTTATAAACGTGCCTACCCAAGAGTGGCTGTTAACTAACCGTTTACCTGGTCATCGTGCGATTAAAATTAATTAATGTCTAAAATAAAAGTACTCTAAGTCCCTCCTTAAACACATTATTTTACACATTAGCTAATTGTAAGTGAAAGTCGCGTCAAAATCAGTCCAGCAGTTTCGGAGATGTTGTGTAAGTATACCTTACCTTATATACTTTCATATGCATTTAGTGAAAACTTTTAATATGCAATTACAAAAAATCACTTCAATTTTATTTATTTGTATAGATTACCTTCATTGAATTGAATGAATTGAATGATATTACCTTAGATGTGTGAAGTTGCCCAACTCTGGCGGCACAGTAAATATACTGTTGTTAGACAAATCTAATACGGCCAGTTTCTTCAGTTTGGTCAGCGCGTCTGATGATACATTGATTTCGTCGATTTGATTCTCGGCCGCAAGTAATATTTCTAACTTCTCCAATTCATACACACAACGCGGTATCTTCGTAAATCTTAAAAAAAAACATAACATGTATTTAACCTTCCACTATGTATTTAACTACCCACATTACTTTTTCATAAACTAGGTTTGTTACCATAAACTAGGTTTGTTACCGGTGTGTTGTTTATACCAAATATCCTTCGATTAAATTTTTATCTCGATTGGTCAAGCCATTTAGGAGGAGCATCGTTACGAAGAATGCAAATCTGATCTAATATCTAACATGTCTCCGCGCTTCGCGCTCCGCTCAATTATATTTTTAAATGACATGAATTATTGTAAAATTAATATTACTGTAAATGACCAATAATTGTAATCTGTCAAATGCAATAAAATAACAGCTCTTTGTAATAACAAAAACAGAAGCAACAATTATTCTGCTTGAATTTCTACTCTATTGTTACCAATAAATTTATACACAGAACAAGAAACTTACTTGTTATTTGATATAACCAATTCCCTTACATTTTTCAAATCACCAATTTCTGGTGGTAAATCCAGTAAACAGTTTTTACCCAAATCAAGAAATTGCAAATGGGACAAACAGCATATCTGGGATGGAACATTTGATATGCTATTCGATGATAATATCAACTGGGATAACGTTTCACGTAACAGAGTAACACTGTAACAATTAAAAATATATTAATATAATTTACTAGCACTTAACATACAAATGGTACTGGTATGGTAATGGTATTACTTGCGTTTTATTTCTCTACCGGTCAACCATCAAATACTGGGGGGAAAGGAATTGTTAAAAAAATAATTACTCCATCACTAGCAATGAACTAAATTAGGTTGACCTCCACGCGGTTCCTCTTGGAATACATCGTGATTGTTTTTATTTGATGATAATGGAATGGGACACATGGGTCAGTTAGCCATTTGAGATAAATGCACCATGAATTTATCACAATGGATTCCAGGGGGAACTAAGTGAAGGTTAACGTGACATGGTACATTGCTAGCAATGGGATTATTAGTTCACATTACTAACAATCACCTTCCCCCAACCATAGTGATTAATTCATGGTACATTTGTCACGATGAGCCAACTGACCTCACGGTCATCCTTCCATCATCCACTGGCACCCAGTGTAAACCGTTAGAGCAGGATCAAATATTGTAGAGTCACGTAAATATAAAGAAGAAAGTATATTTTTTTTAGAAATTTCTCTAATAATTGCATTGCATCGAAAAAAATTTTGCGATGAAGAAACAATGAAGTTTTTATAAAAAATATATTCGTATTCTAATTTGCTATCTATATTAGTAGGTTGTAAAAATTTGGATGTTTTTCGTTATTTGTCTAAATTAACGTCTTAGTGTGAATGACAACTCTAGATTAATGTTACACGTAATACACAACAGACATGTATCACACAGTACCGTTCCAAGGCCGCTTCATAGATGTTGTACCTATATGGGAGAGGCCAGTTCAACAATGGACAATGTATGAGTAAAATAGTTCAATGGTTTTTTTTATATGCGATTGGAACTGTAAAGAATGATCGTTTTATGTAATTAAAAATTATAGTTATCGTCTATAGTATGTGGTACATATATTATATATACTACTATGTATACGACATATAATTAAAATTAAAGAAAAAAGTATAAACCATTCGTAATTGCCATAGTCCAAAATAAATCGAAATTAGTTCGTAAAACCAAATTTTAAACCCCTTATAAAAATAACAATCAGCAAAGAATTTAGATACTTACGATTTATGTTAAGTACATACTTGTAAAGCTTACCTATTAGGTATTTCCAACAATTTGTTTCTTGAAATGTCAACAATATGCACTTCTGCACTGGCAGCCGCCACAAACACGTCCTCCGGCACGCTGGTCAGGTCTCTCGCCGGCAACATAAGAGCTTGACTCTTTTTTAGCGTGTACCTATATGTTAAATTTAATTAGTACTATCTCTTGTGCGTCTTTGTTTTCTCGAAAGTTATGTCAATGTAGTTTTATCTTTCTTGAATTCTGTATTTTATGATTATAATATTAACGATGTGGTATCTTGCGTAATAATATGCGTAGTAATAAAATAAACTAGTTCTAAACAAAGCTAGTTAATAAACCTATATGTATGTATACTAACAATATTTTAGTTGCAAATTATTTTAACACGTATTTTTTTGTCTCATATGAAATACATGTAAAAACTTATTGTTATTTATTGAATGGTTTCATTACTATGCTTACTTGTCAGGCCAATCATTATTAGTGACTTTTGTATCACAAACGAGCTCTTCAGTGATTCGGTCTCGGAGAAACTTCATCATTCTATCTGTGCCTCCCTTAATTACGTCCTGTCTTACCATTGATAATTTATTGCCTTCCATATTAATACTTTGCAGTTGAGACAATAGCCCAAGATTTTTGGGTAACCTAAAGCAAAATATATTAGTACCTAAGACAATTAAAATAAAAATGTTATTACTACAAAAAGAAAACACAAAATATACAAACTTATTCAAATTATTATTCGTCAGATCAAGCCTCTTTAATGTTTGTAGCAATGATACATTTTCTGGTAATACTTCAACTTTATTGTCCCTTATGTTTAAAACAGTCAAGTGTTGCATTTGATCACAAAACTCTTCTGTGATTTCCTACAAAATAATAAAATATTTAATATGTGGATGCAAATGAAATATAAAATAGGTTTTATTGTAAAATAATAATATACATTGCAATTAATGAGATTTCTTGCAAGTGTCACAACATCATATAAGATAATTATAAAGATATCTAATTTTAAATCTTGAAAATGTGGTTGACCAAAAATTTTATAGCAATTTATAGGATAAAACAAACTGTATTCTGTAATTTCTTTAAATATTCAATGGTAAAGATTATTATTAACTCCAGGGATAATCTAAGTCGCCCGTAAGGAGTGGAATAAAGACATGTTAGATGTTTACAAGTAACAGTTTCAAAGAAAGAAAAAAACTGACAAAACTGTGCCTTCTAAACCATTTATTAACTAAAATTGTAGAATATTTGTTAGAGACATCTAGTTCTAATAAAATTACCTTAATATAATTATTAGCCAAATAAATTTCTTTTAAAGCTGTACACCCATAGAAATCGGGTAATTCCTCAATATCATTGTGGTTTGCATCCAGTATTTCCATTTTTCTCAGTTCGCCCATTGGCGGGAGCTGTCGCAAATTATTATTACTGATATTCAGTTTCTTCAAATCTGAAAAACAGTATGTAAAATATTTACAATCAATGTAATACATGCAATATGTAATATTACATCCTGACAATAGTTATGTGACACCTGAAAACTCTGATAAAGCTCACTAATTATAACTGAATAACTTCTCATATTGTCAAATTGACTGATAATCCAAACCTTGCGAAACTTAGTTAATGAACACTCTTAAAGAAATCATACAGATTACAAATAAAATCACCTCTAAGATTAACAATATCTGGTGGAAGCTCTTGCAACTGGTTGTGTGACAAGTTCAACTCAACTAAACGCACCAAGTATCCCATACCAGGTGGCAATTCTACCAATTTATTATGAGACATATTCTGGAAGAGTATTAACAAATATTACACACTGGTTATTTATGTGTTAATATTAACAAATTACTGTTTTACAAACATGATCTATGCCATTATATATAAGCCTAAGCTTAAGATCTTGTTTATAAAACTAATTTGTTACAATGTGATAATTTGTATTTACTATTAGTATATTTGGGTATATGCATATATATTTTAGTTTATAACAATATATATTTCTAGAAATTAAATATAATAAGCTTATATAGATGGCATATAGAACTTCAACTTACCAGAAAATTTAACATTACTAAATCTCCGAAATCTGGTTCAATTCTTTCCAATTGATTGTGAGATAAACTAAGCCATCTTAACTCTGTAAGTTTATAGAACTCTTTGGGCAGTAAAGATAGCTTATTATGATCTAAACTAAGATTAGACAAATTTTTTAGTTCACCAAATTCAGCAGGTAAGGTTGTCAAAGCATTATCATGTAACTGCAACCAAAATATTGTTATGTCCATAAATACAGGTAAAATAAAATTAGTAAAGTTGAATATAGTATTTATTTTATAATATAAATAGATAGAATTAATTTTATTATGTATATAATCTTGTATAAATTATCATTTACAACAATTTTAACAGTTATACTGCATGCCATCAGTATAGTGATGCATTATATGGGTGCAAAAAATGCTTAGCGCATGTGACAGTAACATTCTTATTTATTTGGATAATTTATATATAACCCCTATAGATAACTTAAGAAATTATTATCTGTCTATATTGTTATCTAATAAAAACAAAGTTACTTCTGTGAACTTAATTGGGGTATTTTCTTATTATTATCAAAACACTGTATATATCAGATTTTTGCACAGTTAATGAAAAAATGGTCAGCAGTAAAACAGCTAAAATATTAATAAGTACTAATTTGTTTGAATCTCAATACCTAAACCCATGTTAATATAAAGAATAATATAACAATTGTGCAAGCTTTTATCTTGTATTAGTAAACTATATGAATAAATAAGAAAACTCACCTTCATGGTAACAAGTTGTTGCAGAAGTTTGACATTGGGTGAAATTGTCTTTACTACATTGGAACTGAGGTCAAGCATTTTTAGAGATTCTGCATTCCACCAATTATTGAGATCAGATCTCGCAAAGTCTACTTCTTTACTCTCTTCCATTACTAATTCATCTATTTTCCATACATTTTCAGGAACTGAATTGACATATTTCAATAATTAATATGTGTAGGTAGGTACATACAACTGTACATTTACTCTCTCTTAGTTGAATCAGGATCAAATGATAATTGATGATTTTTTATATTTGATAGTATTTAAATTTTTATGGCATTATCTTTTAAAATTTAATTACAGGTTCAGGTACTTTATTTATATTTCCATAATTGTTATACACTTCTATATTTCTTTCACTTTAATTTTATTCATATATATCACAAAGGTCAGCTTATTGTATACTTACTTAGATTCAAAGTGATTATCTACTTGTTATGCAGTAATTTTATTGACTAAAATTTTAAAATTGTCATAGTTCTGCGATGTGCAAGTGCAATCAGATATTTATTTTCTTATGTATTCATAAATAAAAAAAATATAAATGTGACCACTTTGATACAACTTACTTATCTGTTAATAGGTGGAATGAACAAACATGAAATTTGATATATTTGAGCACAAAATTTTTTATGCATTAACAATTCAGAAATACATTATATAATCAAAGTGTCAGTTGGCCCCTGGCAATTAACGAGTGATTTATGTTATGTTATCGCCTGGTACAAATGGGGGGATAAAATGAAGTAGCTTCCGCTATCTGTTCGCATTGATCTTTTAAACTATGCAAGGGACTTTAATGCAGTGTTTAGCAATAAATAGTGATTCCAAAGTAAAGTTTATATGTATAATACATGTAATACCAAAGCGGATTGCTAGTTGTAAACAAATAATAAAAATAACAATAACTTACATTAAAATAATTCCAATTTCAAACATATAGAAATCGCAATTATAACATATATAAAGAAACGTAATTCAATGTACCTGATCCTAGTCCGCGATTGGATAAGTTCAGCTGGCCAGTACGTTTAGCAGATTTAATTAAACCATTAGATAATTCACTCTCGTCGGCCTTTTTATCTTGAAGGTGAAATACAGACTTATTACGAACATTTACTTTTGAATGGACTTGAGATCGTCGAGACATTTTGTAATATAAAGACGAGAATAAATATCAAAGAATGTATATTTCTACCATGGCATATAAATCTTTGTTGAAATATTACATTATATTAACAGAGCAGAAATACTGAATGCGTAATAACATGTTTATAATTTAATTAATTTCACATAAGGTTATAAGTTGATGGCTTGAATGACAGTTACAGTCATTTTCAGTGTGACCACGTATACTAAGAAAACGTGCTATATCTTCGATAAATGTAACAATATATGCTATTTAATTATGGGCAATATAATACAATACAAAGCTTGAGATATAATCATTATTGTTCCTAGTACATTATTTTTAGAGCTATATTTACTAGTAATTATTTCGTACGTAATACACTAAATACTACCTTTGCTTTCTACTTCCTGAAAGTCGTTTCTGAAATAATGCCTATAGTTTAAATTAAGTTATGTAACTTAAACTTTGTATTACTAATCAATGACTCGTCATTCAATTAATTGGAAGGAAACAAATATTAAATGTTACCAAAAGTTTGTTACAATACATAAATTAAAACCATATGCAAATCTGTTAAGCTATGTCTTAAATTAACATATCGGTATCATAAGGTATAAGTATACCTATTTTTTTAAATATAATATTAAATTTAATAACATGCATGTGTGATTTAAGATGATAAATATTTTATTTATATATTGGAAATGGGATGGATATTTGTGGAATATTATTTTAATTTATTAATTTACTTTTTCGTTTCATAAATAAAACAAACCACCTAAAAAAGAATACTTGAACTGTAGTATTATTTTAATTCTAATATTATATTTATATAAATTGGAGAGATCCTAGAGAAAAGGAGACAGTTAATTACGTATATTTGTTTAAAAAAATACCCTTTTGCGAGAAATTTAATTGTAAATAATTTATTATATTAAATCTTTTATAACTTTATTTTAATTCTAATATTATATTTATATAAATTGGAGAGATTCTAGAGAAAATGAGACAGTTAATTACGTATATTTGTTTAAAAAAATACCCTTTTGCGAGAAATTTAATTGTAAATAATTTATTATATTAAATCTTTTATAACTTTATTTTAATTCTAATATTATATTTATATAAATTGGAGAGCTCCTAGAGAAAAGGAGACAGTTAATTACGTATATTTATTTAAAAAAATACCCTTTTGCGAGAAATTTATTATATAGAAATTTATTTATTTGTAATAATAAGCGCATTGTGTTGCATATATGGAATCTTGGGTTCGATTATCTATTGAAAATATGTACAAGCTTATGATACAGGATCTCACAATATGTAATTATTATTTTAATATAGGTAGGTAAGTAGTTATTGTTACAAAAAAATAAACCTCGGTCATCTAGCCATTTAGTACAATGCTTTACTTCCTACAGTCGCTGGCTACATTGGTTATATTCTTATTAATAATTACCTCCAAAATTTTTGTGGAAAATCACGGACACGTAAATTGTGTTACTGTTATAAGAACTATCGTCATTTTTATCCTCTAACATAATTTTATACAATGAATTGGTATCTATTATTACAAATAAGTTAACACTGTAGGTACTAGCTATAATACAATATTAATTACTGTATTATTTTAATGTTAGATGGAATTCACATTATAATTTAAATAATGAAAACCTAATATTTGTATCAAATGGTTTGAGTAACATATTCAAAGAGTCAATAAATTGTCAGAATATTCTTAATATATCATTTTCTTAGTCGCCAGTTCAAGTAAAACGTTTCAAACTAATTCAGAACAAAAACAATCTTATTTTAAATTATACGTTTTTAAAATTATGATGTTGACAGTTCTCTCGCTCTCTTAAATATAAGATATTGAAGAAAATGTAATAGATATCAGAATATTATCGAATAAAATAAGTTAATGTGCTAATATCTTTTACCCTTCACTGTGAAGGAAAACGAAACAATCTTTTTTACCTACTACAAAAACATTACGTAAAGTTTTGATACTTATACTTAAATTGTACGTATCAATTTTTGACTTAAATGGTATATTTAATTACCATTTATTTAGCGGAACTTTATTGTTTAATAAATAAAAAGGAATTAATTTAACTTTAACAAATCTACATAAATCTCACTATCTAATCTAAATATGACACTCCCGTTTAAATCAGGACAGTTTGGTAGCCATAATTGATTTATTAAACGCTTAACATTTTTATTAATAGTTTAGTAAATAATACCTCAGTTGCTGTTACGCTTAGCTATATTTAGTTTTTTTAAGTCCAAATCAGTCTGTTTGATCATTAAAGAAGTTAAATTATACAATTATATATTATAATTAACTAAACAGTTTTCTTTTTTATGCAACCGAACTTATGCCTCCCTGCTGCAATACCAGGGAATTTACAGGTATATTTCCTTTTAAATAGCAATATGTCTACTCTTGATGATTTCAATACGGGGCCGAATATTACTTGTAATTACCTATAGTAAAATGGTGCTCCATAAAATGGCAAAGAAAGGCTTTTTGTACAAAGGCCAATTTTAAGTTAAGTAAATATTTGTAACTAATTCATGTCATTTTATTGTTTAATTTCCAATTGTAATAGCATAGATAAGAGGATATCATAATAAAAAGTTAGAACGATATAAACTATCAGAGGTCATCATACATTGATATACATTGTAATTTACTAACATAGTTTATCAGTTGCTAACAACATAATATGAATGGATATCCGAATTTAATTAATTAATTAGATAAACCTTTGATAATGTCAAATATCATATTGATTCGACTACTTCTTATTTCTACTTCTTCTATATACTTCTCTTACTTACGCGAGTTTCTACGTACTTCAATCTGGTATGTTGTACTCTAGGACGTCAGTACATCAGACAGAGTATACCTATTGTTAGTAAACTATTTAACAATTGTATAAATTACCGATGTTTCCACAATGTTATAAATGTCTTGGTTCTGCGCCGACTGGAGATATACTATATATATATATACAATTGTAAACGACTACAAAAAAATGTAACAAGCAGTTACTGGTGGCTTTCACTGCTCATATTCTAGTTAACCCTAATCTTGACAGCAAACATTTCTAGAATAATGTTTATCACTCATGTTTATCACACAATTATAGATGAGTAGACATGAAACAAGTCATAGTATAGTTAATATTATTCAAATATATTCTCTTAGTAATTCTACTTTATTTTTATCCAAGGTTTAATGACCCAATCGTAAGACTAATGGTTCGAACACCATTCTGCTGTGAACTGAGCCGAAAGAAATGTTTTGACGTCCTTTTCGTGCCTTTATAAAAACATTTTTAGCTCCTAAGCATTATCAGACAAAAGAAGTTAGTCTTCCTATAACGTCTTAAATTTTTACTTTAGATGATTTGATTTTTTCGATTTCATAAGTTTACTTTTAGGTAGTTAGGTTCAGTTACCAAGTCACGAAATGGGTTCTAATCGATCGAAATTCAGTGTAAAGAGAGTGATTTTAGTATTCTGGTGTTTAGTAGTATTAATGGCAGAGTCAAGCTTTAGTGCGCGTTGCAAGCTCCGGAAGTATACACACGAAGCCATTCAAACTGATCTTAACGGAAGACGGTGCTGGGATGACGTTAAAATAATGGGATGTTGGGGATACTGTTTGTCTCACGAGGTAAGTGGTTAGGTACTATCGGCCAACTAGTAGGTACAGCCAATCGGCCAATTCAATTTTGGAAACAAACACTTGCATTGCTTTCACGTTTATTTATATTCACATATATTTTGAATATATGCTATTTAGCATCACGACACAGTCGTTACATAAGAAGAAATTCTAATCAAAATCTAAGTTACTACTACTATAGACCTACTATCAGCTCTATCCGGCGATGTAATGCAACAAAATCATGTATCGCCCATAGTCGACGGGAAAGGCTCACCCTCGGCTCATTTCTTTCACACAGAATCGTGGTTATTTGTTAAAATATATTATTTTGAATATGAGTATAAACGCTGATAGATACGAGTATATATCAGTTATACTCGTATTTATCAGTTCATATAAATCCGGAGCCTGCTTGTAATATAATATAAGATTTTAATTTTTGTGGGAATGTCACCTAATTTTATTTCACATATTTTAGATTTCAGACTGGCAGTTCCCGTACAAGGAGTCATTTCACCCTGTTTGTGTACATAGCGAGAGAAAGCACGCATCCGCTAAACTACGACACTGCGATCCTGGAGTAGTATCAGGCACTGAAATTTACCATTATGTCGAAGCATCTAGTTGCAAGTGTCAGGTACAACAGACATAATTCATAATTATTATTGATGTCATTAACGTTAGTTAGAGTCGTAAATATAAATCCAGACCTGTCAGGATACATATTATTGTCCTATATATACTACTCAAAACAAAATAAGGACCACTAATAAACGAACACTACTATTGTTTCAAGTTCGTAATAATCTGTAAATGTTAAATTATGGGTTCTTTAAAGTGTCACTAATGTTTATAGTGACAAATCAATTTGGTGGGTACACTCTTTGTGTTTTCTTTTAACGCTAAAGTTGATAATTCTTGAATATTGTGTTTTTGTGACATTTAATTTTATAACTTTTGATTAGTGTTTCTTGCACTAATACGACAGACGGTTCATATTGTGTCTTTGATTTCAAAATGCCTCGTGTTCGGAGTGATATGGATGCACTTACAGCGACTAGGGTCGTAACCTTATTCCAGGAGTCACAGTCAGCGCGCTGAAGGTTTAATGGTAGGGTATTAGCGGCGGGCAGTTTAAAATGTTTGGAATCGGTGCCAGGAGATGGGTAATGTTGCCAGACGTCGAGGTTCAAGAAGAGTTCGGGTTACAACAGCTCAAGAAGACCAATATATCCGTTTAACTGCACAAAACGTGTTACGCCGAACTACAGACACTCACGTGAGCAACCAAACTGTATGAAATCGACTGCATGAAGACCAACAATACTCGAGAAGATGTTTAGTTCGCATTCAATTAACTGCAGTATATCGTGCAGATCGTCTAAAGTTTGCAAGACAACACCTGGATTGTAGTGTTCAGGACAGCGCTGCTGTGCTCTTTACTGATGATGTAAAATTAAGTTTTCGATTGACGATTGACGTATTACATTGTGGAGTAGATTTGGAGAAAAGGTTTTAGGTCCACGCATACACAGAACAGACCATTTTGGTAGACCCAGTGTAACGGCCTGAGGCGGAATAATTCCACGATGAAAGACTGAGTTCGTAATTTTTAATAAAAGTACTGTATTCGCTCAAAGTTACCTTAATAATGCGGTACAACATCACGTAATTCCATTTGCACAGCAAGCTGGACCATGGTTTATCTTACTGTAGGACAGTACTCGACCGCACACAGCGCAAGTAACGATCTCCACATTAGCTCAAGCTGAAATTGAAGTGATGCAGTAGCCAGCCAGAAGTCTGGACCTGATTCCGATTAAGCACTTGTGGGATGAACTAAAAAGCAGTATCAGAGAAAGTACAATCACATAAATATGCAGCAAGATCTCATAAATGTTCTGAAAAGATGCTGGGAGAGGATTCCGCAAGATAACGTCTGCGACTTAATTAAGAACATGACTTCAAGGATATGGAAATGTGTTAATAAACGAGGAGGTCACACAAAATATTAAACAATAAAAAAAAATTACTTCTTAAACGGTATTTAAGCAAATATCACATTTTTTAAATCCATTTTTCATTCAGTTTTTCTTAATATTCTTATTATTTTGCAAAATGCAATTTTTTAACAAATGATAACCAATCCAACATTATTTTTCTTTAATTAGAATTCAAAGAACCCATTTCAAATATTTGAATCAAAATTAATTGAAATACTAGGCTTATGTTACAAAAATACACAAAAATTTAGGTGGTCCTTATTTTGTTTTGAGTATTGTTTTGAGTAGTATATTATAGAAAGAAAATATATCATCAAATATTTCAATTAGGTTCGTAGAACAACATCATACAGAACAATTCCGTAATAGAATGCTCTGATGATATTGTAAATTAATTATAAAACCGATGCGAATAGTACCAAGGAGTTACTAATTATGTTAATTTAATAATTCAGATTGATTTTTATTTGTACTTCGACAACAAATCGTTATGTTAAAGCAAAAGCCATTATTTTTTCATTATACAATTACATTCCATTATAGGTATGTTCTTCAGAAGATACGAGCTGTGAATGGTTACCACCGGATTCGTCATTGCTCGGTGGTCTTATATTGAAAAAGGAATTGGAAGAAGATTTAGACTAAAAACGAAATAATATAAAAATGTATTAGAAGTAGATTATATAGAAAACATAATAGAATATATCCAATATGAAATCTATATGTATCATACATATTAGAATTTAGATTATAATTAATGTTTTGAACTTACCTATTTCATCATTCAATGATTGAATTTCACTACATCGCAAGTTACTTATACTTCTTAAAATAAACCAATCAAATATGTTTCTTTTTTATGTTATGAAACCTTGGTAACCTATTGAAAATGTAATAAAACACCGCAACAAGGATGAGACCTTAATATTACAGAATACATGTGTAAATAATACTGACTAATAATTCCTCTACAATGCAACATCGTTGCTTCAAGGCGTAAAAAAATAGGTCTTATAAATGTATTGCATGTAATACATGCAGTTTTTTTTAAATTAACTAATAAATAATAAAATTAAATTTTGGTCACCCTCACAAATATTAAAATAGCCTAATTGATAAAAAGTAATCTTTCCTGGCGACACAGGTCATTGGTTCAGTCTATCAGTCACAAGACAGCTAATTCTTAGCTTGGCTGTATGTTTATAATATATACATCCCTTTGCATTTCCCAAATGATACAGAGGAACAAAAAAAAACTACAGCTTAGCATTGTATGCCATTTGACAGTGACAGATGTATACAATACTATCGTGAATCAATGTCATTATCCCGCTGTCTCGCATCGTATATTTTGATCGTCAATTTCTCCTATTGGAATATTTGTATAATTAAAGTCTAAAAGTAGTAAAAAACATATTAAATATCACGCTAATCATTTTTCTTAATACATTTAAATATGATTATACATAAACAAGTATTGCATTAGAGATTGAACTGTAAAGGTGTTATGGAAAGTGCTAATCATGAAATACTTTTGTGTCATTATTGTTTTATGCATTTCTTCATGTGAAAGCCAACTAACAACATCCGATAAAACAGAAAGTCGTTCTTTATTGAAGGGTAGTTCATTATCAGAACAGAAATTATGGAATATAAAACTTGATATTTACTTCTCCAAGTCGCTTCCTCCAGTTTTACAGAAAGCTATAGGAGCGAATGTACGATTTAAATGTGAAGCTATATTGAACTTTACAAAAGTTGAAAGATACATGAAGAACAAACAAGGCATAGAGACATCTTTGAAGGAGTCACCACCAGAGCACATACAGCAGACACTCATGAATAATGTTAAAGTTTACTGGTTAAAGGACAATAAACTATTATTAGATGCACATAGAGTAAATATTTCAACTAAAATCGATATGACAAATGGGACTATAGGCACTAATTTGACAATAAAAGATGTACAGTATGAAGATAAAGGAAACTACACTTGTGTTATAAAACAAAATTATGAAAAGAAACAAACATCTGTACTGAAAATTATAAAAGATACAGATATTTATGATAAACTTGAAATACCTACTTATACACCATTATTTCCTAATTCTAATAAATTAAAAGAGTTAGAAATTGATGTTAAAACAACTCCTGACTTAATATCAGAAAGTATGCACTCTCAAACTACTAATAGAACCAAATTACCAACTAATTCTACTGCTACAATGCGAAAATTAGAACCAATTTGTCAAGAATATGTAGGTAAAGTATGTACCCTACATTTAAAAGGTCAATTTGTTTACATTCCATATGATACCACACAAACTGAAATTGAAGATAAACTTGGCAAAGCTTTGCAAGTTACAAGATACTCAAATGATATTAGCTCAAATTGTGAGGGGTATGCCCTACCTAGTCTTTGCTATTCAACATTTCCTATATGCAGGGATCCTTTGCTAACCAATGATAACTTTTTCAAGGAAGCTAAAAAAATTTATAGCTTGCTATCTACTGCAAATGCTTCTAATTATGAATACAATATACCTGAAATTATATTTGAAAATTTACCTCAAGGTGTTCTGCCACAAATGAATAATATTTTCAACAAAAATGTAACCATTGAAATGTTGAACTACCGTTACAACTCTACTGTACTTAGACGAGTTTGCAAACAAGATTGTGAAATATTAGAAAATGAATTGTGTCAAACAGAATATGCTATTGCTAAAAGACATCCTCATATTGGCCAACAATTAACACTAGAAGATTGTCAAGATTTGCCTGAAGTGGATCCAGAGTGTCTTAAAATAGGTATAGGTACAGTCATGGTTTCTGATGATGAATGTTATTGGGAAAATGGGAATGGATATCTTGGTCGAGTCAGTGTTGCAGATAATGGAATGGCTTGCATTGAATGGTCTAAACAAATGCATGTTCGGGTTTCAGATTACCCTGAACTTGCTGGTAGACATAGTTACTGTCGAAACCCAGCTGGAATAAAATCTCAGCCTTGGTGCATTGTAGAAAAGGATGGAAAAACTGACAAGCAACTCTGTGACATTCCAAAATGTGCACACAAAATTTGGATTTATATTGTTGTTATTTTCTTCATACTCACTTTGTCAATTATTGCTTTTATTATTTGCCTTTGCCATAGACACAGAAGCAAAGGAACTGCTGCTACAATAAGAGACATTAATCTACCCAATGCTGATAAAAATATCTATGGTAATTCTCGACTGAATTCTCCTATTGAAATGAATGAGTTATTAACAAACCAAAATATCAATAATCAACCACACTTAACTCGAAATACCCGCGGCAATGGTATTCTTCGAATTCCTCACTATTCTCTAACACAAATTAAGTTTTTAGAAGAATTAGGGGAGGGTGCATTTGGTAAAGTGTACAAAGGAGCACTGAAGAAAAATGGAGATACTCAATATGTAGCTGTAAAAGCTTTAAAAGAAAATGCATCTGCTAAAACTCAAGCAGATTTTAGAAGAGAAATTGATTTAATCTCTGAACTCACACATGAAAATATAGTTTGCATTGTGGGAGTAGCACTGAGGGAAGAACCATTATGCATGTTGTTTGAATTTATGGCTCGGGGAGATCTTCATGAGTTTTTAATGGGAAGGGCACCACCGTCTGGCAAAGGTCTACCACCTATGAGATTATTGAATATTGCGCATAATATTGCATCTGGAATGCAATATCTGGCATCACATCATTATGTTCATAGAGATTTAGCAGCTAGGAATTGTTTAGTTTCTGATGACTTCATTGTAAAAATATCCGATTTTGGACTATCAAGAGACATTTACAGTTCAGACTATTACAGAGTAAGTATATATTGAAATAGTTTATTAGTTTTTATGTTTGTTAAATGATACTTTAAATATCTATGTACTATATATTTTAGGTACAATCTAAGAGTTTGTTACCAGTAAGGTGGATGCCACCAGAATCTATTCTTTATGGTAAATTTACAACAGAAAGTGATATTTGGTCCTATGGAGTTGTACTCTGGGAAATATATAGTTATGGACTGCAACCATATTATGGGTATGTATCATTACAATTAATAATTTTTAATTATTTCTTAGTAATCATATCATGATAATTACACACTATGACTTAAAATGTCAAAGAAAATTCAATTTATTCAATGAAAATACAAGAACTAATGGTAAATGACACTACCCTACACACAAATGGTATCTTGGTAAGTACAAAATATATTGTTTTCTGATAAATTTTATTCAGCATCTGTAAATAATTACCCGATTTACTATAACTCATATTAAACTAATTTTATTATTTTTATATAGATACAGTAATCAAGAAGTAATATCAATGGTTCGTGGGGGCGAGTTGCTAGCTTCACCAGCTACTTGTCCACCTCCTATGTATACACTTATGAGAGATTGCTGGAAACATACACCCCAGAGACGCCCCAATTTTGAAGAAATTGTTAATAGGTAAGTGTAGGATTTATCTATCTATCCTCAGAGACTTGGTATCTCTCACAGAGTATTTCACCATTTTTTATATATTTGTAAGTGGGAATATCCTATGGAAAATTATTCAATTAGTGCATTTAGTTTATACACCTCACTTGAAACACTCTTTTGAAATGTGCCCATTGAAGCAGTGTGGCGTGGTGGTGGAATACAGTCGTCAGATTGAACTGAATAATATGTTACCACAATGTCATAAAACGTTACGTACTTATAATTTGAGCAATGTGGGCTTAGTTGCATCAGAATAAAATCTTTGCAACCAGCCAACAGAAGAGTTATAGGAATATTAATCTATTTCCTTTAAGGCTATAAAACATTACTTCGAATTATTATATTAAAATAATGACTAATATCTAATAAATAAATAAATATTGATAGTGAACATTTTAAATTGGCATCCGATAATTGCAATTTGATTAGTACAATAATAGATAAAAAAATAAATCCTTAATCTTAATTTATTTGGAATATGATAATGTTGAATGTTATTGTGCAGGATTCATGAATGGATTCAAATGGGTGGTTGCCCTGACAGTGGGCCGTCTGAATCTGGAAGCTCGTGTGGACACAGGCCTAGTGCATCAAGTAGAGATTTACAAGAGAAAGTACCACTCTTGCCACCACATTGTTCATCGTCTAACGGCTCTCTGACTACAGGAGGGAGTCTTAAAAAGTTCAGTGTAGCTGGTTCCAGCTCAAAAGTTGCCGATGACAATTGTTCCACATGCAGTGAAGTGCCCCCTCTTGCACCTAAGTTAAAAAAACATAGCGCTGGATCTCTTATAGATACTGAAAGAGTTGGAAGGGACACTGTCATCCGGATACCAAATACACAGCATGGTAATGAAATATAGTCTTCATTAGATCATATCCAGAAACAATAGATAGAAAATATTTATGTTTAGCACACATCTCATATTATTTGTATAACGTCGTAACTTGCCTGTTAAGATGTAATTTACATAGTTATATAATTACGTCCAAGTTTCATCCCGTCGATTGATGTTTGAAAGAAACGTCATCACAAAAATATAGCATATTTATTACACTATCAATATATATATCATTTACTCAATTGGAGTGTATAATCGTCAAAGCCAGTGAATAAGACGACTGTTTCTCTGTTACATTATCTCTACATAAACAGCTGTTTTATAAATCCTTATTGATATTGTTTGTAGGATGAATTTACATTACTCATCCAATATATTAAAGTACATTTCAATGGTTAGTGTTTAATTAGTTTTTACAATTAGATAAGTAACACCTAAATATAATTAAGATTTTCCCAGACAGCAACATTTTAAAATTCCAATTAATATTTTGTTTTTCACCAGAGATGAAAAGACTTGCCTAACTAATAAACTTTAAGTTATTCTTCATTAATATACTATTATTTTAGTATCATATAAGTTTAGAGTAATATATAGACGATATTTTAGGTGTAGCAAAAACTCGCAGTTGTATTTATACCACTTTACAACAATAAGGGGAAGCTACCTTCAGTACTGAAGATTTTTTTTTATTTACATAAAATTCAAGTATTTATTTAAAGAAACTGTCTTATACTTGCATGTTAATTACTATTAGTCACTATATAGGTATATTTTGTCATCTGGTACACTAATTTCTATTGCGGTGACAGACATAAATCACTAAAATATAGGTAATTTATAAACTATAATGTACTATTATACAAAAATATATATTCAATTGTTCTCTAGCAGCATATGCCAAAATGTGAGCTATCACACATTACACTGTATGGATTATACGTGTATTTCATTCATATGTTTAAAACTGTATAAATTGTACAATACAAAATCAAGCTGTCGGTCTACTCAGGAACCTACTGACAATCAAATAACATTGGATTGGGCCAATTCCCACCTTTTTATACAGCAGGCAGCAGGGTTAGGGGTTTGAACCTCGACTCAGGCCGTCGTAATTTCAATCCGCGTTTTGGACGGGAGCTCGGAGGGGACCCAGTCTTGAATACGTTTTAAAAGAACAGTTATACTGATCTGTTAATGGATTGGATAGCAATCGATATTTAAATTACACTCCAGAGTAGACCGGCTGGTTATATGTTCATGTAGCTACTGCTTACATATACTGCGAGTATAAATTATTGGCATTTTGTCTTCGAAAAGACACATTTTCCAACATATGTGTAAATTCAGCGACTAAATATAAAAACTATTTTCATACATAAAAATGAACCCGTTTCATGTGTTACCGATTTAAAGTTGAAATCTCGAGCATAAATTACTAATTATGAAAAAAAAATATATATATTATCAAACAATTTTAATATACCTATTTTTTTGGGCGTATTGATTGAACTAATAACAGACGAAATTGCAACATAAAACTTTCGTTTTGCTTTTGATTCGAAACGTTAAAAGCGGATTACATCTAATCCACTTATAATCGAATAGTGTGTGGATTCACCTTGGTATCATTAATAATAATTGAATCGTTTATGTACCACACCCGGCCATCGTATGCCCGATAGGTTAGGCAAATCTGTCGGGTTCTGACAATAATATCAAAACAAGGCTAATTGTATTAGAGGTACGAATAGTTTTCATCGAAATTTAGGTACTTGTGTCGTCTCATGTCCATATTTAAATTGATGGCATATCATACCCATAAAATACGGGCCACTTGTGAATGGAGAGTGGGTCGGTATGACAAGTTTCAATTAAAACATTTATATTTTAATGAAAAATATTATAAACGGATATAGAATTTCTTGAATTTTGTACTTGTTCTACCCTTTGTCACAATTTATTACAGTTGAAAGACCTCCTCAGGTTAGGTTGTGTGGCGGAATTTCTGGAGGCCGCAAGAAAAGTTAATCTAAAGTTTAGCTTAACTTTTCTTGCGGCCACCAGAAATACCATATTCAAAATTTTATATTAAGTTTAGCTGCTAAACTTAATATAAAACCTTGAATATAGTAAAGACGAAAGTAATAAGTATAATGATGAGTACAGTTGATGTTATAGATTACATATATTTTCATTATTTTAAATTGTAGGCTATCATATTTGTTGACTGATCAGCTTTAAGCTTATTTTTTTATTTATTTTAGGTTTAATATTTCCTAAATACCCATAGCATGTAGTTTAATTTTTTTTTATTTAATAGTTAGCAAATGTAGTTACAGAAAATGGAACTTCTAGGTATTATTGCTTGCTTTAAATTTCATCTGTAATGGATTGTACTAGTCTTATATACTATAGTCTTTGACTGATCATTTGATAATTTTAAAGAAACAAAATAAAAATCAAATCCCGTTCACCTTGTCTTGACTCGTCGAGTTCTGTGTTCTTTTTTCTAATATTACAAAAAAAATACTTTAAATTATTGGCCAGGCGTTAATATAAATTGAATAGCATGAGTACGAGAACTTTTCGTTTTCACGATAAAGTATTTTTTCTAATAATATTCATTTTTAATACATTCCACATCTTGCCAGGTCTATATGGATCTAGACAATCATTGTCAACATGTCCAAACTGACACCTTAGCTTATTAAGTATACACATCCTATTATGATTGTATTAATTTATATAATTTATTCATTAATAAATATCGCATGACTTTGTATAATTGACTGATTTTAATAAATCTGTTTGTACTATATTGTTTTTCACAATAGAGTGACTTTAGGTATTTTCTGGGTAGCCTGGTCATAATATTTATTTTCGGGATTTTAGTAAAATAGCTTTTAAATATATATTTAACTATTGTATTCCCATTCGCATTTTTTGAGTTGTGTTCTAGTTACTTAATACACTGGACCAGCCATGTGACAACCATTACGATATGAGCGCTACTAGCAAAGAATACGATGTTACATGAATAAAAAATGACTAGAATTTATGTAAGAGACATAGAAGTTTAAAATGACCTGTATAATATTAGTAGTTAAAAACTTTTATAATTTTTCTGTACTTGCCAAAGACTTTTTTTGTATGTGATACTTTTACTTTTGTACCTAGATGTAAATTGTATTTCTATAGTAATATAAGTTTAACGTAAAAATAAACATAAGTTTTTTTATTATGTCAAAATATATTTTATTTATTAACCAATTTATATAAAACTCAATATTTCCAATACGTTAATATTGTAAAATTTATATTCTTACAACAATTCATTATAATGAGGAAAAAACTAAGTAAATAGTTATATATAACTATTTACTTAGTTTTTTCCTCGTTTTTATTTCTTTTTACAATCAAGTTTTCACCATGTACTCTCATATGCAACTTGAGGTTATGGCTTCCCGTGAAAGCTTTGCCACAAATTTTGCATACAAACGGCCTTTCTCCTGAAATTAACAAAATAAAAATAGATATAATCATTGCAACAATGAGAAAGTGCACATGACGTAACGTAATAAGCGCATTCCGTAGTTATATCTATGGTAATATATATATGTAGTTATATGTATGGTAATGCTGAGGTATACTTTGCAAAAAATTGTCTTTGTGGAATGTCAAGAAGTTTACTATAAAACAAACTGCTTAGCAGCTATAATAAAGCTTTGTTTCGTAGAAAAGATAACGCAATAAAATCACAGAATAAGTGGCATGACATCATGGTCCTCAAGAATGGTAAAGCATGAGTGATACCTCGAGTGTCACATTATAACGTAACGTCCATAGCTGGATCGTTTTGCCATCCCAGTTACATAAATAAATCTTGTAAGAATACATTATCATTAAACTGTACTTAGAAGATATAACTACCTGTATGAGTGCGGCGATGTTTAACAAGTACATTAGCAGTATAAAACTTTGCTGGACAATATTCACATTGATGCGTACGATTTCCATTATGTCTGTCCATATGTATCCTCAAAGCTACCCGACTTTTATATATAGATGGGCAACGATCGCATTTATATGGAGCTGCTTCTCTGTGAGTGCTCAAGTGGCGATGGTACTGTAATAAGTAACATAAGTTGTAGACTTAAACAAATGCTATTTAGTGCGGAAATGCCCGAGCAGAAAGCTTTATCTCCTTATTTCTTCGCTGTTTCGGGAAATTCATTTAGGAAATAGGAATTTTTCTAGGATATAAAAAAAGTGATTTGCAGAGGGGATCCAAAAGTCTACTTGACATACATTGTATCCAATAGGTCAAATAATACTCATTTCTAACAATCCTATCCGTTCTTGAACCAAAATCTAATGTCTCTTGTCAACGGAGATTTGACAAGCACTGGCACCGATACCATTACGATCAAAGTCCGAAACACAGGAATTAAGTAGGTATAGCAGAGTAAGTATTACTGTTACGCAGCGGAAATAAGTGATATGTATATTAATTCTTATTCCTACATATTTAAATAAGCCGCCAAACATCATTCTGCCTGGATAAGCAGCGAAACACCTATAGAGTCTCAATTGTGTTTTCTACCGATACAGAAACAAAATATCTAAATCTAGTCTAGCCATTTAGAACATAGGTCATAAAACATGTACAGAATAATTACATATATATATTAAGATTTATTGCATAACAATCTATAACATATCATTATATTTTCCACAACTTACCAAATTTGATAATTTGAATTCTTTTCCACATACAGGGCATATGTGAACGCGAACTCTACAAATGTGTGCATCTAACTTTTTCTGGTTCTCGAATGGTCTTTGACACTGCTTACATGTTGCTTTCTCAGTAGCATGTCTTCTTATAAAATGACTCTAAAAGATAATATCTACGTAAAATTTTGTATATTTACATCAACTTATGTATTAAATTTATATAAATGCATAGCTGACCCGGCACACGTTGCTTTCCCAAATAAATTAATATCGTTATTAAAAAGTAGGGATGGGCGGTAGAAGGGTGACAATTTAGGGTTGTATGTATTTGTTAATGCCAATTCATAAAAAATAAAAATGTCGAAAAAATAAATGTCACGGATGGACAGAACAACCCTTATCACTTAGGGATATGAAAAATAGATAATAGCCGATTATCAGATGTAGTATGGTAAATAACATTGGGACACGAGAATTTTATGTGCAAGAATACACCTATATACACAGATACTTAAACAACCCTATGCTGAAATCATTTCGGTAAAAATTATACGTACATACATACCTTTAAACCAGTACTATATTTGCAAGAAAAGTCACATAAGCGGCATACATAAGTCTTTTTCTCACTATGGCATCGAATATGACTCTTCAGACTACTTTTCTCAATAAATCTGAAATTGTTCAATTGCAATATTACTTAACTAATAGAGTTTTACCGCGTTACATTTGAAACAATTGAGTAATCCGTTCAATGAAATACAAATTAAATCAAAGCCACGATGGACTAAGCAATCTCATCATATTTGTCCTTTTATTCCTCATTGAAATATTATGAGTTGCTGAAGCTTTGACAAATGGCTAAAAGAGGCTTATTAATCAGTAATCATTCACCTAATTAAAATTACAAAGTATGCCCTCAGCGCGTAAAGTATGCCTTCATTGGTTGTTTACCATCAGGCAAAACATATGAATAATCATAATTACCCTGAACAATTCAGAAAGCTCCATCTAATCCTAAGTTAAGCAATGTGTTATGGGTACTAGATAACAGTGCTAGGAGTATTTATTTTTTTGTAAGTACTTATATAATATACATATAAAACACCCAGAGCAATACAAACAATTATATTCATTCATTGTTGAATACAAACATTTGCAGCCTGTGAGGAATCAAACCACGGCCATCGAAAGTCAGTGGTATGTTAAACCATTAGATCACCGAGGTCCTCCTATGTCGATTCGTTCATTATAAAAAATAATACAATAATTAAGGGGTACATAAAATTAACGAATAAATACCTTATAGCCGTACCTTTTGGAACAATAATCACATATATATTTTACTTCTGAATGAATACTCCGTATATGACTCCTTAATTTTCGTGGTGTATCATAACTACGTTTACATTGGTTGCACTGCAGCGTAGTCTGCGGAATATTCATAGAACACCTATTAAGTTCATAAAAAAATATTTTTAAATTTTTATAATCAAAAATATATCAAGACATTAACTCGTTAATCGTTATTTAACGAAGTTAACATTTTGATTAACGGATTAACTTTTAAAAATGTTAACGGACACGTTAACTTCCATTAATATGCAGAAGTCCGTGAATCTTTAATACAATACCTACTATTTACTGGACGGAACCGCGGCGCGGTGTGAAAAAATTAGGTTCAAAAACAAAAAAGCTCCAACTCTTTAAAGAATAAAACGCAAAATCTCAATAAAATGTGGCTGGACATAAAATCAAAAGACTCAACAAAAAGAGAAACAGGTACTCATAAATCTATTCATTAAATACAATACTGCTTTACCCTCAAGCGCTGCAGTTAAACGTCTGTTTTCTACAGGTAAAGACATTTTACACATATCAACGGATTAACGTTAACTTGCGTTAATTCTTCTGAAATGTAACGCTTTAACGTTTAACGAAGTTAACTATTTGTATATAGCCAGCTATGTATATATACCATAGTAGATATATATATATATGACTACTATGGTGGAAAACAAGCACAAACCCATCTGACTGTAAATGGATACCGTAGACTATGAAAAACTGCATTATAAATAACTTGCCAGTTCCTCTCAATTGGGAAAAAAGAAGAAATTAAATATCACTAGCGCTGTCTAAATATAATTGTTGTTCTATAAAAATGTAAAAATTCCTTTAATCAAATTTTCTTCGTAAAACCCTTTAAATTGAATCTGTATACTTAACTGAACAGTAGGGAAAAAATATTATTACAAAAAATGTGACGTTCATAAGAGGCTAAAATGTCCTACATGAATAAATTAAGACAGCGGAAACGACTTCATTTTATACTATTTAAGACGCGTGTCAGAAACAAAACTTAATACCTACCTCTCCACTATAATGTAATTTTCTGTAATGATGCTCCAAATATGTAGTTGTTGTATATCTTTTGCCACATAAATGACATGTACCTTTATTTTCGGGCAAATGTAAAAGTCGATGACTAAAGAGCTGTGGCCAACAGATAAACTTTTCAAAGCATATGTCACATTGATTACTATTAATATGGCTTTCCAAATGTTTAAGCAGCTCAATATTGTCTACATATTGTTTTTCACACATACCTGAAATATGTAGTTTGTAAATTATTCATTCAAATAATCATAGTAATCATTATAATGACAATCGCAAATGAAACTCAGGATGAATTACATGTGTATAATAAAATTTTTATCTTTTTTTTAAACAATTAGAATGGCAATCAAGCTGATGGCCCACCTGATGGTAAACGGTAACATATATATGTATGTGTACCGTACTATAGCACCCATCACCACTGATTGCAAACGTGGCAGGCACCACTCACACATTGTCATTCCAGAGGAATAAAGCACGACTACGAATAATGACGGCCTCGGTGGACTAGCGGTTTAGCACACCGCCTATCTTCCGATTGTCGCGGGTTCGATTCCTCGTATAATTGTTTGTAGCGGTCTGAATGTTTTCTACGTACAACATATATGCATTTCCTAAAAATATAAATATTTTTGTATCAGTTGTCTAGTACCTATAACATAAGCCTTGGGGCTAGCTTAACTTGGGTCTAGATGGCGCTGTGTGAATTGTCTTGAGATAAAAGAAAAACATGTCAACTACCTCACCCGTCAACTGAAACACAACATAGAAAGCTACTTGCCAGCTGAAATAGATGAAATAGAGGTAACTCCAGTATTAAATATATTTAGTCTGATAACAATAAAGTACACTATATGTCACATTAAATCAATGTGGCCATAATGATCTATTTGTTTAATTTTGAAATGTAATAACTACTTACCACAGGATAATATAGCTGATTTCATTTTCGTTTTCATTTCTTTCATTGCCTTTTTCCTTGGTACTTTTTTGATAGTTCCTATAGAAAATGATTTCCTATTTGAAATATTCAATACTATAAAATAGATAATTACAAATGATTGTACCGAAATATAATGTGCAGTGTATAAGAATCACTGAAAAAGTATGCGGTATTGCGGTACAGTGCGGATGACCAGCAAAGATAGACAGACACGCACACATACAGGTCGGCCATGCCAATTGTGTCACTTGTCTCTATTACCAAATACGAATCTTTATTTTCAAACTTTCGCATTTAGTAAACTTCATTAATATAGATAGTCAGTAAGTGTATGGATACCGAGAGCGCTGTGTCGCGATTTCTTTGGACAATCTAGTGGACAGCAATAGATCTGAGGTTGAGAAACAGGATCTTTACAAACTTTTAAAACATATATTAGATAAATCCAAAATTAAATTAATAAATAAATTTCTAGGAGTGATAAAATAAATAAATTCCTGTAGGTACTACACTAACAAACTGGAAGCGAAAGTGATAAAATAGTACTGTTTATTATGTGGCAGTTCAACTTTTTTTATGATTTCATAATTTGATAGATATGTTACTTACCGGCTGTAAATGATTTTTTCGCGTTGACACATTACAATAAAAAAAATGAAAATATATTTCATTAATATAAACCATATTCTAATATTTACTTACGACTGGAGAGTTGTTTCTTTTCATTTCTCTTCCCTTCGATTACTTTATTTCTTATTCTTGGTACTTTATACGTAGTTTTACCTTAAAAATATAAACATAATCTTGAGCCTTAATAATACTCATTTATAATAAATAAATAAATAGACGGGGAGCCTATGGGTAGATCCAGAAGTTCCATTACCATTAGGTATCATTAAGAGCCCTGTGTTCACGTCAAATTGTTAATAGTGGCTAGTGTTTGGCTAATTGCGGAAACTGGAGTCCAACATACAATACAATACAGTGGCTGGAAACACACATGCGTACGTACTTACGTTTTTAAAGGTACATACACCAAAATATCATTTTTTACAATTTTTGTCTGTCTGTCTGTTTGTTCCGTCTAATCTCTGTAATGGTTGGACTCATTTTGACGGGACTTATTTTGGCAGGTAGCTAATGTAATAAGGAGTAAATTAAGCTACTTTTATTTTATAAAAATAAAGTTATATTCCACATGGATGAAGTCGCGTGTACAGCTAGTAATTACTATTATAGAATTCATCAGCTAGTATTCATTTGAACAATTCGCCAGAATACTCTTCATGATATATTTATGCTGTAGAGAATACATAGATGCAAATGGCTTTAACTTACGTTTTTCAGGCTCAATAATAAACTTCACATCTTCCAATTCTTGAAATGATTCCTCAAGTCCTTCATCAGCATCAAATTCCTCCTTCATGTCATACTGTTGGTCGTCAATATAGCAATTGTCAGCATTTGGTTTAAATTGATTTTGTGTGAAATTTGATACAATTTTGTCATCTTTTATATCCTAAACAGTACAAAATATATGTAAATATAAATATGAAAGAACATGATGAATATATACAGGCTTAACACTGTTAACCTATTGTCACATTGAGTATACAGCTAATAATTAAATGTAGTTTTTCTATTTGTCTCCCCTATTACAGAGTCCCCCACTGATTTATGAGATAATATATATCTAAAATAATGTATACATTAAAACCTTATTTTTGCATAATATTCATCCATATTATGTATGGCTTAGCCAAAATAAATAAATTATGAAACCTGTTATAACATAAGTACTCATTTAATTATGAATAAAAATAATAATCATAGTTACCTGTACAAGATCCCTTAATGTATTCTCAGACAAAATGGATTTCTCTCTGAATTCTATGAATAATTTTACCACATTGATGCAATTTTGACAAAAGCACTGTGGCATCCCATCATTTAAAGTGATCTAAAAATAAAAAAATATTATTTTAAACATTAAAATCAAAATTTTGAACACCAGTATATGGGAGCAAGTACTGGGTGAGTCAAAATGAACAACTCATATTGCCATTTTGTCAAATTTTAGTAACTGACCCATGTAGGTTGAAGAGTACTAAGTGGTTTTATTGAATTGGATGTTATTTTGCGTAAGTCCATTTTACTAGTTAATGAATTTATATTATTTTGTTCAATTCTGCTATAATTAGAAGTGTGAGATCACAAATATTCTGTGCAGAAACTGACAACTTGACTAGTCAGAACAGTCAACACTAACAATAAGCTGCCAAGCTATATCTGAACTCTGTTCAATGCCTTATGATGTCTCAAATATGGTTAAAATATCTGGTTTTTGACCACTACCTATCCATGCTCAGTTTTAAGAAATCCGAAATGGTGAAAGGTGGCAATTTTTTAAGTGGAAGTAAAACATTTCTTAAGTTATGTACAGTTATATTTCCATCTTATTTAACATTTGACTGGGAAATATAGTAAGCTCAATAAAATACAGGGTCATAGCGGATGGGCAGTGCAAAGTTTAACTTTTCTTTTATGATGGGCTAAATGTAAAGTATAATTCATAATATAAAAACATTACACTAAGGCTGAAATCTCTCAAGTGGTCTGAGAAGGATCAGTTGACAACCTTTAACTTTGACCCATAGAAATGTATTAAATTTATGCAGTCAAATTCTGGTTAGTTAGCAACCACGATGGTTATTTTATTGACATGAATTGAGGAAGTCACCTTGAAAATCATTGTCATCTTTTTCAGTATCATCTGGTGTACTAAGAGATCTATTTGTGGAATATCACAAAAATTTTACACATACTCAAAGCAATTTACACTGGCCTTAAATTATGAAATGATATCTTTATCAATCTTTTAGCAATATTACAGAAAAAAAGAACATTTTAACATTTATAAAAAAAAATATTGTGATAATGCTGGCCACTTATTTCATCTTAAGTGTACTGTTTTTAAAACAAACCATATAACGAGTGATGTATATATACAGTGACCATGCTTCTTTCCTGCACTATAAGATAGTTACCACCAATATTAATATTTATCTCTTATGCCTTTAAGTGAAGAATAATTTGTCTCTGATTTCAAATGGCCATGAAGTTGCTAAATTGGTACAGTGTTCGTTTTCGATTTATTAATGAATAAAGTTAGATAGACATAACAAGTTTTGTAATAAATAAGTTTAAGTTTCTATTCTTTTATTTATTATTTTTAAAAGCTACGTAACAAAGCGAAAGTCTGGTCCCGGACTATTAACAAGTTATTTATGATATCGCCGGGGACAACTGGGGGGACTAAAGATTGCAGTTGAACTCATTGTCATGAACTGACCATTTGACCCTAATTAAAATATAATAAACATTATTGTCATTCGGTTAGTGATGAAAATAGTTTAAGTTGTTATCTCAATTATGTATTATCATTAAAAACACTTACGTTGAGATTCGTGAGTGAATTGTAATTTATTATGAAAGTTTCGTCTATTTTAAACAATTCGCTTTCAGCAAGTAAACAAGCTCTACACATATCCATGGTGATCTATATGTAGATATTAAATAACATAACTTTTATTGTTTTAGTTATATTATGGACAATAGACAAGAATAAAAAAACAATAGTATTATATGATTATATACTTTATTAACAATAGACACCACAGTTAACAGTCAGTCAGTCACAACACAGATTACCACAGATGACACTGCAATTGGGATGAGTGTTGAATATTGTTGTTTGAATATTGAATGTTGATAAAGATGCTTTTAAGATAAATATAGTCCGTAAATAAAGAGTTTAGGAAAGATCATTTAAATATGCAAACAGATATAATCGTATTTTATTATTGAGTGACATTAAAAATCATAGGTACATTCCTTTTTTATATTAACAAATTTAAATGGCCAGTAAGGTACCATAACTTCACGTATCTATTCTAGATGGTATAAACTAATATCTTCTCTTGAAGTGATGGTTCCTTTCCTGTGAAGAGAAATCTTGAATCTATGTATGTACACCAATCAGCCGGCATAGCATTGCCAATCTTGGTTTGTATAAAGCCTTGGTGAACATATCTGCAATTTGGAATTCAGTACCAACTTTAGCTATTTTCATAACTCCTTCAGTTATGGCTTCTCGTATGAAGAAATGTCTTAGCTTAATATGCTTGGTTCTGTTATGGAACTCATAGGGTGGATTTAATGCAAGTTTTATGGCTGATTCATTGTCTAAGTATAGAACAGAAATCTTTGATGATTGCTCTATATTTTTAATAAATCGTTTAAGCCATATTATTTCTCTTGCAGCTTCAATTGCGGCTATTATTTCAGCTTCAGTACCAGAGATTGACACCGACGACTGTAGTTGACTTCTCCATGATATTGGACCTCCGTAAATACATACCAGGCCTGACGTCGATCTTCCAGAATTAGGATCTCCACCATGATCAGCATCGCTATAGCAGATTAATTCTTTCTGCGTATCTTGGCTGTATGTGATATAGTAATCCCTTGTACCATTTCAATAACTAAATATTCGTTTCAGTCTTGTAATGTCTGTCTTTTGTAGGAGCTTCTAAGTGTCTGGATACAACACCTATCGCATAAGAAATGTCAGGTCTTGTTCCTACCATAAGATATGCAAGGGCTCCAACTGCTTCTCTGTAAGGAAATGTGTTATCCCCATCTTCTTCTCTTAATTCAGATTCTTTCACTATTGGTGTAGCAACACTACTGTTCTGCATACCAAATCTTTCTAATACCTTCTTGGTGTATGCACCTTGATGTACTTTAATACAGTTAGACTCCTTTTCTATTTCAAGCCCTAGAAAATAATAAAAATTTTTGTTAGTTTGGATTTTTATCTTAAACCGTTTCTTTATCGCCTCAAGGAACTCATTAGTCAGCTCTTGTGATGTACTAGTTATCAAGCCATCGCCAACATAAAGGGTATAAGTAGCCTACCTTCACCCTCTTCATAGAGAAGAAACAAGGATCTTCTCCAGGTACATACCCTTGTTCTATAAGGAAGTCTTTAATTAGTTGTTCCAGCACAATGGAGCTTGTTTCAGTCCGTATAGGCTACGTTTCAACTTGCATACGTTGTTAGTTCCATTATCATACCCTTCAGGTTGCTTGACATAAATTTCTTCTTTTAGGCTTCCATAAAGAAATGCTGTAGACACGTCAAATTGGGTGAGTATCATATTATCACGAGCAGCAATGCATAATAGTGTTCTGATAGTGCTCATTTTTGCGACGGGACTAAATGTTTTTTCATAATCGACCCCTTTCTTTTCAGTGTAGCCAACAGCAACAAGTCTAGCTTATATTTGTCAGTTGATCCATCAGAGTTTCGCTTGATTTTATAAACCCATTTACTGGATATATGGCTTTACGTACATACGTATAATGGCTTTACATCCATTTGGTAATGGCACTAAGTCCCATGTTTGATTCTCTTTCAGGGATTTAATTTCATCATCCATAGCCTTTCGCCATTTGTCTTTATCAGCAGATTTCATCGCATCTTTAAATGTCTTTGGTTCTTCTTCATGATTATAGACTTTTTCTACACAATGTAAAACAAATTCGTCAAATCTCGCAGGAGCTTTCATTTTAGATCGATCTCTTAAAATTATTCTCTCTTCCTCTCGAGGATTTTCATTATGAATTTCTTCCTGAGGTAAGATATCTTCTCTAATATATCATCTTCAACAAGATGCATCATTCGTATGTATCTTGTTCATTCGTATCAATGTGTGGCAAAATGTTTGCATTGGATACTATATCATGTTCGCATTCGGTAGTATCTGACTGTGTATAGTCGTTAGTTAAATCAATCGATACATTCGACTCGTCATGCTCTTGACTTAAGTCAGCGGGATCATTACAGACTTGAAGTGGGATGATCACTGATTTAGCAGTCTTCTCTTCATGATTACTTTCGGTAGGGACTATATTTTCATCTATAGGATTTAATGTCTTTTCTTCAAAGATTACATCTCTGGAGTTCATTACTGTCAGAGTGTTTTCTATTCAAATGCGATACCCTTCGTCCTCATTGTAACCTATAAGAATACCTTTTTTCGCTTTCTTGTCCAGCTTTTTGCGTGATGCCTTTGGTACATGTGAATAACAATGACTTCCAATAATTCGTGAATGTTTAATCCTTGGCTTTTTGCCATGCCATAACTCGTAGGGTGTTTTCTCCAAATGAATAGGACCAGTACGGTTAAGTACATAAACAACAGTACAAGTACTGTTGTTTATGTACTTAACCGTATTTCAGCCCATAAGTTTTTATGTAGTTCCCTTATAGGAGTATGCATTTTAGCTCTGACAGCCTCAACAACGGTTCTATTATCACGTTCAGTTGCATTCTGTTGTGGTGTGTGAGGCATAGTACATCTATGCGTAATGCCTTCCTTTTGTAGAATCCGTTTCACATTATTATTTACGAATTCACCTCCATTGTCAGTGAAGAATTCTTTAATAATATGCCCTGTAGCTTTTACTTGAGCTATAAATTGTATCAGCTTTTCTTAGACTTCACTTTTCTTTCTAATTAAAAATAGATAGCGATACTTTGAAAAGTCATCCTTTAGTAATAGGAAGTAACGATATTTGGCATAGGAGAGTATAAATGGTCCACAAACATCACCATAAATGTTTCCTTCACATAGGGTTCTGTGAGTAGGACGTACAATTTTTATGCCCAGTTCTCGTTCAACAATTTTTCTTACATGATCTTTGCTCTGATGTACAAACCTTTCATGGTAGAGCTGTAGCATATCTGTTGTATCAACTGCATTAATATTTACTTCAATTGGATTCAATAGTTTGTTTCGCAATCTTAGTCTATAGAGACCTCCATATTTTTCTCTTTCTCCGAGTAGGACAGTTTCTCCATCTAAAATCAATTGGTAGTTGTTTGTTTTTGATATGAATGCGCTATCGTTCAACCAATCTTGAGCAGCTAAGACAGAAAAAAGATTTTTTGAATTTTCTGGAACAAGCCAAACATCATTTAAAGTTATCAGTTGCTTTCGACCATAAATATCTGCTTCCACTATTATGGATCCTTTACCAGTAGCAGCAATAGCATGGCCATTGGCAGTTGTTACTATATGTAACTTGTTTTGAAATCGTTCAAAATTTTCAAATACATCTGACCTGTTTGTGACATGGCTAGTTGCGCCATTGTCGACATACCATTGATGTTTATCAATGTTTCCCGTGTAGTTTACTTCAACACTCATTAGCATCATGTTAGCTTTGCATTTATTATTGTTGGAAGTATTACCTAGTTTTGACGTTGATGGTTTTTCTAATGTTAATGGACATCCATCAGCAATCCATTTGCGACAATCTTTAACAAAATGATTGTTCAGACCATAATAACTACATTTCTTTGACTTGTCTTTGACAGTTACTTTTTTATGAAATTTAGACTTGCCTTTACCTCCGGTAAGCGCGAGTGCTTCTTCTATTTCAGCTCGAGACCCTTGTTTGATTGTAATGCTCGTTCGTAAGAACATATATCAACAGTTAATTTCTCTATACTACGATCCTTTTTTGCTAACAGCTTCCAACTTGAGATAAACTGGAAATATTCATCCGGACAGCTTTCTAAAGCTTTACCCATAAGAAAGATTTCTGGTAGTTCTTTGACTCCTTCTTTCTCCATTTCAAGGGAGAGATCTCGCCCTACATTCCTTAGTTTGAATAAATACGTGCCAATATTATCAGCAGGTTCCTTTACAAATTTAAAGAATCCCATATAGTTGATGTCGGGGCAAAGGGGTTCGCCTTGAGGGGGGTGTGGATGACCAGTGTGTGCTGTTTATAAATATTGGCTGTATATGGTGAGTCCTTTTCCTTTCCCTGGACGAGAAAAATCATAGATAATATGCTATATACTTGGGAAAAAATGACAATCATGTCAAGATATGTCTGTCAGTCAGATTACTACATTTAATTCAAATACCTATTAACCTATTATTGCTTATTTATTATATATGTAATTTAATGATATTGAAATATTTCTAAAATGTGGTCCATTATATTATTGTTTTTAATATCTTTATTTGCTTATTTATTCACAGATGAATTAATACCAAAGCTAGGCCATTTATTCATAAATGCCGGTATGTTTGGCATAGACCTATGCAAAGTTAATAAAAATAAAATGTAAGTTTATCTACATCATTTGATGTTGATGATATAATTTTTATTAAAAATAAATGTAAACTAATAGCAAATATTTTCAGACCCGAAGCTGTAGGAGTAGTTTCAGGATGTGTGTTTTTGGTAACATGTTTTATATTTATACCAATTGTATTTGGTTATAATTTAATAGAGAGAGAACATTTTCCACACAATGAGGTGAGCAACTTCAACTTTATTTAGTAAATTTGTAGCTTAATTTATATCTGTTTTAAACAATTTTTTCAGATGAAGACTTGTATTCTGAAATCTAGTTGTACTCACAGCTCTTAGAGTATAAGACTTATAATTAAAAAAAAAGAACTATAATAATATGTAATGTATTCTGGTTTACTGATACTTTTTAATAGAATTTTATGTTAATTAATTATTTATATTAATACATTTCTAATTTAATTCCATTTTCAAGCAATTTGTTAGATAATCACTCATGATAACAATAAAAACTCATGTTAAAATACTAAATTTAGTATAGCATATCTTTTTTCATGCACAATGACCCAGATGAGAGGTTAATTGAGGCCCGAAGAATGGAGTTCAACTTACATTATCTCTATTTAATTATCTTTGAAAAGCAAAAAGGCTAAACCTGGTTTCCAGTCAAGTTTTGCTTGCTAAATAAATCGCTGGACTAATTTAAAGAAAAACTTACTTATTAATTCCTACTGGTTTTTTAACATATTAAATTATTATACTAAATGTATATTTTTATTGATGTAACCAATATTGTAGTTGCTAGTTTGCAGAGTTATTAGCTGCACTGCTGTCCATATGTTGTATGCTACTGTTGGGCTTTGCGGATGATGTTCTGGATCTAAGATGGAGGTACAAACTGTTATTGCCAACTATTGCATCACTGCCTTTACTTGTGGTGTACTATGTCAATTTCAATTCCACCACTTTTGTGGTCCCTATACCACTGAGGCATTGGCTAGGAATTTCTATTAATATAGGTAAACATGTTGAAAATTCTTATTTTTTGCGTAAATAAAGAGAAAAAGTCCAAACTTCTAACCTAAAAGTTATTAAAACATTTATTTTCTGTACAAATTACAAATACAATAATAATATTGAATTCTTTTATATTAATCAAAGTGTGAAATTCTTTTTATAACAAACAAATCTTATTTTAATAGTAGCTGTTCTTATTGTGAGTTTTTTTTTATTGTCAAATACATATATAATTGCATAGTATAATTTTATTGTACTGATACTTCTTTCAGGTTTTTTGTATTATGTTTACATGGGAATGTTAGCCGTGTTCTGTACAAATGCTATAAACATACTAGCTGGCATTAATGGTCTTGAAGTGGGTCAGTCAGTGGTCATAGCATTATCTATTATTACATTTAATATAATAGAAATTAGTGGTGACCAACATAAAGCCCACATTTTTTCGTTGCATATCCTGATACCTTACCTAGCTACAACTTTAGCATTATTAAAACATAATTGGTAAGTTATATTCTCATAAAATACTAGGTGTATAAGTATGAAACCGGATTTTTCTTAAAAGTGCCGCCAAAATCGCTGTGGTCTGCTTACGGTGCTGAAGCTTATTGTATGTTGTTGTTGAGGAATCCGACTAGGAGTTCCAATCAAAAAGCCACCACTTTTGCATTTGGACCTTGCTCCATCCGACTACCACTTTTTGCATCAATGGGCCACGCATTGTCTGAGCACCGCTTCGCCAATTTTCAAGAAGTGTCAAAATGGGTCGAAAATTTGTTCGGGTCAAAAGGTGAATTCTTCACCTTTTCGCCGCGGAATTCGAAAATTGCCCGAGAGGTGGGAGGCTTGTGTGATTAACGAAGGAAAATATTTCGAATAAAATCGCCCCTATGTGTCTAGAGTATTAAACGATACATTTTTTTAAAAATCAGTCCGGTTTCATATTTATACACCTAGTATATTGAAAATGACTAAATATTTACAGTCTTACTATAAATATATTTGCAATATTTTCTAAATGAATCTTATTGTTTATTTTTAGGTATCCATCCAAGGTGTTCGTTGGAGACACATTCTGCTATGTATCTGGGATGACATTTGCAGTGGTTGGAATTTTGAGTCACTTCAGTAAAACAGTTTTATTATTCTTTTTACCACAAATTATTAACTTTGTATATTCAGTGCCACAATTATTCCATTTCATACCTTGCCCTAGACATCGATTACCAAAGTACAGCGCTGAAACAGACCTACTGTATCCTAGCAGAACAGTCATAGTAAAAAATAATATGTCATTTTTAAGTAAATTAACAATACAAGTTGCAACCCTGCTTAAATTAATAGATAGAACTGAAGATAAAGATAGTATAACAATCAATAATATGACATTGATAAACTTGTTTTTAATAAAATTGGGTCCCATGTCAGAAATGCGACTTACCATCAGCCTACTGATATTTCAAGTTTTCTGCAGTTGTATTGCATTTTTAATAAGATACCCTATGGCCTCGTATATATATGATACAAATAAATAATTTATTTTTATTACCACTCGATTTATTACATTTCAACATCATCAGACTACCCTCAGACTGCCTGCATACGGTACATACACCAAAATAACATTTTTTTACGATTTTTGTCTGTCTGTCTGTTTGTTCCGGCTAATCTCTGAAATGGCTGGACCGATTTTGACGGGACTTTTTTTTGGCAGGTAGCTGATATAATAAGGAGTAACTTAGGCTAATTTTATTTTAGAAAAATAAAGTTAAATTTCACGCGGACGAAGTCGCGAGTACAGCTAGTATTTAATTATATAATATAATCCTATACAAAAATCGAATAATGGATATATTATTGATTTTTGACCGTAACATATTATATAGCATATATAAATATATAATATATATTTTATAGTAGATTGGAACAAGTGACTATACTTGAATTACGGGCGGAGTGCTACGTATACTTCACTGTCATCGTAAATAGAAATAGATTTTAATCTTATATACACATTAGTATATTAAATGCAGAAGCAAACTGGACTAATTTTTTAACAATGTAAAATTATACCTATCTTTAAATAAGGCGAATGCGTATAATTTCATACAAATATTCATGTTTTATTACTTGCTTGCTCGTGGTTGTTGTGAGAAATGATTAAAAGTAAAATAAGTACTCAATTATTTATTAGCAGGTAATGATTTAATTTACATATATTAACTCTGGCCTATAATATAATCTGTGCAGTCATTTTCGTTATTATGTACAAAAAGCTAAAATAGCCTCTATTATTAGGTATATTTATATATAATTATTTATTGGATAATCCCTTAGTGTAACCAAATATCATATAAAATATTATCCTCATTATCATTTTCATTTATAATTCGAAGCGTTTTCAATGTCTGTAAATAAAATGTTAATTCAGAAGTCACTACACCATGCTGGGGGCTGCCATTCGCTACAATATTCATTTTAGTCAATTGCTCTCGCAATTTATCTTTAAAATTATCATGTACTCTTTTATAAATGGTCCTTATTTGTTCAATAGGTAATATATCAATTAATGCTTCATGTAATTTCACTAAATGTTTAGAAATATTTCGGAATGTTTGAGAAGGTACTGGAGGTTTGGCATCCCATCCTGATAGTTGAGAACTTAACATATTACTCACTATGAAACAAATCTTAATCTCTATTTCTTGTTTATGGCTAGCTAAATCACTTTCAATATTAGAAAATCCAGTTAATGTTATCTCTTTAGAATGCATTTTTTCTAGTAAAGACTTTATTAAAGGTAAAAGCCATAATATCACTTGTAAAGACCTAGATACTAAAGCTAAATTTGACGTAGATATAGTCTTAAGGCCTGCACTCTGTATTGCTCCTGCACCTAACACCAATTGGCAGCAGCGGGAATTAAACAGTCTGATTAGCTCCACCATACAATGAACCATGTATTGCACTATAATAGGAGACTGTGTAGTTGCATCACAGTACTCTAGTAAAATTTTAATCAAAACCTGGACAGTGTAAACTACTGCATAATTTTCTTTATTAATAACTAAATATTTACTGGCTGGTTTTTCTTCTGCGTCATACTCCTGTGAAGGTGGTACTTCTCCAATTTCACAAATCTTATTTATTACAAGTTGCAATTCATATGAGACATCAGCAGTTTTCCATCTCTCACTATTGAGAGTGTTAGTTAATTGTGATCTGTGTTGTGTGTGTAAATATTGAATATATTTCATAGCAAAACTTCTCAAAGCTAATTTCATTGTATTGCTGTAATGACCTGTGATTTTTTCACATTCATCAGAAAAAACATCAATAAGTTGGGACAACTTTGATAATTGAGATAAATCTGAAAATACATAATCTTTATCTGTTTTGATTACAATTAAATTTGCACATCGTTCATTACAGTAGTCAGACAATGAAGCAATTATTTTTTTTAATTTTTCATCTACTGACACCAGTTCCTCAGGTGTCCATACATCTTCACTTTCATTTCCAGTTATATCTTCCATTTGTGTTATTTCTAAAATTAAATTATTTAAAGACAAAATTCTATTGAACAAGTTAATTAAATGTGGTGTTACTTTCTCAAGAAATATAATGCCTTCATTACATAGCAGTGATGTATTGTCTGCATTAGACCCTCTTAAAACAATTTCTGTATTACCATCTCTCTCTGAAATGATTTCTATAACACACTGTTTAATTGTAGCCTGAATTGATGTCATTGCTTCAATTTTAAAAGTATCTAAAAAATCAAATTCCTTCAACCGAAGTATTCCTGACACAATAGATACAATTTTATCTCTTTCTGGGATATCTGTACAATCACCTGGAGGTCTATTTAAATCAGCTATAATAAATCTTTGAAATTCATTACTAAGCATTTTATGGATTAATCTTTTCATTTCAGTTAACTGTGGTGATAAGTGACGAAATGCTTGTATGCCTGAAAGACGAGTTAATAATACTTTTTGTGTGGAACTAATTAAGTCTAGCGCAGCCACATAATCTGAAGTGCTTAATAGAAGTTGAATCATTGGTTGTGTTTGTTGGACAGTCCCCATTAATTTCAATAGTTCATGAACATTACTCATGTTCTGATTGATTCTTGTTAAACTTATTAACTTTAAAGGGCAATCAGTCAAATTCTCTTTCACTTCAGTAATATTTTTCCTTGTCTTACAAACAGTCCTTACTGCTCTGGCCATTTGCTCCATAATAGTATCATGAGATAGCATAGCATGGAAAAAGGCATCAGATTTTAAAGCAACTTGTTTTGATATTTTCATTTCAATCACATCAAGGTATGTGCTTAATGTTTCCTGTAAAGATCGTATAGCCGTACTAGAGTCCTCTGTATTGCTAAGAGATGGGAAGACCTTACTAAATACCTTAGGATCACTCAAAGGTAATGAATGTTCATAAAATATACTAGGTATCTCAAAATGATTTTCCTCTGTAGGTGTCTTTGTCTTCACTGGAACATTCTCTTTAAATCTACAATGTCTACGATATCTTTTAGCAATTTTCTTACAGTATGCCTCAAAATGTGCCAAGGTGATTTCAGGTAAATAAGGACTAGGATATATATCAACTTTATCTATAAAATTATCACCCCATGTTTTGGTAAAAAAGTTAGTTTGTTTACCTTTGTTAGGGTCATTTAATACTGCTGGCAGATTTTGTGATGATGAATAAAATGTCCAATCATCTGTAACATTCTTGGCATATAAATGGTGTTCTCTGACATGATACTTAAAGCCTGCTTTCCTTAAATCTCCAAACTGCAATGCTGAACATATACCATTCTGTCCATATTGACACAAAATGATGGATCCATCTCTTATACTGTGTTTGTCTTGGATATGCCTGAAATTATATGTTTAATTACATTGCAATTAAGTTTAATAAATTAATGCTGCTTTACAATGTTTAGTTGACATATCTCTAATAATGTTTAACTACATAGCATAGTTCTCTCTCTGGAATTGGAGGGCAATAGTCAACTAATACAATAATTTTATTTGAATGTTTACTAAATCCAAATGAACAGAAAATACCTTGGAATATAAATATAAAAAAATGTTGCATTAAAGGTGCGTAGCAAGTAATTAACTTTAACCCAATGAACTGTAGGTAGCAAATTAAAATAAAGTATGAGTAACCTTTCAAATTCTGATGCAGTAGAGAACAGTAAACTTGGGCAGTAGATGCAATTCTGCCATGAAGGCGTTTTCTCAGAATAGGAAGAATTGTTCTCCATAACATCTTCGAATATCCGTGTTGATGTAAAGTAAATATTAAAATTTATAGAGAATTGTAATTATAAACATATGTCATGAGAATATTATTACCTACATGTATATAATGTAATCAAATGAAATAAAAAAGTTGCCAACGGGGTTAGGATTGTGCTTAAGAATATCGATATGTACAATTTTTTTTTTATATCGATACTTTCCGATATATTATTATTTTGATGAATCCGTAATGTACACAAGCCTATATTTTATTTTATTTACTAAAGATTTAATGAATAAATAAAATAATAATATTAATTAGAACTTATACACATATGAAGAAGCATATATATGGGGGACTTAACACCTTGAGGCATATTTTTATACACGACCTATGTGTAATTTAAAATTATCGCCGTTACAGCTATAAAATTTTCAAAAAGGCTACAGAATTAAATAATAGTGATTATGCGGTAGAGTTTTCAGTCCTAAATGTAGTTTATTGACACAGTGTCTAGGATGTTGATTGATTACGATGAAACTAACTAAACTAACTCCTAAACTGTTATCTCGAATCATATGAAAAATAGTTTTATTGAAATATTGTCCCACATAGAAATTTTTGAACTCTAGTCGGTACTAACAACAATTTTATAAAATTATACTACTGCCACTATGTTTTGTCTATATAGATAAAACATTTACTCTTAATATGTTTTATCACTGATATATCGACATTTTTCACTAGTTACAACATCCCTACTCGATGGTCACGATCATGACATGACATGATATGGATGGAGGCTTACTCTGCTTTTCAAAGAACCGTATATATTAAAAAAATACGGCAAATAACCGATTTCTAAAAATCTAATTTTGTGAAGATTGCTTTACCTGTTATTTTAAGTTTGAAATTACTTATCTACGGAAACATATACGACTTGTCCTTTAGAATAACATTACATGCATGAGAGATATTTTGTGATGCCAATGAAAAAAACGCAAAATAAATATTAACACTATTTATAAATTATACCATTCAGTAACCGTTTTTAAGGTTCTAAATCTGAAAATATTTGATAGACTTACATATGAAAAAGAAAAATTACAGTTTTTTATACAGTTTCGATTCTTTTAATGACTATAATAAATTTTTATTTGACACCAATTTGTGTCCTTCAGTCACATCTCTATTACATGTATAACTGTCTAATCTGTGATAATTACAGATTACACTCATATTAGTTTCCGAATTATTTTCAATTCCTTGTTTAATTTAATTGAATATTCAAAAAGTGGATTTTATAAATAGTGGAATTGGAATAATACACTCACTTTTTTCTTTATGCATTAAAATTAGCGGGTATGTTATTTTATATTTTACGGAGTTAAAACGAGCATAAATGAAAACAATTCTAAATCACATACATTGTTTCCCTAATTATATCTTAGTTACAGACGCCTAGAATTGCATCTCGTATCAATTGTCCAATTGCGCTTCAACTTCAATTTTATCTCCAGTTTTAACGTTAACAATTATATTTTTGTCAATTTATCCTATGTAGGTAACAAATTTAATAAAAATGGCTGATATTTTGGATATCTTGGACATTGAACAGCCAGGGGGTTCTGAAATAAACAGAGATACTATTATTCATGGTGACAAAGTAAAAAAGAAATATGTAACTGCTAAAGCTGTGAAGAGGCCAGAAGGCATGCACAGAGAAGTTTTTGCCCTACTTTATAATGACTCCAACAAAGATCTACCACCTCTGTTGCCCACTGATACAGGTATCTTTCTAGTTTCTCAATCTTATCATAGTATGAGTATTTAGACACTTTGTGTATGTTAGATGTGATGTTTTACTCAAAAAACTATTTTTTTATGAATATTATTAATTTATATATATTAAAAAAAATAGCTTTTATTTAACTGACCATTAACTTTTGCTCTATGAACATAATAAATAATTGGATTAATGAAATTTTTTTCCTTTTTTTTAAACATAGATGTATTTATGTTTTGATGCCAACATTTGTTGTGGTTTTTTTTATGGATGATAATGGTATACTGAATATATCAGATTTAGTAGTACTGTTGAATTTCAGGAAAGGCCTATAAGCAAACAAAGGCAAAACTGGGTATGCGTAAAGTGAGAAAGTGGACTTGGGCACCATTTACAAATCCAGCACGTAAGGACAATGCTATATTTTATCATTGGAAACGTGCTTCAGATGAAACAAAGGAATATCCATTTGCACAATTTAATAAGGTGAATAAAACTCAATAACACTTGTAATGGGTGTTTTTTATACATATTATTTAATTTCATTACCCTACAGTACAAATTCTGCTTAAGTTGAGATTAGTAGTTGCTGTGTAAATTATCCTAGTTTACTATTATAATATACATAATAGTATGGAGAAGGCTTTATATACTGGAATTTTATTCTGTTAACAATTATGACATTGTGGGCAGAACTTGCTTAAAGTTAGTTAAACCTATAACGAGAATCTGGGACTACTGGTTTCATGTTACAATTTCGAATGTAAATCTCTTCATTTACAGCAAGTTTCAATACCTTCATATTCTGAGTCTGAGTATAACCAATTCCTAAAATCTGAAGATTGGAGTCAAGCAGAAACTGATCACTTAATGGATCTATGTCAAAGGTTTGATCTGAGGTTTATTGTAATTCATGACAGATGGGACCGTGCTGCATTTAGGGATAGAAGTATAGAAGACTTAAAAGAGAGATATTATGGCATTTGTGCAACTTTAAGTAAAGTGAGTATGTCTCGGTTTTAACTTCTTCGGTCATTGTATATGATCACCAATCTAATAAGACTATCTGGAAATATTTGGCAGTGCACAAAGTTATCTAGTTATACAAATTTTCTTTGGCAGGCAGTATTCATTAAGTAAACAATATGTTCTGTTGGGTATATTGCATTATTAATTCTATGTGAACTATACTGTTAGTTTAAATTGTTAGATTTAGGATAATATAATAATAAAATATATTTGATGGCGTAAAAAAACAATTATTTGCAACTAGTTTTAATGAAATATTTATTAATTAACTGTACACGTAAAACTTTTTAGATGAAGCAATTTTTTTTATACAAAATAACATGACAATGTAAAATTCAATGCCTGCTTTAGAAACAGGTCATGTGTTCTTGTTAAAAAAATGTCCTCATTATTACTTTTTAATTAATTAGTTGAAAATGACACATTTGGCTTTTGGCTATAGAGATCAGTTTTAATTAATGTTCACAGGTGAAAACTAACCCATGGTCTAATTCAACAACTATGGTAAATGGTGAGAAACGAATATATCACTATGACGCTGAACACGAAAGAAAGCGGAAAGAACAATTACGTCGACTGTTTGATCGAACACAGGAACAGGTAAATTAATTTATTAAGAAGCTGGAGTTATTTGAATATGTTTATATAAAAAGTTAAAATAATAATCTGCAATGGTATGAGGTTGGTAGTACAATGATACTTCATCATATTTAAAGATTTACACTACAATTACTATATTAAGTGCTAAGAAAATATAAAGACAGTTTACATGTGTGTCACTTTCGCTATTATCATTATTTTGCTTGTAATTTTACATAACAAATAACTATTATTACCAAAAGTCAATTGGGAAATGGTACTCTTATTTTTGTAATTAAAATATTACTGATTGTCATGCTGATCAGTTGCGATATCACGTCATATTCATACTATTAATTAATTGTAAATATTATTTATTATAGATTGATGAGGAACAAATGTTGTTAGCTGAACTGAAAAAAATTGAGGCAAGGAAACGAGAAAGAGAAAAGAAGACACAAGATTTACAAAAATTGATTTCCCGTGCTGATAGTGGAAACACAGCTACTAATAATCATGTTACTAATAATACAGACACATCCAGTAATCCAGCAAATGTATCATTAAACATTGCAAGACGTCATGACAGAAAATTACACAAGAAAAAACTTTCCTCACAACAAAGACCCATCCGAACAGTGGAAACTGTGGTAAGCTAACAGTAACACTAAAAATGAACAAGTATTCATTATATTTTTAATTATTACTTTTTACATCCTTACTAAGTACTTCAATGTACAAATGTCACTTTTTCATGTACACTTAAACTATTAGAGCTATTTTGAAACTTCGAGCCCTTATTCCTAATTACAATATATTTAAAAGGCAAACAGTATCCCAACAACCTATACAATAGTTTTTTTTGTAAAATCTCTGTGCCAGGGCATATCCCTGTCTAACCAGGAAAGTTCCCCATTCATCTCCTTTATGTGCCTCTACAAAGTTATATGCTCAAATATGTAGGTTTTATTTTATAACAGAAGCCTAAAATACTTTTAGAAACACTTGACTTAACTGTTATCCAGAGTTCACGTTATGCATAAGTACAGACGAAAATAGCCATTAAATTGTGTAGATGCTGTTGTAGATCATATATTCTATTTCGCTTACTGCAGATAATAATTATTTTCCTTTACTCTCTTTTATAGACAGTGGAATGGTCTGGAATTAAGTTTCCGGAAGCACGCGGCGCTGGAGTGTGGCTCCGTTCACAGCGAATGAAATTACCTCCTGGTGTTGGTCAACGAAAGACCAAAACAATCGAACAAGAACTGAGACTTATGAATATAGGTACATTAGTTGTATGATTGCAATGAATCTATAAGATTTCGTAAAAACCATATTTACTAAAAACAGTTTTTATTTATTTCAATTTGCAGATGTTGCACCCACTCCTACGGAAGCAATATGCAAACACTTCAATGAGTTAAGATCAGATCTTGCACTGGTATTAGACTTAAGAAGTGCTTTAGTGCCTTGCGAATATGAATTGCAGGCATTAAGACATCAGTACGAAGTTCTTAATCCAGGAAAAGTAAGTATACTAAAAAAATGTGTATGATATGGTTTGGCGATATAACAATATCCAATGTGTCGTTGTTTGGTATTGGCAGTGAAAAATCGATTACTTTAATGTAGTATGCTAATTACTATTGACCAATACTTTTGTAGTTTACTTACATACATTACAGACAGCTACTTGTTTTATACTATGTATTGAAGTATATGCTCTCATGTTTCAGACTCTTACAATACCTGCAGCAATTTGCAATGGCCCAGAAAATGAGACAAAACCTATGTTGGAAATCATTGATGTAGTTGGATCGCCAAGTGCTCTGAATAATACTATCTAGCATTGTGTACTACATCCACATTTCTCATTTTAAATCTTTAAATATAACTACTAAGTAAATGTTTTAAACTATTTTTCTGTTGTTTACAATTGTACACAATATGTTGATATATGTTAAATGATAAGACATAACTATGGTAAATATATAACAATTGTCTAGCATTCACCCAACCACACCTAAACATTGTTCCAATGTACTCTGTTTATGAATGAAAACCGCAAGATCCATTCAGTAGTTTTAGAGATTATCATGAACATACATTTAATATAGTGGATGTGGTCATAGTTTTATAATATACATTTATTAAGTGATTTAAGGACATAATGAACACACAATATTACTGAATTAAAATGTTTTATTTCATACCTCTTAAGATATGATCCTCAGATATAATTATTATGACTGCTAGGTTTAAAACTCGTCAAACAATTTTCAACTGTTCCATGTAGGTGTCACAGTGTTTGCCATACATTTTTATAGATTTAAAATTTGTCCACTTTAGGTGTTGCAATACTGAAACTGCATTTAGGGCAATTAGAAATGGTTTGTTGAGTGATAAGCAGAGACCACTTAATACATGTGGTTTCATAGACATAATTTCAAACATACTCAGTAAAAAAAATTCAATCACCCATGTCAATATAGGCACATAAATTATATTAATTAAGAACTTTCATATATTGTGATAATATACATCAAATTGCTCCTTTTGGTGCCCCATATGCATCAGGCATTCTCTCTATAGTATATTTATGTTGTGCTACAAACATAATGGGCACACCAGGTATTTTGCGTATTCTTCGTTTTAGATCCTTATCATTAGTAGCAACTATGTAGCACTTATGTTGTGTCACTCTTTGAACTATACAATCATCTGCATATGTACCCTTGTGGAGACAAGTTATTCTTTCAAAACGAGGGTCTTTTATTATTCTAAGAGCTACACGATATTTACGACCTAGTTTTTCCAACTCTCCTAAAACACAATCCGTTACATATGGAATGCATTTTGCATATAAACAATCCATCATATTTTGCATTATATCCAGTTTGTTCTTTATGGAAAAATTTATAAAATTGGTGTCAATAAGAATGTGGTATGGTGGTCCTAGTTGTGTGTTATACTGAAAAAATAGAGCTGAACTGGCTTGTGGAATTTCTCGAACTTTCATTTCATGTGGATCTACTGCTTTTTTTTTGCGTGGTGCCATTCTTTCATTTTCTTTTATTCTCGAATCGCTTGGACTTATCATTTTTTTCATTTTAGCAAACCTCTTCTCGACGATTTTACGTGTTTTTTTCTGTTTCCCCTGAAACAAACTCATATTGTTATAATTCTTTACTTAACTTAACTTAAGGAATTCATATAGAATTAAATAAAAAAGGTTTAAATAAAATTAGTTTATTTGCTTTAAAATAAAGATTACTAAGTTAAGAAAAGATGTGTGTGTGAACCTAATATTAAAATATGGAAAAATATTTATATGACGATTTATAAAGCAAACATCTAATAAATACAGCTGAAACGAAATTGGTTACCATTCTGCTTTGTGTCTAGGATGTAATGCCTGTTGATTTTGACTGGTAATAGTAGGTGGCTGTTAGAAATTAATAAAACAAAAAGATATATATTTTATTAAAACGAAGATATGAGGGTAATGCCATCTTTCCTTAACTACAACACTACACACTTTATATTGCTTAATTAATAGATAAATGAAATGTGATATAATAAAATTTAAAACAATATTAACAAAAACGACTGATTCTAAACATGTCAACTCTTACCATTTGGACGTTTCAAAGGTTATGGTAGATTATTATTAGTAAACATGAAATAAAAACAATTTCAATCAGGACAAATAAAAAATTAATATAGATTTTTAGGTTATTTACAATGGAGTGCAGTATCCACAGAACACCAATATCCTAACGGAGTATCAGTATGTCAACTAGACAGGAATAATATTTTTTTTTACGGCTCTGAATGTTAATACTTTTAATATACATTTAAATTTCTCGATTTATTCTTATACAAATAGACATATCATATGTTTACACACAAATACACATCTAAAAATTATATTAAAAACGAATTCGTTAGTATCAAATCCTTATCTCCGTTCTATAAAATTTCCGCTACGTAAATATTATGAAATAATGATGTTTCTTGGTTTTGTTTTAGGCTAATTTCTAGTAATCGGAGTCAATGCCATATAAGAAAAAAAAGTAATGTCAATATAAATGTCAATTGTCTGGAAAAAAAAAAAAATAAAAAAAATAATAATAATAAAATAAAATAAAAAAAAAAAATGTCAATTGTCTGGTAGTCGTATTTACATTTTTATAAAAATTGTTTTACATTTTATTATTTCTAATTGTATTTCTTTACCACAATTTCACAATATATGCTTTTTTCCTATGTTGTTTTTATAATCTGCAATCATCTTCTTTGATTTATTGAGGCAAAGATTACATGTTGTATATATAAGTTTCAATAAAACATTAAATTTATTCTTGTTTTCTGAGTACCATGGACGAAATAGAGGAAGAAGCCAAAGCGGCAGCAGAGAAAATGGTTATGAACATGATGCAACGACCAGGACAATTAGAGAAAGTATGTGTTCAATATATATTGTTTTGATTCCAATTTTTATTCAAATACTACTTAACTTCCACAAGACAGGTTGTTCCCAAAGGCACATAAATGGGAAGCAAGTCATTACAGCTATCAGAATGTTATGAAAATATAGGCATTTAAAAAAACCAACACACTGAAGATTATTTCAACCTTGTTAATGCAAATTGTTACAATGCTTCTTCTTCTTCTTCTTCGTTTCAACGGCAACCAAATACAGCATTGTAACCAAATATGTATTTGGTTACAATGCTACAAATTAACTAGTTAGTAACTTTTGCTCCGTTTTATTTTAGAAATATAGCCCTGAGTAATTATTTTACTCAGGGCTATATTCTACTTTGCTGAAAAACAGAATATAATTGTGATACATTTAAGAAATAATTACTGTTTAAACAAATATTGGACATATTTTGCTTCTATCTTTAGATAATATCTATTACAATAATTTGTATTCAATATGGATCAATTACAGTTTTTATAAAAACCATTACACAATATGAATTAGCTAAAGTATTATGATTTTATGTTACTGCATATCTTTATACCAGTCTAAAAATCCCATGATATGGAATAGCCGAAAAGGAATTTTTGGTTGAAAAAACACCTTGTAAAGTAATCTTACAAGATATTTTTCTGTACATTTTTAGGTCGAACAGTATAAAAAAAGGATCACTCACAAGAAAGCTTCAATTGAAGCTCAGTTGAAGTCTGCAGTCCAAGGAAAGTTGGATGGTGTGAGTGTGGGGCTCAAACAATTGCAAGAATGCCTTGATGATGTTCAAGAAATCAGCTTAAAGTTTGTTATTATTACTTATTAATAATATTTTAATTATTAATTAATTACATTAATCTGGAATAAAATTAGTCCCAACTATTCAGTGTTTGCTAAATTTAATTCTGGTTGCATTCAATTTGGTAAACTATTAATATTTGGGACTATTTTTATTCCTGATAAATCATGCCTCCAGGTAAAGTTGTTAGTTGACATACAATTCAAGTAACTCTGTTTCCCTCATAATATTAGTAAGGCATGACTGTATTAAGTTACCTATGTTTATAATAACTAATTCACTGCTTTAAATATAGAATAAAAAATAGAGATACAATCCTAAAGGTTTACTGTGTTGCTACTGCACTCTGCACTTTTAAACCAACCTCTAATTTAAAAGGATTGGAGGCTTCCCTTATCCTCCACACTTGCTATTCCTATATTTTCGCATAGTATTTTTTATGAATCTTTTCCTTGGTCAGCTTTTTTAGGTGGCAACATGAAGTTAACAAATCTATAATCTTTTGAAGCATAAGATTGTAAAAATAATTTTACAAATCAGATTTGAATTTTAGTGACTACTGTTGTCAAACAAGCAAAATCTGTATATAATTATTGTTGTAGTAATTATAACATGTATCACTCACAGAATGGATGAATTAGAGGAATTGTTAAAAGGGGTACCACCATTAGTAGCATCCCTTCAAGCTGTGCGTGAGGAAGATTCTCGTCATTCACAATATGTCACGGCTATGGACAGCTTGAAACATATTTTCACAGTACCTGAGAGTGTTGCCAAGACAAAACAGTGGATTGGAGAAGGGAAATTACTTCATGCACACCAGGTACTTAATTTACCTTTGTTCATAAAAATGTAAAAAAACTTATATTTTAATAAAGGAATTAACTAACAATTATTCTTTAGTATTCTTTAAGACAACATTCTTCATTCTCATAACTCGTATAATACTTATATGAGAGTTAGCTAAGACTAGTATACCAGATGGCATAAACTATATTTCTTTAGTTAAAATTTTATATTTTATAATTTCAGTGTCTGAATGATTTGGAAAATTCAAGAGATGATTTACTGTATGAGTTACATAGATTGCCCAATCAATCATCACACGATAAAATCATGTTAAAAGCATACTTTGAGGATGTGGAAATGGTTTCAAATTTACTTGAAAAGCAAATTAAACTAATATTGGCCAGAACATTAAATACTGTTCGTAAAGAACCAACTGTAATTGTGACAGCTTTAAGAATAATAGAAAGAGAAGAGAAAAGGGACCAAATGTCATTGCAGGTAACTAAACACGTAAAGAATCAACTGTGACTTACAGCTTTTTTATATAATTGGTATGACAAACAACCTGTTGACTAATGGTAAGTGGTGACTGTCACTTTTCTACATGTACAGACATTAAATTATGATAGCACTCATGAATCCCAGAAGAATTATATTTATAATTTAATAAGAATAATAATTGCTTAATTTGCGCCCCACAACCAAAACAAAGCTTATAAATGAAGTCTACCTAGTCTAGTGTAGTAGTAGTCTACCTTTAGTAGTCTATTTGCAGCTATTCAGAAATCCCGCGTTAGCATTTATACATAAAAATAATATAAATACAAACCAAATTGTTGTATTCCAAATAAAACAACTTCAATCTAAGCTTAAATGCTATTCATTAAGAAATCATCAACATTTATATTTAAAAAGGATATCTTGGAATATACATACAAAAGAAAATGTTTTACATTTGAGAAATGCTAGAACAAACATAGTAGATTAGAAATATCAGTTAGAAGTGAAGTGAATATTTTTTTAATTTTATTCGTCTAGAAAATCGTTTTTGTAAGTTAATTAAATCGTATATTATTGCTATGTACCAAATATACAACTTTCTTTCTTTCTTTATTCTATATACAAGCCAAACTTTTCTTATAAAAAGGTACGACATTGGTACTTTAATATTATATTATAATTTACAGCAACAAAGTCAATCCGGGTTTATGCCTCCCGGCCGACCCAAGGGTTGGCGTACAAAAGCATTTGATGTATTAGAATGCGCTGTTGCACAACGTGTCGAGGGGACACGTGTGGATGAACGCGAGGATAACAAACTTTGGTTGGTCCGCTATTTGGAACTGACCAGGCAACTTATCCTCGAGGATCTGAGAGTGGTGAAGACTCTTTGTGTCCCATGCTTCCCACCACATTATGATATTGTTAATAAATATGTTAATATGTACCATACATGTTTATCTTCTAGTGTAAGTATAAGCACTATAAAATGTATTTTTTAAAAAAAAAAATTAACTAGTGACCTACTGTTGCTTTTCCCGGCTGTCCCCAGCTGGGTGAGTTTTGTATAATTAATGTAATACATGGCCTATCTCATATAATGTATCTTTCAAACACTGAACGAATTTCTTAAATCGGTGCATTGGTTCTGGAGTTTACATTCCTGTTAATAAACTTGATTCTCTCTTTTTATGAAGTTAATAAGATATGAGTATGAGATCTTTAAAGGTCTGTACATTAAAAAACCATATGCTGGTGAGAAACCAGGGAAAAAAGACTTACATTTTTAGTATTTTATATAGATGTCCGTGTTTACTTAAAAGAGTCACTAAAATAGTATTTCAAAAATCTTTTTCAGTTACAAGATATTGTGCACAGTGGCATAGAGGGCAATGAATATGTAACTTTGCTCTCTTGGATTCTAAATACATACCCTGGCCACGAGTTGATGGGAAGCTCAGAACTAAATATCGATGTATCGGTACTGCCGCCATTACTAATCGATGAGACAATGCAGAAAATGCAGGATGAATATTTGCAGGTATGCTAATGTAAATAAATAAAATAATAGCACTTAAGTACTAGTTTTTACCTGACATTTCTTTTACGTGCCGGATACATTGATTAATGGGAATATGATTATCCAAATATGCACGTGATGTGTGTATATAGTACAAGTATGCTAAAATTAATTATGATTGACTGATTGTTTAGGTTAAGGAGGGACCAACAAATAAAAAGACATTATAGCCCGCTCATAAATAATATTGCTTCAAGGATGCATAATTTGTGAAATTACAGTAATTAGATTAGAAGTTATGACGGAATAGATACATAATTACACGTCCGTTAACATCATAACCCTCCCTTTTGCTTGGCGGTAATCGCGTAATTAGTCTTTTAAAAGCCAGTTGCAGTCAACGACAATAAAATAAAAAAATCGTAATCATTTTGTAAATTATTTTTATACATATTTTATTATTATATATATATGGTATTTACTATTAATTGTTTCATACCACAATGTATCGATGGTGTAGGTGAACAACTAAATATCTAATGTACTTTCAAGATGCTATTTACTTGTAGTGTGATGATGTGTGTGTATACAGGCGTTATAATTGCACTGCATTAGTAGGTTTATTTGATAGAGTGCAACGTGGCTTATTAGTAACGTGTACACTCAACGCGGAGTTGTAAAGCGGACTGCATATGGAAGGGTGCCGAGTGTATACAGAAATATTACAATTGTAGACATATACAATTATTTATCTTATTAGGTTGGTTTGGTCAGATAGGTTTCTTAACAACTTATAAATTTATCGGTAGTTAATTGAGCCAGTAACAGGAAATTGTGATATTATTGAAACTATAAAATGTTGATTATATAATTTTGCACCTACCCTCATAATGTTTGCAACAGAAAATACAGTCGAACTACATGGAGTGGATGGAGAAGACACTGGAGTCTGAACGTGCGGAGTGGAGCGGCCAGCGCGCGCCCGACGTAGAGCCTCTCACCAATGCTTACCACACGCATGCGCCCGTCATCATCTTCCAAATGATCGACCAGAACTTGCAGGTACTAATTCCATGCAAATTAAGTACTTGGTATATACAGGATTAATCGGAAATGGTATACTAAGCCACAAAAATATGAAAGTACCCATGATAACGAACAAATTTTTTTCTACAATTTTCGCTGAAACCTTATAATTATTTCAAGAAAAATGGGTTCAAAGTTCTTATATAAACATACAATAACAACAAAAGACATAGCCCTAACATCAGCTGTTATTAGCCCTATCAAATATGAGGTATATAACTTTCTCATTGACATAGATAATGTAATAAACACTAAAGAAACTTATCCTAAATTTAGTAATGACATATTGTAATTTAAATAATGTAAATTAAATATTGTAATGGGTGAAAACTGTGGTTGGTACAGTTTATGCTGTAAATAATATAAATGACGTAGTGGAGTAACTTGAAACAGTCATGCTCGCTATAAAGTTCAAACTTGTGGCGGCGTGGTGGGCCGGGTCGATGTGCTCCCTCTAATATGGTTGAGTGCAATGATGGCTGGCTCATCCGTCATACTCGTGTACGTGTGCTGCTTGTGGGGACTGGTCTGTTTAGGTTGCGAACACTGATTAGATTTTTTTTAATTTTTTTTATATAGCATATGCTGGTGGTCACTCTATTCTCCCAAATTTGAATTTAAATGAAATAGTGTTATTGTAAATATGTACAACATTAAAAAAAAAAAAACGAGCTGAGTTTCTTGTCAGTTCTTCTCATCTCGAAATCATTCCGAACTGACGGTAGATTTGACATATCATAAGAGTCTGTAATAGACCTACATGAATAAAGATATTTTGAATTTGAATTTTGAATAGGACATTGATAGTCTTTATAAATGAAAGTCGTGTTTTTATTGGTAAGCGTTCTACTTACCATTCCTCTAATCAAACTATGGCTGTTTTGATTAAATACAAAAAGATAGGGTTGTCGGTATTTTCTAATAAACAATACATATTTATTTTTGTATGAGAACAAAAATCGCTTTATGTATACATTTTCCGACTTACTCTATATTTTGTCTGCGTAAACTTTCAACCCTTATTTCACCCCTAACTAAATATGTGTATGTATCGAGTACATGACAAACTTCAGATGTGTGTGTTGTTTCAGTTAGTGTAGACTTAATAAGCAAACAGACCTCATTGATTACAAAAAAAATAAAAAAATCATGCCCATTCTTTCCAGGTCACAGAAACCATCAGCAAGGAGGTGACTTTCAAGGCATTGGTTTTAAGTATTGAACAGGTGACACGATTTGGAAATATGTATAGAGAAGGTGTTATACAATTCAAGGTGAGGGCTAAAACTTATGAATAGCTGATAAGCTGAAATATGACATATGAAATATGTCTCATCACAAGAAGAACTCTTGTGATGAGACAGCTTTCCGAATGAGCGGTAGGTTAATAATAAAATGTGATGACTATTCAAAAGTGCTTCAATAAGTTTATTTGAATAAATGATTTTCTATTCTATTTTCTTCTTATCCTAAATCTATCTGAAAAAAGATTTAAATATCATATAAAACACTTTTTCTGTAAAAATGCTTGTTATAAAATTGAAAAGTTTGTAAAATAATATAGTGTTTTTATAGAAAAAATACAATTCATAGCGCGATTACACTAAGAATGAATGCATAGCGGTTTCTGTGTTGATTATCGCATGCCTTTTACTTGTTATTGTGTAATTATATATTAAAAAAAAAACGGTTATTCATAAGAGCATCACACTAGTTCTTGTTGTGATGAATGAAAGTTCCGAATGAGTGGTAGAAAGATTATTTCTATTTCAGAACGCGCACTTCGCGGACCGTTCGCGCGTGGCGTACTTCACGCACCACATGATCACGATCGTGAACAACAGCGAGCAGATGGTGCAGCTCGCGCACCACACGCATTCGCGGCACTGGCCGCCCGGCAAGCACGACCCACCCGCGGAAGCCAAGTTTGACAGCATGCTGAACACATTCCAGGTAATGTTTTGTTACATGTTCGGGTCCGTCCATTACGTCACTCCGATTCCAATAAATTTTATAATCCACCCTTTTACCTTTATAACCTGTTGTACAGTGATTAGAATTACTATTTCAGAAACTAAGGGATGAAGCTGCACAGTTCTTACTGCATGAAGCATTCCTCGATTTAGAAGTCCACTTTGACGATGTATTTACGCAAAAATGGCTACAGTCTAGTATTCCTGTTGATACTATATGTATTACATTAGACGATTACTTCCAAGACTACAATCATCTAAGGGAGAAGAATTTTGAATACGTCATTAATGAGGCACAGAATTTAGTTTACAAAAAGTATATAACAGCTATGTTATCAAAGAAAATTGTTTTTAAAGTCGTCGAAGAGGCTCAGCAGGCCGCCACAAAAGTTGTGAAAGAAGCGAACCAGATCAGGGCTTTTTTTAAAAAGATTGCTCCGGAAGCGGTGAATGTCAATTGGCCGTTTGACGTAATGAGCATGTTGGCCGAGGTGAGTTCTTTTGGAATACCTATGAGTATATAGAGATCAAATACTTGTAGTGGTGCTAAAATTATATATATAGTTTAAAAGTTTTTTCTCGGTAGTTTACAATTGTACACTTCAAATAAACGATCATCAACATTTGTAACAACGTCGAAATATCGCCCTTTAAATAATATTTTATATATAATGTATACTATATTATATTTTTATAAGCTATTATATTAAATGTTCATTATTATTTATAGCTACAGCTTTGCAGTATATTGAATACTACAGTTGTGTGTGCCCTTAGATTTATATTAAACTACCTACATAAGTTGCATTTAATTCAAAATAATTGTCCTTTTGGTATTAAACATAATGTACTTACTCATTATGAAAAATAAATAATAAAAACTCTTTTTAAATGTTATAAACACGATTCGTATTCATATTTTGGCTTGGAGTGTCTCTGCATTCGCTGATATTTTCATCCGGTGAAGCTGTAAAAGGCAGTCGTAGCCAATAGAATTGAATAGTTAAATAATGATCACTGGGCGAGAAGCTCACTGTCTGTGTACATGTAGTGGTGCGTGGTGGCAGGTACTGCAATGCCAGGATGTGGATATGCTGTCGCTGGACTTGCTGGACGTGGTGAAACAGTGCCCGGACATGGTGGAGGAGCACCTGGTGCGGGTGCTGACGCTGCGGGGGGACGTGCCGCGCGCTCGCCACGCCGACATTATCGCCATCGCACTAGAGGCACGTGGGCCCGCATCCGCTTCAGCGCCCGCACCCGCGCACCCGCGCCTCTTCGCCGACATCACGTTCACCGACCGCCTGCTCGAACGGTTCGCGCTGTAAACTGGTGCTACACCACAGAATAAATGCTTCTCAGCCATGTGGTCCATTAAAGAATTGGTAAGTTACGAACATGGAATCATCCTAGCTCGAAGTTTTTGTTCCGTGACATTTATTTTCTATAACTTAATCACATATTGTATAAATATAGTTATAACTGATAATGGTAAACGTAATATACAAATTAATTATGCAAATAAAAAGTATTTATACATGTATCACAAAGGTTGTTTATTTTATATAAATATTCCTACTAAAGAATTAAAATATACACTCGCAACAAAGCACACAGCGCCATCTAGTACCAAATCAAACGGAACTAACGCTATGAACACTCAATAATAATGAAACATTATCTATACATATAAATAAAATTGGAGTGTCTGTTTGTAATATTGAAATAATAGCTTTTTACTACATGCATATGAATATAAATACTGCACATACACCAAAATAACATTTTTAAAAATTTTTGTCTGTCTGTCTGTTTGTTCCGGCTAATCTCTGAAATGCATGGACCGATTTTTTTTGGCAGGTAACTGATGTAATAAGGAGTACTTAGGCTATTTTTATTTTTGAAAAATAAAGTTAAATATCATGCGGACGAAGTAGCGGCAACGGCTAGTATATAATAAAAAGACTCGTCTAAAAACATGATAACTAAACAAATATTTATTTTGTGCGAGAATCGAACCCATCGTAAGGTGGTGTGCTAAATCACTGGAACATCAAGTTAGTTTTTTTATATGATTAGTCTGATAAAATAATATAATACCTATTGGTCAAAGTGAGTTAAAAATAATACAATATTGAGGTGTTCAGAATATAATATACAGCACACAATGTTTACACAGCTTTAACACAAAATCTACTTAATTGTATAATATGAGTAAAAATCTGTATTACGACATATTATAACATTCGTTTATTGTAATTTCGCCTCCACCGCGTAATGGTACATTGAAAATAAAGCAATGTTTCCTACGTAGTAAAATAATTGTAATCAGATATAGCACTGATGCAATCACTCGCCAAATGAAAACAAATGTACGGGATAGGAACTCGTTAAAAGCACCCGAGGATTGAGGATCATTAACAAGATCTCACTGTGTCACTGTAACAACATTGAGACGTCAAGAATCTGATTCTGTGTTTATCATTTATATGCAATAGCGGTTTGAGTCAAGGCCAATTTATAGTCGAAGGGCGGGCGGGCATTCAGCGGCAGTCAGTCGCGTAGTTTGCGTTGTTTTCAAGTCACACGCGACACGCCGCTGTTGCCACCGGCCGCGCTATGTTGCGCACTTGTTGCTTGATACTGTTCTTAGTGGCAGGTGAGCCTACTATTTACAAATAATAACTAGTTTAAAATAATTATGTGTATCTTATTAATATCACCTGATCAAGTGATTTTTCAAATTTGGTGATGATTTTCAAATATTGTGGTGTGTCCAATGTTTCTAAAATAATGTTTGTGATGCTCTTATAAAAATCACTAAATTTTTTTTTTGTTAATTGTGTTATTTCTTTCTGTTCGTTTTTGTACAAAAACATAATATTACATAATGTTTTATAAGTGAAGATGATTATTAAAGGTAAGCTTATATCTATAAGCGTTTGTTTTACTAACTATGAGGTGTAATGCTAGAAGGAAATAAATAGTTATTACATCTATGTTAATGGATTTTAAAATCAGAATAGCCATGTAACATTCATGATCTCTATAAATCGTATCAAAAAAAGTGTTCTCCAGTTACATAGGTCGTCCATTAAACGGTAGATACTTAAAATTGTAAAAGGCTTTATAATAATTATGACTGCTCAGAAATAATTGCGACTGCTCAGTGCATCGAATGTCCTATGACGTGCGTACGTCACGTTTACAAATGTACTGGCATTGTGGCTATTGAATAATTCAAATACATTCATCGAGTGTGTTTCTCCCGCGCTCCTAACCCGATCCCGACCGCGGTATTTTTAACATCCTCGGACCACCTCAAGGTTGACCAAGATAGTCGCTTATTCATTGAGATATGACCCAATTTCTTACAACTAGATATAAATAGAGTAACCTATGGAGAACGTTTCCGAATTTAACTAAAGTTTATAATAGATTCGACATTTGCGTAAATAACTGAATTAGAGCATATGACTTGTGATTTCGTTTAAATGATTAAAACGCGTTTATTCCATTCCTTATTGAATAGGAAAATGAGTTTCTAAATAAGATAAATCTTATTGTTATAATTTATATACCTTCTCTCTTTATTAAATTAATTTGTGAATAATATAACATTTAAATGACATTTAAACCCCACCAGTAAAAACTTTACGCGGTGATCCATTGTTTATAGAATGACTTCCCATTCTATTTGTATATATTAAAATAAATAACTAAAACTAGGATTGTGATCACCGTAATTGGAGTACCTAACAAGTTTATTTTCCGTGTACGTTGGTTCAGTGTTGACTGCGTATCACAACGATCATATTCTTAAATTGCCTCATGGTACCTACGAAGTACAATTACTACGATATACGGTTATATTAGTTTTCTACCTACCATGATATTGTTGGTATGTATAGCGTGTGAGTGAGATAATATGCAAATGTTTGTAGAAAATGTTTAGTCTATATATATATAATTATAGGTATAAAATATAGATACTATAATAAACTCTAAACTACTTTTTATGAAATGTGGGTAACCGTTGTATAATATGGTTCAATCTGGTGATGGATTTTACTTTTTATTAACACCAATGTGCCTAATAGAAAATAATTATAAATATTATACACATTTAAAATTTCAGGAAGCCGACAATTGTTCATAACAACATTCTCTGTACCGAGTTCAGTCGAAAAGGGTAGTCATGCCAACCTTCAATGTCAGTACAGATTGGATCCGAGCGACGGGAACTATGAACCATACGTCAAGTGGTGGTGGACACCGCTGTACGGTACAGACGAGAACAGAGACAGAGTGCAGCTCTATCAAAGGCTACAAAAAAATGATAGCCAAACTCTAAATAAACACAATATAGGTAATAATTTAAGGTTGTTTAACAGTAAAAAATATATGCATCTTCACAACTGTTGTACCAGACGGGGTAGCCGTAGGCATTGTCGACTGTCGATTTCGTGGTGAAAGCAACACTAGAGATGCCTATTTAGATATATATTTCAATGGCACGGCAGAGGGCAACGCTACTTACGACGTCTCGGATTAATTTTTGGGTTTATTATGCAGCATCTATAAAAACATTAGTGTTCTGCATAACACATATTTCCATAAATCTTATTATTATATTTATGAATATTTTAAAGGATTCTATATTTGAGATAATGTTTTTTTTTAACTTACAGTACACTTAGAGAGCGATAGTATATTAGTCACAGACTTGGATTTTATTGACTCTGGTATCTACGAATGTGAAGTCTCCGGCCTTACAGAGATACGTGTTCACAAACAACTTATTGTCTATTGTAAGTATTTGCATTGATTTTTTTTAAGTTAGGCCCTTATTGTCCATAGACTGTAAGATCCATGCCCTTTTTTGCGTTTTCCTCGCTTTGCTTGTTCCATGAAAATATTTATATTGTGTTATGATTTAATCTTTTATCACACATGTACACTGGTATCACACAGGTAGACTTGTAAATATGCATCTTCTCACAGTCTCATCTATTTTGCGGCGAAACAGCTTGCTTTGTAGTTTGTATCTCGATTATAGATTGTGACTATAGGCAGTGAATTACAAGATAAGACGCATGACGTCTTAGTCCTTTTGGCAGAGCATGAGTGGTATCACAGGTGTCATATGATAAAGTGATGTCCGTAGTGCTGTTCATGTATATAAGCGACGGTGACCGCTTACCATCAGGTAAGCCGTCACTTTGTTTGCCATTAGGTATATCATCTGCTATTTATTTCTTAGTCATCTCGTTGTTTACTCCCTTTCTTGCCATATCATCTTTTACACAGTACATCAATTTCTTTTCAGCCTTTTTCCTCTGACCTTATAACCATCCACATTCATATGGAACACCTTCCTTAAAATATTCACTTCATTCCTACCTTGTTCGCCATAAAATTACATCAAAATATTTACAATTTTTATGGAGTAATGACGTGTCAGTCTCGCATATTATGTCTGTACACAAATACATCTTACCCATCTTAAATGTTTTGGACCAGGAGGAATCTTGATCAGTTCCTGGCTCGCGGGCCGTAAGGGCCGGGCGATGTTCACGTCTACAGGCGATGGTCATAATTCAAATTCAAAATCAAATTAACTATTGCTTTCTAGCAAATGGTACTGGGCCGCAGTTGAACATATCAGAGGTAGCCGACGGTCCAGATGCCGACAGTGAAGCAGACGTCCTACTAGAATGTGCGGCGCAGGATGTCTCCCCACAGCCGGAGCTCTCCCTCAGTGTGAATGGGTCAGTACGACAATGAAAATTATGTATAAAATAATATACATGTCTTCACTATTGTTACCCTAGATTGATAAGTGTAAGTGGAATCCGTCGTGTGTCTTGCCTCTTATCCTGTAACTTCACTGCAGTCTCATAACACAGTTTACTAAGCAAGTAGAATCGCGAGAAATAGTTGGTTTTTTTAAGTGAATGTAATGACAAACAAGATAATAACCTAGTTTATAGAAGGTGCCAATAATCCCTTATAACTGAACAGACCCACGGATTCACGAAGTCATGTGTTAGCATGTGACGCCCGCGATGTCGTTCATGCACTGACATTCTTGAAGATTAATGTGTTTCGTAGGTACTTCATAATTTTAGTAACATATCTCAACGAATCGCTTACAGAGCAAGTTGTTTAGCTGCAAACATGGTGTAGTTTATTGTTTTGATTGTACATCAACCATATATATAATGCTTAATATGAAATATATATATTTTAGTATGATAATGGAATGGAGCACCCGCCTGCGCTAACGGTTTACGCTGGCACCAGTGGATGATGATAGGATGAGCATGAAGTCAGGTCATTTAGCCCGTCGTCACAAATTCACTGAGAAATTATCACGATAGTTTCAAGAGGGAACCGCGTGGAGGTCAACCTATACCAAATAAGGTGCATGTTATGATGATGAATTTATTATATCATAATTGTGCAATGCAACATGAACAAATAAATAAATACAAACGAATTTTTGCGAAGTCTACCATGGTAAATAATATATACCTAATCTAATAATTTCGCAATAAGGATCTATAGATACATATGCTTTGCTCTTTTTAGTAAAGAGCTCGACAATGTGACTACACACGTAGTCAATACGAGTGAAGGGTCGTACACCATCGTCACCAACGTGACGGTCAGTAAAGACGAAGTGGATGGTACCGAAGTTCGCTGCGAGTTGTTCTACACAAACCAGGATATATCGCACCCACCCTACATAGATGCCGAGTTGTATGACCCCTCGGGTATGTTGTACATATTGTTAAGTAATAGTAAAGACATATGAAAACGGTGTCATTATAATTAAATAAAATGTATACCTATCTACTGTATTGCATAATTTTCTAACAATATCTGTTTATGTCCGCGATTTCAGTAGCGTTCAATTTATAGCCTGTATTACTCTGATGTAGAAGCTATATTATTGTAAAGTTTCATTAAAATCCATTCAGTTGAGTAGTAATTTTATTAAGTAGTATTAATAATTAGCGTAAAAGAGTAACGAACATCCATTCACACACGCAAACTTCCAAGTTTTAGAATATTAGTAAGATTCAGGATGGTGTATTATATATGTGTCAGTACCAATATGGGCAAAGAATTATAGCGGTATAAAATTAATACATTACAGGAACCATTCAGAGTATTTTTACCCAGTATTGCGTATAAAGAATAAGATATGGCAGTGAAATTACTGGGTATGGATCATTTGTCCTCTGCAATGGCAACAAAACAAAAGTGATCCCACTTTTCACCACAATTTTATATCCATGGTGATAGATATTTTATCTCTAGTTATAGATTAGGTTAGATGTAGGTATGTACATTATTATTTAAATTGAGCTGTTTTCTATTTGGCATGCTCATTGTTCGTTATGGGTTTTAAATACATATGTTAATTTTATTGCATGGATGTGTTTTTTTCATTATGCAATTTTTTCATATTTATATCTCATCATTCATAGTCATTTTTGTTTTATTTGTCTTCAGAAGCAAGAATGTTGTTTGTAGCTATAACAAAGTTACATAGATGTATGTTACTAAACAACGAGTTTTGTAATAGGTCACAGTGAATACATTTTATACTATTTAAAAAACAGGTTCATGTATGAATATTATTATAAGTAAGAAGTGGATCGAATATTGTGATTAGTTTAAGAACCAGATTAATCCTTGGAAAGATAGCGAAGAAGGCTCTTTATAATAGAATGGAAGATTTGAACATTACACCAGAAAAAAATCTTTGTGTTTGTGATGCAAATGATATTTTGGATGTGTAATAGTCATATAATGTATACTATGGTGTTATTGTAAAGGACGGTAATTAATCATGACAATATATTTCGTTAATTTAGTTCATTCATGTTCAGGAACATTGCATGATTTTATACACAGATATTGTTTGTAATATAATGCTATTATATGTTACTTAACTAATATCACTACACCAATTGAAATTACGATTAGTAATTATTAACATAGTTGTGATGTTGCAGTCATTAAATGTTTTTTCAATATTAATAATATTGAATTATATTTCTTAAACGAATACATATTTATTGATGCGATAAAATACGTTCATTTTTATTTAGTTACATGAGAATGATACTGAGTTTATTTCGAAAATAAATTAATGTATTGCTTTATACAATACATAGGTACCTACCTTAAAATGGGTGTAATTATACAAATTAAAATTTATATGTGAAGCGTAAACAATACGTAATAATAATCCTGATAAATAGAATGCACCAATAAGCAGTGCGTTGTGGCATGTCTGTGAAATAATGTGGGTATGTGTTGTATGTGCACTAACGCGGCATCGGTTGCCGGCGCAGGCGCAGTCACGGCTGCCACGGAGACGCTCGAAGTCGACACACCGCCCGCCTCACACTCCTTACAAGACGAGCGTAAGTCTTCAAACCTAGAACAAACTCCTATATCCGAACCTCGACAGTCGATTACACTGCCTGCCAATGAAAATAAATTATAAAATACAAAACCTAATTTTCCGACCTCAAAAATTACGGGCCTAGGTTGCCTAGGTCTTAGTCCACTCCTGCTGTCTGCCTGTCATTGAGTTTGTTGTTACAATACTCAGTAAGTCATACTAAGTGGGGTCCTGTTTGCGTATTATCAATTTTGTGATAGTGTTCTAAATACTTTGCAGTGAATGAATCGATCCTCTAAATTATTTGTTTATTTGTAAAATTACCGCATTGCTTGCGGTTTGGGGATAATTTTGTAATTCTATTACAAACAAATACAAGGCAAGATTTGTTTTATTTTTTAATTTATTGTACAAAAATTTGTCCTTTTGTAGATGCTATATATTTGCTTATTGAGTCCACCCAACATGAAAGATCTCATTTATGCTTCGCTTTTTATTTTACTAATAGCTATGTATTTACATTCTTAATATTATACCTAATATGTATAAATAACACTAATTTGTACAAGTTCTGCATTGTATTTGTATTGAAATAATTCATTTATTAAAACTACTATCACACATTGTGTATTTATTTATACACTTTATAAAAATGTAGTATTTGATTAGTTTCATTTACTAACGTAATCGTTTGTATATTTTACGAGTTTGATTTTTTAAGAGACTAGCGAATAAAAGTCGACTTTCTCAGTGTGCCACATTTTTTCCAATGGTTAATCCTATTATAGAATATATTGAATTAGAAAAAATATTATGTATTACATACCTTTTTAACCTTACATACCATAACTTTCTCATGTACTCATAGACAATTTTTATATGAATCTAATAATTGTCTTTTACATTTCAGGTTCGAACAGCAGCGGCCATCGGACTTCGTGGTTACTACTTGCCCTGGCCACGATCCCGCTGTATCTACGCGCGCTACTATGAATTAATAATGTGATACTAAAATAATGTAATACAGGTGTATATAATACTATATATAATAATATTTATTAATTAACACATTAATACTAATACAACAACAAAATATACTTATTTTATAAAATGTGTCCATGTAAAAAGCTTAATTAAACATATAACGAATTATCTATGAGAAAAATTGTTAGATAGAATATTTGTGTGATAAACAGATAGTGACTGGACAGATATTGTACAGAAAACAATAATTCATCACAGAAATTATCAATGAATTACATATTCATAATAAAAACTTTCATGTCTATAATAATGATAATAGTTTTTATTGACGATTTCATCTATGTCCATCATGTAGATATTATATTGAATCACAAACGCAGTTGTATTAATAATAACTGCTGTGAATAGGTGCATATATACGTAGTACATACGTGCATACTAGTCACAATAAATAAACTTCTAAAATTCTATGACCTTATTTGTTATAGAAAAAAATTAATAATAGTGCCTAGTTATTATTTATAGTGATATTGAAACTGCAAGAAAAGAACAAAAAGAAGAGAATGGTATGTACTGATGTAAATAAATTATGAAAAAACGTCTAGATATAAAAAATAAATATTTTCATATACCATATTGTAAAAGTTATATACAACGGTCTGTTGCTGAATAATATCAATAACAAAATTATGTTTAAATATTACTTATTAGCGAGGTTTTGTTGTCCAGTGCTTTATAATCTAACATGATTCGTGATTGGCCGACACCAAAAATCAAGACTGTCCTGTGAGGTAAACACCGATAACAAGCGGTGAAAATGTGTCCACATGTTGAATTTTACGTTCACCAAAACGTCGACAATTAATAATTTTTATGACTGCCTCTTCTGGAATAACCGTCGTAACGGTATTGTGTTTTTTTACTATTGGCGTAGTAGTGACTAAAATAGCATTACATACTAAGGAACGATATTATAAATAATACACAAAGTGGCACTAACAGATAACCAGTTTTATTTTGGGTGATATACAAGCAATTAACATTTGTATAACGTACTGTTTATCGAATACAACAAAAATTAAAGAACAATTGAACACATTTAATATTTGTTGGGTTATGAATACTTGAGACGCGAAAATTGTTATCGCTTATTTATCGCAGTTTTAGGGTTATTAGATTATTTCAAGTTGACTATTTATCATATTCATTTATTTCCATACAAATTAGCTATTGTAAATCCAATTTATTTTTATTACATATTTATTGGACAGATATTGTACACAATAACGAATTACAAAATGTCGTAAAATAATATTGAATCAATCCCCGATATATGTATATATGGGGTTTATAGGTCGTCATATATTGCACCATATATTACAGAATAAATATACCAAAAGAAAAGTAGCATACAAATATATAAAAAAAAGAATATGTATATATCATATATTATGTACAATTCTTTACGAACAATAACTTTAATATACATTATTATTTATTTTTAGTAAATATCGAGAACTTATGCTGTAGATTTTATTACTAAATAAATGCCATACAGTCTATTGTCTGAATTGTTACTACACATTCCTAGACTACTTACATTACATAATTTTGATAAATGGCATTTTAATGGCAAGATAAGATTTTAGTTTCGTTCCTCAAGAAACGTAATTCACGTGGAAAGAGTCGACTGGCATTTAAAAATAATTATTAGATAAAATATCAAAAGAAAGTCCAAGGTTATACCTATAATATCAAAAACCTCTTTCGCGTTGTTGCTTTATTGTTTTGTTTAATTAGAATAAACTTATAACATTTTAATCAAATATTTATTGAAATATTGAAAGCTAATTACTAGTAGACACAAAATAGCTAATGCGAATAAATTAAAGTGCTTGTTTTGTACAAAACAAGCAATTTAATTTAATCAACAATGATACTTCGGGTTTGAATTTGTGATGAACATCTACAACCAATACAATAATTATATAATATTAAAAGTGCGATGGTAATTGGTAATTAATTTGTATATAATATATAATTAATATTTTTCTGTATTATTTAAATGTATGTTTATATACCTACATATATATTTTTCTGTATATTATAATACTACATGGTATTAACATAATTGCATATACTTTAAAAAGTATAACTCAATAATTTGTTGTTTTAATTATATTTAATAAATAAATATACGCCTATTCAACATATGTTGCTGCCTTTATTCCGCTTTTTTATATTACTACATTTTGTAAAACAAATATCAACATAAAGCATATGGCTTTTTTAACTCTAATTTCTTAGCTAGATATACAATTGTATTTACTTATGTTATTGCATTTATAATTGGATTATTACGAGGCCGGATGATTCAGGCATCTCAAGATTTCACAAAACAAAATAAAGTTATATATATATAGTTAAAATAATATAAAATAGTTATTTTGGTTACATAATACGCAAGTACTCCGTCTAATTTTAACCAAATATTAATTGGAATAATGTGAAATAATTATAGTCAATTACTAGTAGACTAAATTATATTAAATAAATATATGTATGTTGCTGCCTATATTCCAGTTTTTAATATTGCTGCATTTTATAAAACGAATATTAACATAAGGCACATGCCTTTTTTTTAACAGGTAACTTATTTACTTATAATTTGTCATATATTTATAATTATTACGCGGCTGGATGATTCAGGCATCTCAAGATTTGACAGAACAAAATAAATTTATGAAAATATAAAATAAATAATTTGGTTACATAATACGCATATTCTCTTACCAAAAATACTGGTCTTAAACTATGCCGTTATGATACTTATGCATAAAATTATTGTTTCATATAATATTAATATTTGGTATAGGTCCTTTACATACTTTGCACAAATGCCAGAAATAACTTTGGTGAGTATGACGCTATTAATTATATTTGGTTGAACTCATACATCTTTTTACTCGTATGTACTTATTTCGTTCATTAAGATTAATTATTACAACATGCATATAATATGATCTGTATAATCTCAGATTATACAGATCATATAATGTATTCATGATTTATAACACAGTAAAGCATGATTCGTAATATAATAGTTTTTTTACTTCTTTCATTATTCAGTATTCAAAAACGCCCTACATTATGCAAAAAAATATAAATTAATTAATATTCATACACTTAACCGTACTATAGAACTTATAATTAAATACCTACTCATAATTTGGTTATATATGGAGCAAAAGTCCTGTTTGGTTATGCAGCCTTTATATATTTTTTTCGTTACATATCTATACGATTTAACATTATTTATACAAATTTACTATTGTGTGTAAAATCCAATATGAGTCTTTCACCGTATCCCTACTATATCTTATACATCTATTATTTACATAGCGTAAATAAATATTTTCTCATATCTCCATTTACCTCAGATAAATAAAAAATATAAACATGCTATTTTTTTTTTCAGTCGTCATAGAAACAATCATAAACAATTAATATAACAATAATTCCCTTTCCTTATATTAATCTATATTATTTGCGTGAAAATACATTATAATTTGATAGGTATTGACATCTGTCAAACATAAGTAAAAGAATGAAGAAGGAATAAAACAGAACCAAAAAAAAAAAAAATGAAGAAGGAAGGATTCTATTAAAACAATCTAAATTCAGCATTTTGAGATGCTCTTATTTTAGTTTTTTCATAGAGTGCCATAACTATTGTCAAGATAACTTGACACTACATTACTTACATCAAGTATTATATGTATTAACATTATTTATATATACCTATATACCTTTGTGATTATTCTATTATTGACATTATTCTTTGGACATGATATATGCAGCGTTTTACGCCTCTATCGGAGTAAAGACGCTTACTACTAAAAGTATAAATTCTTTGGCACCATTATTTTTTATTCATGTTTATCTACCTAATCTTTACCTCGCTGTCTCTTTGTTTCCTCTCACTAAAGTATGACTATATCTCCAGCTAATTTAGTATACCACTATAATATTTTACTAATAAGAGATTTGACTTACTGGGTTAAATTTCGCTAATTATTACTGGACTTCATTTTATCAATGCTACTAGGACTACCACATATTACATTACAGGAATTATGCCGTGTTTTGCGCTGACCGTCTAAGTCTACATCTGCACCTGCAGCTACAGACGTCAAAGCAACAGTCTTATCAAAATCGATAGTAGTATATCCTATAGTGGCTGAAGGGGGAGATACAGCTGTGCTAGCTGTGACCTGCTTTTCTACACTACTCTGTGACACAAGCCGTCCACGAGGTTGCGACGAACATGATGCTGTGCTCTCATTTCGAGAACTATTATAAGATTGCATCTCTGGGGATACAACATCTCTGGATACCCTGCCAGTTTCCTTGTTAGAATCAATATCTAATATAGCGTAATTTACTTCTAGCTCCTCTACTGGTGACATTGAGGTAAAAGTATCCGACTCTGAAAACTTCTGATTATGCTCTGATATGTTTGAAAAATTTAACATCTGCTTGACATTCTTGATATTGTCACCAATTTCACCCAATGCTAAATTAGCATATGTATTAATTTCGGCCTTTGTACCGACACTTAAATTACAATAATCTACTTGTTTCGGTGTTAAAGGTGTTGTTGGAACAGTGTCATTTTTATTGTTTTCTGATATATTATTATCATTTGGTACAATATTCATGTAGAGTCGAGCAGACTCTTGTTGTTCAATACTAAGTTGCGCATAATGCTCACTGGAACTACTTAGCGTGGGAGATAAAGGACTACTTATCTGTTTATTGGGTATAGTCTCATTTATGTATCTACTTTCAAGAAATCGAGTCTCATCTTCAATATCTCTCATAGTGTTTAGAACAGTTTCTTGACGTAATGTGTTTCTTAATATAGCTAAATCTCTGTTAAGATCATTGCTATATACATGATGAGTTTCAGATGTATCTCCTTGATTATTATTATTGTGTTCTCTCTTAAATTCCCTCAACTGGTAAACATTAGTCACATGATTGCCATTAGTCTGAGAACGTGGATATAAAGGCATAACTTCTAGTATGTCAGCACTAGAAGGTGACCGTGGTGATTGATTTACTGCACGCACAGTAGAATGTGGTATGTTGTTAGCAAGATTATTATTAATGGGTGGAATGTGATTATCAGGCTGGCCATTGTCTATAGAAGAGCGATGAACTACACTGGCTTGTAGTGTCTGCCTACCCTGAGGGGATGGAGTTAGTCTTGAGACAGGATATGGCACAGAGTCATGTATGACATTTCTCAGTTGTATTTGTTGTTGAAGGCTTCGAAAGAGCAAGGAAGCTCTTCTACATCTAAAAGCATATATGCCTTCACCTGTTTCACATCGTCTTCCTGTAATGAAAAGAATTTTATTAATGTTACGGCTAGCCATATGGTGATGAACCAAGTAGTCACTTTTAAACATTTATATGCATGAGTAAGTTTATTGGATTATTCGCTTTTTATATATAGTTTGTATGTATTTAAGTACACAAGCTCTGCTTAGCTTGAGACTAGATAGCACTGTGTGAATTGTTTATTGTTATTAATATTATCATTAAAAAAAACATTTAATTCATATTATTAATACAGATTGTGTATATTGTTTTCTATTATTTTTTGTTTAGTAAATATGTTTGATATTTGACATAGATTATGTTAAAAATTTGATATATTTAGGGCAACTTATTTCATTCAATACATTTTGTTCATTATATTGACTATCACATACAAGTTACATGTTGTACACTTTATCACCACTACATTGGTTAAAAAATTAGTAATTTTGGGAAATCTACTAAAAATATTTAATTCTTTAGAGTAGATATCTCAAAATTACACATTTTTAAATCTAGTTCCAAAACTGTACTTTTTTAGTTCAAGCAGTGTTATATTAAGGATTTGTAACTATAACTTTTAAACCCCACAATACAGGCTGTTTTTTATAGGTGATAGTGGAATGGTATACCTAATTTTACTAATAGTGCAGGTGTTGTTCCAAAGTGAGTAACATAGTTTGAAATAAAAACTCAATACATAGTAATATTCAGAAGGAAAAATAGCAGTGAAACAATAGTGATGGTTTGTTATAAATGAAGGATAGAGTTAGATTAAGTATATGGCAATATATAGTTTTTAAAAATGTAAAGCAAATGATTTTAATAATTAAATTTAAATATAATTAAAATACCAACCTGACTCAAAACTAAATAGTTCCCCCTCAAATCCATATCGTCTCAAAGAATGTAAGGGCCATACTGTTGAATCTCTACCTTCCCTATAGAGAATAATATCAGACTCTGTGATTTCTAATTGTCCAGAGCACAAATCCGCACCGTTTTCGTCTATGTTTACAACACGGAACACATTGGGGTGCAGATCCGAAGATTCCTTTTTACTATGTAGACACCCCATTACGCTTGCCACAACGCTAATGATTACTTTATTATATTCATGTAGCTTCCATGAAGTAGTTCTTTAAGTTAATTTACAGTAACATTAACTATAAATATATATTCGTTGCAATTTGAGACGATAAACCACAAATATAGGCAAACAAATAATAAACACTTTTGACAGGAGATAGTAAAGATATCGAAGGAATCAAAATTATGGTAGATTTTTTATTATTACTTTACGGCTCTGGATACAAGTCCTTTTTAGCCCAACATAAAGTTTTGCAATATAAATTACAAAAATTAAAGTCAATGTCCACTGTCAAAGAATAATAAATGTCAAATTTTGTTTCTCTGTTCTAACGAACTTATTCAAAACAAAAACTTAAAAATAATCACAATTTCTTAACAGTGTTGGAAACGGGAGTCACAACCGTGATTTTTTTTTTTACGGATGATAATGGGATGGTGCACCCGCCTGCGCTATCGGTTTACGCTGGCGGGGCACCAGTGGAAGATGATAAGATGAGAATGAGGTCAGGTCAGTTAGCCCATCGCGACAAATTCACCAGGAATTTAACACGATGGTTTCCAGGGGGAACCACGTGGAGGTCGACCTGACATGGTACATTGCTAGCAATGGGGTTATCAATCCACATTACTAACAATCCCCTTCCCCCCTCACAACCGTGATTAGCGCAATAGGTACGTTTTGAAATGTTCATGATTGCTGTTCATGTGTACAACCACTTTCCATCACATGCAGCAAGAGGGGGTCAGTGTGACCTGTCTGAAATTAAAGATCATGCCATAATTTAATATTTTATTTCGTACTTTGTAATTACGTAAATATCATTTGACAGTTGCAATCGCAATCGATTATTTTTGATTTTATCTGCAACTGTCAAGTGAATCATGCATATTTACGAATTTGTGAATATCAATCTATTTCAAGTGTATTTTGAATTACATTAATTTATTCTTAATATTTTCACCTATCGATTTCAGACTGCCATGATTTAGAATTGTTACTAACAACACAAATAAGATATGTATTAGAGTTAACCTAACTATCCCCCAATGTTCAGATAAGTTTATTGTGCCATAAGGACACGAATATATCACAAATGGTCACACTGTTAGTGAGTATATTTTTAATAACTTTATAGGCTACTCTAAATTTGACTTTGACTTAGATCTGATTGAGCAAGTAATAACTACGTCCAGAAAAAGAATTAAGAAAACATATTATACTCTATATTTTTTAGTAGAACTACGGAATTCTTCTGTAGTTCTGCTAAAAACTGTAGAGAATAAAATGTATTGAAATGAAATTGTATTTTGCGATTATACTTGGACAATTGGTTTGGTATGTCATTTACTGAGTGTTTAAAGCTTATGCCTACATATAGATTTACGGTAATCTATGGTTCGATCCGTGATGCTTTTCGAGGCCTACATGAACTTCAACTATATCAGCTTAGCTGTTATCTGCGACTTTTGTTTTTTTGAGGCTATTTAAAAGATAGCCTATGTTCATATTGGTTATATAACCAATGTTCACGTCAAATTTTATTACCATACATTTAGCCAAATACACTCTCGAATGTATTATATTAAAGGATAACTTAGTAATCATACTTAGGTACTATTTTTTCAATATTGTCGACCTCAATAGTGTAGCGTTTAAGACACCGCCTTGCTCTGTTCCAATGGTCACAGGTTCGATCTTGCACGATGCAAACATTTGTAATCATTTGTAATAACTAACTATCTATTTACACAAAAGTACCTAATCGTAAGTTTTAAAAATTGTATACCTTATAGTGGAGTATAGCAGGTTTGGACAGACCATGCCACAGTATTTTTTATATAAGATCATGGTCTTAAAAGTATTGAATTATTTCGTGTGGTAGCACGTAGTACTGTAGTATTGTTTAGTACCACATAAGTCACTATATATACAATGAGCACAGAAGAATATAATAATTATATATAATAACCTAATTATATTTATTTTTACATAAACACTCTTTAATAAAATAATTGCATTTAATTTAATTTATAAACATCGCAAGTTACACTTATCACTTCGAAATTCACATAATGTTAATATTATTTTCTTTATTAATTATTATAGACATGTTTTCAGTTCTATTCTGAAACATAGTGTTATTCTTTTTGGCAATGATAGCATGCACAGGACACTGCGGATTTGAATATTAACTTCCGTTCACCATCCAAACATAGAACTTTCACAGGTACCTGAAACGAAAAATATATTTTTATACAAATATCTTAAATTATAGATTTGGTAAAGTTGTTAGTACAATAAGTCATAAAAAATGTATGGACCTATTTAATAATATGATTCAAACAAGCAGAATTACTAAATATGATGAATGTTAATACTATTTAGCATACAGATAGTCATTAATATTTTATTAAAAATTTTAATATCATGAAAGCTTTCAACAAGTGTTATCCCAGATGGGGTAGTTATAGACAGGTGTAGATAGGTGTTTATAAACTTTCGAAGTCGTGTCACGTGATGAATGCAACATTTGCTATGCTATTAAATTACTCTGTGTATCTATACATTTAAATAAAATTGGAGTGTCTTATTGTAATATTGAAATAACAGTTTTTTACTGCATGCATATGAATATAAATACGGTATATAAACCAAAATAAAAATTTTCTGTCTGTCTGTTTGTTCCGGCTAATCTCTGAAATGGCTGGACCGATTTTGACTGGACTTTTATTGGCAGGTAACTGATGTAATGAGTAACTTAGGCTATTTTTATCTTAGAAAAATTCTTTTATATTAGAAAAATAAAGTTAAATTCGACGAGGACGAAGTCGACGGTACAGATAGTTTAAAATAAAATGAAATGTTGTACGGTGCGTCACCGTACAGCCGTCAGCATTTTACACCGCTCCGCGTCCATATAACGCCCCTTTTCCCTTCAGTACACCAATACTCACAAGCAAGCATCAGTCCACACTCAATCATCGTGTACTCAATAAATCAAGTTGGAAAGCAGCCCGGACTTATAATTTATATATCAGCATCCAAATTGTGTGGGTCACAGCAGACTCATACAAATGTAGTAGTGGAGCAAACTAACGCCTAACTAATTCGGATTAGTTTCATAGTATGGTTTCGGGATATCTATAATTACACATATATACTCACGTCTTCAGCTTCCATAATATTGCAGCACTGGCCGAGCGAGGTGACGGGATGTCGTTTGAAGCCCAGCATGATGCTCGGTAGCGACCATGATTCGCAAAACCCGCGGCATGCGTTTGTCGTGATTTTGAATTGGACACAGTCTGGTATACTAATGTTTCTGGTGTGCCCTAAAACCAATGAATTTTATAATGTGATTTTGTTTTTTCTATATAGCTTTATATGCTGACTGTAATTTAAAATAGACTATAGTAAGTATATACTGTGTCAAATTTTGTCTGTAGACACCAAGAATTTACAATTCAAATATACAAACTTACTTACTACTTATAAACTTAATTACAATTAAATATACAAACAAATACAAACTTTTTTATCGTGTACGTCTGTATGCCTGAGAAAGTAGGGCCAAATTTGTGTCGAGAATGGGATTCTACACACACACAACACACATATATTATTACATATGTATTTATAGTATCTTTTTATTATTATTTGTCCCCTGGCAATTGCATTTTCCTACTGGGCTAATGTTTAATTTGGTACCTAACAAAAACGTTAAAGACGGGTATCGCCAAAAATAAGGATTCGTAAGTTCGTTAGATCTATTTATCCGAATACGGATAAATGGGCAGGCTAGGAAGGATAACGGGGTAGGTACATCGACACATGATAAAAAAAACATCATTTATTCCGACTTCGATTCTCGGTTACCGTAATTTAATTAATTGCTTAAAGTAAGTTACCTAATATCATAATTTGAATAAATTCAATTCGACCACTTCGACTATACTACAATGTTTTATAAAACTAGTATATCTCTACGTATAATTAGTATATCTCTATAAAAGTATTAAGTACTGAACTAACCAATTCGATGACAACCAGGTTTGCGCCATGAATCAGAAGCAAAAATGTAACCAAAGGATAGGAACACAACTATACACCTTAAAAGCATTGTTGTGTTAATGCTTCTTCCTCTATGAAAGAATTTCGAATGAGAAAATAGTAGCTTAGAACAGTTTTATTAATCTCCTAAACCAGAAGTCCCGAACCTTTAAGTGAGGAGGTTTTACCGAATTTATTTTAGCTCTAATAGTCGATTGAAGCCACATAAAATACTTATAGGTATAGGTATATCACCAGTGTTATGTTTATCGTATAATGTATTGCTTCATGCAATGTGAATATAGACTTCAAATCACTAATGGTTTGGTAGGATACAAAAACTACACAGCGCAATCTTTTATCATTATCTTTTGTCGACTAGAGGATATGGCGATCATACTATAATGTAGCTAGTACTAGTTAGTCTACATACTATTATGCATATGAAAAGACAATGATGATAATACTTATGCCCTTAGGCTATAATAATGATAGGTACTTATTTCACTTTAGCTTTCGGAAGTTGTATAGCCAGCTAATTTTAGTACCTATTTCCATTTCTTATGATAAGATAAATTATAAAAGTTGAAACAAAAAGAATATGTTTGGGACATCTGACTACGAAAATATGTATAAAGTTGATATATACCTAAATAAAGGGGATGTTTTCACTTCATAAATCGAATCATCTCTGACGCTCTGCATAATGCGATACAGAAATACAACAAACGGACCGTATTTTATGGACTTTTTGCTTACGTTTTCACTGTCGTAGCTAGGTCATGAACACTCATAGAAATATAGGTAGTTTTAAAAATTCCTGACACAGGTAGTTATACCTAGTTCTGACTAATACTGCAGTATAAAAAGTTTTTGAAATGTCACTAGTTGGCATTCTGGTTAGAATATAGATATAGAAATAACTAACTATATAGATTAGAGACAAATACCGATCGTTTCGTATTGTAATGAACCAAATAACGTTATAGACATACAAGCATTTAGGTCGTTACTTTGAGAACCACGTATATAGTAAGTAGACTTGCTTACGTACACGACAAGCCTGGTTACTACCTAGATACTGAGTTATTAGAAGTATTACGCGGTTAAGCCGACTTCTTCGCGATCCTTCTGAAAATCATCGTTATAATTTCTGGTGAATTAGCTACGATAGGTTAACTAGCCAGATTTCATATTCAGTTTATCATTACCAGTCTGTACCTACTGTTTGTACACGCGGGTGCACCATTCTCTTAACATTCATTTGAAATACCTATATATATTTATTATGCATTATATTTTGACTGATTGTTGTTATAACCGTTACCAAGGCAACGCATCATCCAATAGTCTTTAGACTTTGTATAAATAGTTGCACATCGAAAAAATGGATATTGACTATAAGATTTTGAATTTATATAAAACAAAACAATACGATAAATGTTTAAATTTATGCACAACGGCTCTACGCGACAAAAGCGACAGAATGTTAGAATTTATTCAAATGCGAGCTATGACTATTCAAGCGAAGATTGCGGGTAATGGATATGAAGAAGTAGAGTATTTTCCATATCAAGATGATTTAGCAACTACTGCAGTGGCTAAAACACCAAGAGTCGGCACAGCATTTCAGAGAGAAGTTAAGACAGCGCAACAGTTGAATGTAAATAATTTTTTTTGTTTCATGTATTTTTATCCCTGTGGTAGACTAAATGCCTAATTTTTAAATAATAATGATTTTAGATTATTTTAAAATTTGCGGAAAGGCAGGGGAAATCGAGATCAAAACCTAACATAGACACTTAAATGGTTCTTAGTTTTACATTTGATTAAGCTTTGTGATACTAGGGCACTTTTCCTAGTCCAGGGGTCTTATATATATATTTAAAATAACTGCTTTTTTAGAGTCGTCATGTTTTCAGAAACGAGCAAGTGGAACGGCAACTAGTCGGGGCGTGGGTACTAGTCGAGTCCGTAGCGCGAGGACTGCATTGCATACAGCATCTCGGTTGTCGAGAGCTGCTACTGCACTCGCCGGAGGGGCGCCGTTCACTGCGGGCACGCCTCTTTCCCTTAGATTTCTTTCAAAAGAGGACAAACTCTTTGTTCCTGCTGCGAAAACTTTGTTCGAATATGTCTATTACTGCGAAGGCGATATTAGAAAGGTACATCTCATAATATTATTTTTAATCAAAACGTTAAGTTTAACTATAAAATTTACCAAATAATTTACAGAGGCCAATAATTTTAATGTGTTTGATAACATTTTTTTTAATCTAGGTATTTTATTTATGGAATACGACCACGGTATAGGAACATGAACCAACACATGATAGGCTATGTTTAAAATAATTGGGTATAAAGTATTTACCTTTGCCGTCGATGATTCAATAAAAATTGTAGAACAGTCACTGTTCTGTGCAATAGAAATATGTAATTAGTGGATTACTGCTTAGTAGATATGAAGGTAGGCTCCCCTCATATTAATACCGTCATGTTCTGCAAACATTTAGGTGGTATACGTACGTACTTTCGTACTAAAGTAATTTCGCGAGCATATTTAATACGGGTGTATAGATATAAGTTTTTTGATATAAATACTTGTTTTGTTTTAGGCCATAGATATAGCATTCCAAGCCCAAAAATCAAATGATATTACAGATTGGTGGTGGAACTTCTCATTAGCCCGGTGCTACTCTGCACTTGGAATGTATAGAAATACAGAAGAATGTTTGCGACAAGCTCTTAAACAAAACAAACACATTTCAATTTATCTCCGTTTAGTTGCAATGTATGTTGGATTAAATCAGCCATTATCTGCTCTCGAAGTGTGTAAGCAAGGACTTTTAATATTTCATGAATACACGCCCTTATTACTAGAGCAAGCTCGGATTCATAATGAAATGGGTAATCCAGCTTTAGCTGTAAAAGAGTACAGAATGGTCGCTTTGGAAGACCCATCAAATATGGAAGCTATAGCCAGTATAGCGATGTATAATTTTTATAATGATCAGCCGGAAATAGCTTTACGTTATTATAGGTAAATATATTACCTATAGATAAGTTATGAAAGTAACGTTGGTTTTTTTCATCAAAACTTTAGTTTTGCAGATTAGTGGATATACAGATACATAATTAAGTTATTGTATGTACTTTTTAGTCACCTGATGACGCCTGAAGTAAACATTTATTGCAATCATTGTAGGCGCACCCAATGCAACATAGAATAATTATTTAATAATACTTTTTTTCTTATTTCATTGATAACTATCTACATATGTAACTGCTCAATAAGCAATATTGTTTCAGGAGACTGCTAGCTACCAATGTGCCTGGGCCAGAAATATTTAATAACCTTGGTTTATGTTGCCTCTACTGTAATCAGTGGGATCTGATATTGCCTTGTTTTAGGCAAGCACTTTACTTCTCTGCGAATGCAGAGATTAGATCAGATATTTGGTTCAACCTTTCTCACGTTGCAATGGTAAGCTGACTATGAAGATACCTATTGTATTTCAGTATACCTACATTAGTTCAAATTTGGTTGATATGACATATTAGGTAGCATATTAATATATGTAGTAAAAAGTAGGTGTAAGGTGCGATAAGTAAGTTCTGGCATAATGCCGCAAATTATGAAGAAACTTTGCCATCTTTATTTATAGTATGGAGTCCTCTAGTTGTACTTATAGCGTAGCGTGATGTTGTTTACGCTAGAGCGTAAGTTCGCTTCCTTCTGTAAGCTTACCTATTACATTGTTGGTATAGGTTGATGGAATACAACGGATAAAAGATTGATGTTGATATCGGAATAAGAATTTTGTTATATTTTTTAATTACGATTAAAAAACCGCAGGCCTGTCAGTGGAATCGAAGCTTCTAAACGAATGAACCGATTAATATTATGTATTATAATGATTATTAGTAAGTAATATAACAGTCTAGTTTTAGTGTTTGTCCTTTCTAATTATAGATTATGTATATATGATTACTACAGCAATTAATCTATTTTAATTAATTAATGTTTACTTTTTGCAGTCTACCGGTGACATGTTACTTGTCCGTCGTTGTTTGCAAGTGAGCCTAGCAACTGACACAGAGAATGAAGCTTCAAAGAATGCATTGCGTGCAATCAATGCACGATTACGGGCACGTAGAACGGCTGTATTATAATTGATTAAAAATGAAACACGTATTTTAAAACATAAAATAATAAAATTTCCTTATTATTTTATTCCAACCAAATAATCGTCTATGGAGATATCAAGTGTCGGCAAATTGCGCAATTCTTCATATTTTAGAGTGACTTTTGCATCTAGTACTGGTTCAGGATGCGTATGCCGGGGTGCCTTTACTACTTCGGTTACCTCGACATGAGCTTCAGGGGGAATTCGTGATAGGTGCCGTAGTTTTATCTGAAACATGCAGGATCTTTTATAATATGTACTAAGTACAAGCTGACCCGCAAACTTTGTTTACATCACACTTGTCTGATATTCATCATTACATTTGCAATTATAGTATATGTGCTATGATGTATAAGCTATATGAATGTAAAGATTTATTTATAATAAGATCTAATAAAAATAAACTCATTAAAATAAACTGAAAAATTAATATTAGTACCTAAGTAGCTATTATTATTATTTTACGTTACTGTATCTGAACTCCTGAACCGAATTGAGGGAAATATGAAACTTTTCGTACGCAATATCTATTCGATTCTATTGTATCATTATAGTTGTCAACAACATAGGTATGATTAGTTACAAATGTTACAATACCTCTTCTATTGTGGATGTTGGTAATCCGATGCTCTCCCAAGAATCCGTTTTATTCGAAATAACCAACGGTTTAGCAAAATTCGTATTTTTATCCTTAAATGAAGAAAAAGTACCAAAGCCAATGTTATGAAATAATTCTTTTGCTCGTTTTGCTAACTGCGGTTCTTTCGATGAATAAAATAGTAAATGAGCATTGTAGATCAAAGCCACGCTTCTAAGGGTTGTGCATATAAACTTCTTTATGTCACTGTCTGAAATATTAGAAATTCGTTAGATATTTATTTTTAATTCTATTATAGAATGATATGGGAATACTCACAAAAATAGATAGGTAGGTATGTCTCTAGTTTTTACAAGAGGATGAGAACATATTTGCCAATATTTAAACATCTATTCGTATAGTACAGTATCTATAAAGTAGTTTTTGCAGTGATCTGAAGTAAGCCAGTCCAAAAGTCAGGACTCTAACAGAACAACCGCCTTATTACCGTGTTCTTTATTGCATTGTTTATGTCTATATATTACAAATAATGTATATTCTATTTATCTAACTACCTATCGAGTTAAAGGAGACTAAACTTTTTTTACACTAATAGAATAAGTCAATATTTACGATATTACTACTAAAGGATATTTAAGTTTTGTTAAGGTAAGATAATATAAATTTTGGTTCCCGTTCCAGTTTTGATGCGGTGAATCTATGCAGGTACTGCCGAAGAAGAAAACTAAAAGAGAAAACCATCAGATTTGTATTGAAAGTGGTAGAATTTCTTTATAACTTACCATAATTTTTGAAAAGATCATATTTGCCGCATATTATGATTAGCTCTGATGAGATTTCAGATTCTTTGTACGTTTTAGGTACTGCTTCTAAACAAATCTCTAAAGTATTCCAAATAGTTTTTATTTTGCTTAAATCAACCATGATGCAGAAAAAAATATTTCCGTGGCTTAAAACTGACGCGACGATAGTATTTAACATATTATTATCCAATTTACCACCGTATTCCCATACGTGACATAACATCTTTTCGATTGCTTGTCTTTGATTTGATTTTCGACCAAATGAGTATTCCAACACTAATGTTTCACGTGGCGTATCGGTCTTATCCAGGAAAGAATTCAGTAGAGTTGTTTTACCCTGATAGAATAAATGAGTTTAATATCCATTGTTATATTCGTTTTAATCTATTCTGTTTATCGTCTGTTGTTAAGCATAAATACTATATTTTGATACCTGTATACATCTTTAAAAGGAGTAATTTAGGTAATTATGTATTAAAATAATAATTATTTTTTTAATAAAAAAATATGTTAAATTCTATGAGGATGAAATCGCTGGTAAAAAAATCAAACAATACATTTATTTTGGAATTGTTATAACCATTATTATGCTTACAAATTAAGCTTGGTTCAATTACAATGTCGCAATGTTGTGACAAATGCAATATTAGAAACGAGGAAGAAAAGAACACTTACCACAGATTTGCTTCCCACAAGAAATATGGTATGTGAGTTATCATCACTGAAATCAGCGATTCTTTTCTCGATTTCTTGTGAAGCTTCTTCTGGGATTGTTAACATTTTAATAGCTTGGTTTCTATTTATTAATATTATTCACGAATAGTTTTAAATTCATTAATATCACTATATTACCTACCGAAGCTACTGTTAATTAATGATCGCTCGGTCAGCAGTCAGGCCTTGAATCGAATAATTTTGTTTGGTACTTAAAGGTGTTACCTAGCAACCTACTTTATTATTGGGCATACCGCTGGTTAATTTCAAAAGTAAATAGGTAATGTAAACAAGTTTTTATTTTCTATACTTGTTTTCATACCTATAAATGTTGAAATAGCGAACCCATTTGCGCTTTCCTAAGCTTTAGTGTATATTGAAACAAAAATGTTTGATATATTTTATGTCAGAAATTATATTATACTTAGGTTTTGCCTAGTTGTGATCAAATGTGACTATAACATTAGAGATAGAATTATGTTTATTTTTCGAGAATTGCATAAGCTAGTTATCAAATCGAAAACATTAGCAGATTTAATGATAGAATATTTCCGGTACAAATTCTTGGGCATAATTTTCCTCCATCCTAAAATATTTTATTAGTTATCTTATCTTATACTGTATTTTAATGCACAATACTTATCAGTTATTTTGTTTTTAAAAACAGAAAAGATAAAAATGTGATTTATATAAATTATAATATATTTGATATACATAGACATTACATAATAGATACATTTCTTAAGATAAGCAGTAAATTTTTATGTTTATTTATTTTGTCAATAAATTCTGATATTCCAGTTCCTTGTAAAGTATATCTTTATTTAATGACTGAAGTACATCTTCAAATCTTAGTTTCAAGGTCATATTTTCCATTCCTGCAATTTCTTGTTGCGTTCTATGGCGTCTTTCTTTTAATTCTTCTATTTCAGCACTCAGCTGTTGTAGCTGAGACATTACAGTATTTTCATTTGGTTGGGTTAAAGAATCTTCTAAATTATAATCTATATTTTGTATACCTTGTGAAGTAGATTCATAAGATTCAGAAAGACTATGTGTTGGTTGGGAAGGATAAAATTCGGAACCAAAATGTGGAGTATATTGTTTGGTTTTAAAATCTCCAGTAGCATGGAATGAATCTGATAGATCATCACAAGATAATCTACTGTCATCTATGTCAATGTTAACATTTTCATCTTCCAAATCACTATCACTAAGACTACCTCCAAATATGTCTTCTACTTTGGATGATGAATCATTAGGAATTTTAGTTTCGACCTTAACCTTTTGCTTTTTCTTAAGTTTATCTCCTTTGACTGATGTAGTAGGTTCTGGTTTCGTGTTTTGATCATCCTCTTCTTTAATTATTTCCCAAGTGTAAGAAACAGCTTCATTATCTGCTCGTAATAGCCTTTTTACTTCTTTTTCAATTTCTGGTGCTTCAGCACACTTTTTTTTTAATGTTTTCCTAAAGCGTCGTCTTCTAACATTCTTTGTTGGCGGTGTAATACCATGTGGAAAAAGAAATTTCTTATCGACTTTGAAAGGGTCTTTCTTTTTGTTTTTTGTTGGAGATTCATCTTCAGTAGATGAAGGATCCATTTCTTCTTTGCATATCATTAACTGACAAATATCTGCAGTCTTATAAATACTCTTTCTATCAATGGTCTTTAAAGATTCAACTATTGTAGGTAGATCAACTATTTTACCATATAATAACCAATGGTCAAATCGAACTTCACTATGCCGCATATCACTATCCATTTTTATAGTAAGTCTGTTCTTAAAATTCTCTCCAGAGTTTAGTACACTTCTGAGAGATTTTGCAGGTTCTTCAGGTAATCTCATTATGAACTGTGATTCCAGCTCAACAGGATAATCAGCTTCTCTTTTATCTTTATTCATTTTTAGGCTAAAAAAAAGATTGCAACTTGAACAAAACAAATAAAGGAAAGTATCTTATGTATTTATTTTTTAATCATAGGAATTAAACACACATATCTATAATAATAATTTTTAAGGTAATGTTTTTAGGTAATATTGCAAAAAGTATAGAAGTATTAAATGATGTCCCAAGATTTTTTTTCATAAAGACCAGCCATACATTTGATTGGACTCCCTATAAATACTTACTCTATACTTATCAATACACAATACATATTAAGAAATTGATACTGGATTGCTAGTGCCCTTACAGGTTGAAATATACATCATCATAGGCCTTGCCTTCATGTTATTATTTGGGGTCTATTAACAGCTTCTACTGATCCCTATTGACTGAAAACCTGAACTTACTCTCTTTTAATGCATATCATCTTTTAAACAATCTATCCACCTTTTCATGTTGTCTTTTTACATTCATCCACAATCATGTTCAATGCTTCTCCATATAACAAGCCTATATCTGTTATCTCACAATCTCTCTATAACTAGTGCAACTTTCAAACTACATTATATATATATATATTCCTAATTATCTTTCCTGATTATTCTGCATATCTCAACATTCACATTTCTACATACACACATTTCATATAAGCCATTTAGGACTTAACATTCAGATTCATAAACAAAACAGATAATATAATTTGTAAACTTGACCCTATAGTTTCATTAGGTCCATTTTGGGAAGGTAGCATATCATTCCCAAGACTTGTGGCCATTTTATCCATCCAGCACTACTTTTATGGTATATGTCTGCATTGTCTGAAAATGGGAGCAGACTGGATGCATTACACCATTTACCATAGGTTTGAAATTGAAGAGACTGCACCACCAATTAAATCACAGAATTTAGTTCTACTGATTCTAGACAACACTCTACAGTATTTCTTGCCATATTTCCGGTCTACTCTGGACATTGAGTCCATCCTCAGTATACATCAGAGTACCTCGACCTGAATGTTTAAAGTCAGAAAATCCATAGATTCGGTTGTGAAATTATTGTAGAAGCCAAAATAAATGGATTTCTTAAAAGAAGTGGCTTTGATTCCGGATTTACTACAACATAGGCTCTACGAAGATCATAAAACTATATTTTAATATTATTGAAATATAATTATAGAGATTAATTTTAATTATAGTAGTATTTATAAAGTTTACTTTTGTTTCCTCTGTCATTCCACGTACACCTTTACCTGTTCTGTTTAAAATATATATGTATAATAAAGGAGGTATTGTACCTGTGGTTTATCACGGATTTTTAAAGATTATTAATTTTATTTGAGTAGAAAATAGTTAACTGCAAGGAAGTTTATCACAATAGTGTGGTACAAAGAATATACTACTCAAGAGGTGTGGTATAAAAACACTTTTCTATTTTATATTTGGCATTCACAGATACAGATTAAAAACTAAAAACCGGCGTTTATAGATAATATATAGGAGAACGTATTAGGTGTATGATTCTTTCCAATAATTCGTAAATGCATTTGCGTTTCAGTTCTTTGTAATCTAAATAAAGAAAGAAAGAAAATTGTTTATTTGGAAATAATTTTTAAAATTTAATTTACATTTTATATTAATAATTAGAGTGCCAACTAGGTCTCCACTCAGCATATGTCGTGACGGCGGACAACACAAAGCAAACATTTACGACATACTACCATATATAAATAAACATCATCATAAACTACACACTGAAACATAAAATATAGACTTGTAGGTAGTCCACACAATAATGATATCGATAATATATTGATGAATTCGGAACCAAGTCCACTGTTATATTAATAATACAATAAACAAATATAATAATACACAAAAATTAATGTATATTCTGCAAAATTGTTTATTAATAAAATTTCCAATGATTTACTAATATTACTTAAGTAGTGAACAAAATAAACTATTAGTATCTAACTATTATGATAAATGCTTCTTTTTCCCTTTTAAAAAATAATCTCTGGATCTCTTCGATATATTCTTAGAAACACTTGGAATTATTTCTGGATAAGGGGCGATAAACCGAGAGATTAGATTAGATTAGATATTTTTTTGTTTCAAAACTATATAAACCATGGTTTTTTTTAATAAAATTTGAGCAAGAAGCTTGTTAAGCCGAAGCTGTGAAAGCCAAGACTTTTTGATAGATTTCCTATTGTAGATAGGATAGGATATAAAACAATCTTCTAGAGAGAAAGAAAAATCTTCTTGTATAATGTGTATTCCTCACTTATTTTTTTTATTTATATTAATAAAATGACTGATGGCAACACAAATCGCTGTAAAAAAAATCAAAAGAGAAAAAAAATTACAATGGCGTTTCTTTTGGCAATCAATGATTGATATTACGATACAAATGAAAATAGCTTAGTTATATGTCTGTTTTTAATTTTACAACTTAATTATATTTCTTGAGGAAATTGAAACATTATTAAAATATTAGATTATACGAAGAATATCACTACTATGTCGTACTGAGTGTGGTAAGATGTAACCTTCATTTTTGTCCTCCAACATTTCTATTTATTTTGATTAAAAAGTCATCTTTAGTTTAATTCTATCACCTGTACTATTTTTATATAATTTTTCAGATCATGCATATCAATGATTTAGACTTAAAAAAAATTAAAACCTGTCTATGCAATAGAGAAAGGTGCATTCTCCATTATTCATCTATCTGTAACCTACTTTGTAATGCGTTCTATCCACAATAAATACCGTATTCATGGTTTTCAACAATTTTCTAACGTACTACATCTATCTTTGAAAGACTTATCTTACATGTATTTATTTTATTGATTCTGGATAAATTATTATTATTGATTTTGTTATTTCTAGCTAGAGACAAAAAATCGGTAGAATAATCCATTCTTTTGTTAATGACTTATCAATACTTAATAGTGACTGAAAATTTGGATTATCCTTTTAACTTTTATGCAATTATGGGAACTGCTTTGAAATATTAATATTGTAGGTACTTTTGACATAATTGTTTGTTGTGAATATTGTTATATATAATTTAATATCAACAGAACTAGAAGTAATATTGTGAAACTTAACCTGAACTTTATAAAACTGAGGAGGTTATTATATGAGTATTTAGAATTATAGCAAGTTGAAATAAAATTTGTGTATTCTGGTTTTAAATGTTGATTAATGCGCTGGACTACAACGTATTATTGTGTGAATGTTAGAAGCATTCGAGAATTACTATATAATATTCTACATCTTTGCAAGTAACCAAATACTAATTATATTGCATATTTAACATAAAAGTCTTATCTATTGTATAAACATATATAAGATGTCTGTTGTAGTTATTAAAATGAACAGAAATAGGTGTGTGAAAAGGGTGTTGGTGTAAAATAAATTTGTATAATTGAATATTTTCATTTAGAATATAGTTTTTTTTATTGGTTAAATTAAAATGTTGTAAATACATTATATAATATGGTTGTAGTAGAATGGAATGGTACTGAATCTTTGTCAGTTAATATTAACAGTAATGCACTATTTATGTTTTAAAGGTAACCTGGACCACTGATTACATCCAAGGTGTGTATTATATTATTATGATTTTATTCTTCTTTCTTTTCATTAATATTATATTTAACCTAAAATAAACAAATATTTTATAAGAAATTTTGAATATATTAGAATGGACATGTGTTATATATTAATATATATATGTATTATATATAAATATAAAGGGAAGGGGTTAGAAGTTTTCAGGATATATATATTTATCTGCTACTATGATAGATTTTTCTGATCTTTCTGATAAGTTATATATCGGTAAAAATCTTTGAGAAACATCAAAGGCATTTTTATTATTTTAATTTATTTAGATTACAAATCTTTGCTTCTCCTGCATGCTGCTGAAAGGAAGAAGTACCTTTATACTTGTATTACTAATAACATGTTCATTTTTATTTGTATAGATGGCTGAAGTGGATCCAGAGACTTTGTTAGAATGGCTGCTGACTGGCCAGGGTGATGAGCGTGACATGCAGCTCATTGCCCTAGAACAGCTCTGTATGTTGCTGTTAATGTCAGATAATGTTGATAGATGCTTTGAAAGGTAAAATCAGTTTCAGTTGGATCCATTTTAAAAGAACTACACTTTATACTTTGACATGTTATTGTAATTAATTATATTATTACAGTTGTCCTCCAAGAACATTTCTACCAGCCCTCTGCAAAATATTCTTAGATGAGTGTGCACCCGATAATGTTTTAGAGGTTACAGCCAGGGCTATTACATATTACTTGGATGTTTCTGGTATGTCCTAAGTTGTAAATATATACTGCTATACATATTTTTATTTTACAATGGAAATTGTGTGATTTTGCCTTTTCTTCTACAGCGGAGTGCACAAGACGAATTGTAGCTATTGAGGGTGCCGTAAAGGCTATTTGCAGCAGATTGCTTACAGTAGATCCCAATAATCGAACCAGTAAGGATTTAGCTGAACAATGTATTAAAGTAAGTATCTCTTTATGTATTGCTATTTTACTATTTTTATATGATGTGATCAAAAAATGCATATAATATATTTTTATGAATTTAAAATTATACTATTTTAGACCCAGTTGGTCTATTCAAAGCTTGTATTTTATGACTTATTGATTAATTTATTAATAAATGTCTACAATTATTTCATAGGTCTTAGAGTTAGTTTGCACTCGTGAAGCTGGAGCTGTATGGGAAGGTGGTGGTCTCCCTGCTGTCCTACACTTCATCACACATCATGGTACATCTGTGCATAAAGACACTCTTCACTCGGCTATGGCTGTTGTATCCAGGTCAGTTACAGTCAATATTATAAAATACTCGGAAATTAATAAATTTTTCTTGGTAAAACTTGTTACCAGTTGGTTATTTGCCTCTGTTTAAAATATTACTTTGTTTTAACAGGGTTTGTGGTAAAATGGAGCCTGGCGATGCACGCGTTGGAGACGCTGTATCATCACTGTCAGCGTTGTTACGGCACAGTGACGCGCGTGTTGCCGACGCTGCTCTGCGCTGCTTCGCGTCCCTCGCAGACCGTTTCGCTCGTGCTCATGCCGATCCTGCTCCACTGGCCGAACATGGTTAGACGCTTACTTTGAAGAAGCGCTCCTTTTCCACATATCCAATAAAACTGTGATTTTCTACTAAAATTAACAATTTTGGTTATATAAGAAAATCCTATATAAAATTTCAAATTAGCCAGTCAGCGGTTTTTTATTTTATATAGTATAACGTTATGTATGTCTGGTGGAAACTTACAATAATAAGGTTACCTTTCAGGTTGTATATGATTACAATTAGTTACATAAATGTAGAAAACATTTAATAATAGATATTATTTATTTTATATTTCTTGCTTCGTGCGCCAATCTTACGCAATAAGTTATTGTCGTTTCATTGTTGTTTTTAAAATCATATAAATTTGAATAATATTACTAACTTACATATATTTATTTTGTAGTTCTTTATGATATTAACATCCCATACTACTAGATGACTAATATTTGTTTACCTATTAAGCATGCTATAGAAATGTACGATTCTGAATATACATTTGAAAAACATTGCAATAGTACATACTACAAATATGTATAATAGATATATGAAAGTTTATATAATTTTAGTTTATTTAGATGTTTAAATGGTGGGGCAGATGTTAAATACATGCTAAGAGATATGTCCTAGAAAATGCATATTATTCTATTCTATGTATTATTTAGTACATGGAATATAATTATATGCATTTTCTAGGTCATGGATTACTTATGGTATATTATTATATTAATGAGTATGATTTTTGTTTGTTGCAGGTCTAATTGAAGAACTGGTACGAAGATTAGGCAGTACAGAAAGTGGTGATGATAAATGTCTGGCTCCTTCAGTGTCTACCACAGTCAGCCTTCTCTCTACACTATGCCGTGGCTCTGCACAGATTACACATGTGAGTTTCAATATGAATATCAGTTCATGCTTTGTAGTTGTATAATGAAGATGAGGGTTCTACTACCACTCCAACTACAGTAATGCGTACACACATGCCTACACAACACCCTGCGTGTTAGGTACTCTAGATAGCTTTTTAAACAATATAGCAAGCAAGCTAGAGTTTCTGAAGGCGGATTTATTCTTATGTATGTGTATGTTATGTCATATATACAGAATTCTCCTAACATTGCGGAGTGTAGAACATTGATAATTTGCACTGTTGTTTTACTTATAATTTATTTCCTAACATTGCGGAGTGTAGAACATTGATAATTTGCACTGTTGTTTTACTTATAATTTATTATTTATGGTTTCATTCTTGTAAACGATGGAAACAGTTGTATATTTAAAACATATTCTTTGGTATCAATTTTAATAATAATTATAAGTGTAGGCAATAATTTTTATATTATTTAATTATTATTAATTATTATATTATATTATAATTATATATTATAATCAATTATGATTATATATTATAATTAATTTTTATTTATTATTACATATAATAATTATAGGATTTAGTGCGTCTGGAATTGTGCTCAGCGATTGAAGCAGCAGTGCAAGCTGATGAGCGCTGGTGTCTGGAGTGCATGCGGCTTGTGGACTTGTTACTAGTTCTACTATGTGAAGGTCGGCACGCTATACAGACGTACGTATATTTTTCCTAAATATAATCTTTAACTATAATTATAATTAAAATGGTCTGTAATGCACTGACACATTGCAAGTAGAATATAATATACCTATTACAAAATCATTAGTTTCAAGATACTTGTTTAATTTATAACTACTGCTCTTACTTTGATGATAAGTCGTTTACTAATTATGCAACTTATAGAAATTTATTGAGTATGGATATTTTTAACACAATAACAATCTTATTGTTATTAAAATGAATAGTTGTTATTATTTTCATTTGACTTCTTTACATGTTATTGTAATGTAAATTTGAAATTAATATAAGAATTAACTAATTATTTTTTTAAAGGAAATTATAGACTTATTGTTTAGAACAGTTATATGAAAAAAAATATGTTAAGCATCATTCAATTCTTAATTAGTAAACAAAAAAACAACAATAATAATTAGATCACAGCAAAATACATTGAATATATTGACAAAGATAATGTTTATGTATAAAAAAAAAACTCGAATAATAGTCCTTAGATAATGTGTCATGTTAGTTGAATTTCATCAAGTTTCAGTCGGTTATAATTTGGTACACAGAGGATCCTCTCGTGGCGGTGCTTCTGCTGCGGTTTCGGGCACAAGCAGCGGCGTTAGTGGCGAGGGTACCAGTGGCGCTGTGGCCGGAGCGGGTACTGGTGGTAGCTCACGCGCCGATAAGTCTCATCGGCAATTGATTGACTGCATCCGTGGCAAAGATACTGATGCCCTCCTCGCTGCCGTGTCCAGCGGAGCTGTGGATGTTAATTTTACTGATGATGTCGGCCAAACACTACTCAATTGGGCAGCTGCTTTCGGCACTCGTGAGATGGTGGAATTTCTTTGTGAAAAAGGTAAAGGAATATGTAAAGGTATATGTATATAATGAATTTGTATGTTATACGTATGTCGGCTTGAAAGTCCCTGGTCTGACACAGAGTCGCTACCACTAGGTCAATTATACGCTGCTATAATATAGTACTATTTATAACCAGCTTATATTTATCGTTTCTAGTCAATAACTTTGTGACATTTCCGATGTTAATTGAAGTAAATCTTCAATTGAATAATTGCAATAAACATTTTTTATTAATTATCAGTAAATAGTTAAAAGCAGTACTCGTGATTACTACGCTAAGTTATAGAACAATTTGAAGCGTGAAATAAAGAAAAAACGGACATTTATGGCGAAGATAAAAACTTTTCCTCGCGATAACGCTTCTGCACATTCCTCTGTCCTTGCGATGGCGAATTAAAGGACGAATTGCTTGCTCATCCGTTTTATTGGCTAGATTTTGCATTCATTGTACAGTTTGCATCCACTACTTTCTAATTCTTAAACTAAAAAATACCATAGCGGAATAAAGCAGTAAAGGTGGAGTAGTTGTTGCCGCAAACACCTGTTTTACTTGTTTGTACGTTGTACTCGACGATACATATTATGATGATGGTTTAATAAAATTAGAAAACCGATTCTGTGTCTGTGTTTCTGGAGATTATGTAAATATATAGAAAAAAAAATTGACACTTTTAGGCTCGGGACCATTAAGCCGATATACGTCGTATGAAATGATAAATAGTCAGTTTTATTAGTAGAAATTATATATTTATATTGATTAAGAAATACTTACCATAAAATTTGCAGGTGCGGATGTCAATCGAGGTCAACGTAGTTCGTCTTTACACTATGCTGCTTGTTTCGGTCGGCCGGCTATTGCAAAGGTGCTTCTCAGATATGGGGCCAATGCAGATCTTCGAGACGAAGACGGGAAAACTCCATTAGATAAAGCAAGGGAACGTCATGATCAAGGTCAGTATAAAGCTTTTAATGTTTTTTTTTAGTTTTTATATATAAACCAAATTTGATAGACTTTATCTTTTGTTTTTTAATACAGGACATAGAGAAGTAGCTGCTATATTACAATGCCCTGGAGAGTGGCTTGTTGTGGGAAATCATGATTCACCGACTTCCTCAAATGAGGAAGATTTTCCAGAAACGGGAGACAAAGAAATGGCAGCAATTTATCTTGAGTAAGTATAATTCCTTTAATTATACAATGACTATGAAATTTTAAATATAAAGTATCATCAATAATATTTTATGTATGACTATTAAGTATGCTTTAAATTAAAGATTTGATTATATAATATTTTTTTGTATACTTAATTCTGTCATTGTGCATCTATGAATATTTGCTGTATAAAATCACCTTGTTTTCAATCAATTTTGTTCAATAAAGCCTTTTGCATGGATGGGTTTAACAGTCGCACAATGTTAATTTAATTCAAATAAGGACTACAGTTTTGTTAATCATTAAATTTAATACTAAAATAAAAATATTTGTTAGAAGAGTAATAATAAAGTATGTTACTAATTCTATTTACTATTATTTTTGATTATGTGACCTGAACTACATATATCTTAAGATTTTATTGGCTTACATGAATGATTAGTTTTTCGATATACAATATTCCTATACCTTTGTACTGCATACTTTTTGAATATTACGAATAGATACTTTAGTGAAAGTATCGAATAGTAATCTTAGAGATCACTATGGACCCCTCCTTGACACACGACGCGCGATTGCGCCGTTTCACCCGTGCTAAATCGCGCGCGAAGGAATGTGTCGTGTAAAGGTGTAATCGAGCGTGGTGTATGACGTGCAGGCGGCTGGTGCCCGTGTTCTGCGCGCGGTACCTGGGCGCGGGCGGCGGCGGCGTGCGGCGCGCGTGCCTGTCGCTGGTGCGCAAGATGGTGCACTACGCGCCCGCGCGCCTGCTGCGGCGGCTGTCGCTGGCGCCGCTCGCCGCCACCCTGCCGCCGCCCGCGCACCTCCCGCAGCGACACCCCCACACCGCCGCGCTCCTCACGCAGCTCCTCGCAGCCGTACTCGACAACGCGGTACGTGCGCATACCGCATACCACCCCCCTCTGTACACCATCACACCCACGGTATACACCATACCACTCTACAGTGTAACCAACTCTACAGTTTTAACGGCAGATTTACAGTTTTTTTGGAAGTTCAACAAAAGTCAAATTAAAACGGAAAATCAAGAAGACTTACAAATTGAAAGTAAGATAGTAGCTAGTGATACTACTAACATGTAGGCATTGGTAAAACTTCAACTTTAATTTGATTGTAATTTTAATAATTACATTATTTTAATGCCCTACTTGTAATGTATTCTATTTATCTATTATTAAAATTGATTATAAATTATAAAAATATATAATATAAAGATGTAGATTTACTGTTTTTTTAATTTGATTTTTACAGTTTACTTTCAAGCATTTTTACAGTTTGCTGGGATTAGCAAAACACTGCCACTCTCCATAGCATATTATTCATATTTTCATTTGAATGATTATTATTGTACTCTCCAAATTGAAGTAATGGTGATGGATTTTTTTTATATTCTCTGTTGTGCTACACGTTACGCACATTATTACATATATACGTACATACGTTATTTATCAACACTCATTTTTTGCAGTCTGTTACAACTTAATAACTATATTTAAACAAGAACAAATTTTTATATCTGTGTACGGACATTTATGAACCGACACTCCGTAAATACGTAGTATTCCAAATAGCTTTAAAATGGATTTTAAACATACAAATAGCGATGATAGCTATTCATATATTCAAGTACTCTTTTGACACCGGTACTGTTAATTATTCTCCATATTATAATAGAATTAACTATTCTAAAGTTTATTGAAAATCCTTTGTTTACAATTATTTGTAGTGTCAGTAGCATATAATAAATAACGTACTAACCATTATCGAAATTATAAAAATACTTTAGTAGTTTTTGAATCATTATGAACATTTCTGATATGTTTCTTGATTAAGACAAATGTAATACAAATTTGCGGCTCAATTCCAAAAAATCGCCGTTATCTACATATATGGGTTCTTTCTTAAGACATCGTTTAATAAAAAGAACCTAATATACGTTTAGTTAAAAATTTTAAGAAGCACCTACTTCCTAAAGAAATTAACTAAATGTGTACTTTATTAGATGGTAGCAGTCTACCATATAAATCCTATTCAACTGAAAATGGATAATTTTTTTCATTATATTTTACATGCATGTGGTACTAATTGTAGGTTGAATGTACGTGAGTAGGGCAGAAGTGATATGTGTGAGACAAACTGGAGAAGTGATATGTATGTAATGCAATCAGATTATTTACGTGTAAGTGGTACCAAGTACGTATGTTACGTATATTCTACCTTATTAGAAGTCTACCTTAGTAGAATATACGTAAGTGAGTAGGAGTAAGTAAAAAGAATATATGTAGAGTGGAGAAGTGATATGTACGTAATGCAATCAGGGCGAGGTGGGCGCGTGGCGGCGCGCTCCGCCGCGGTACCTGCGCTGCCGCTATATCCGCCCGCCTGCGGTAATGTTCCGATGGTGTGATGATTCCTACCTTACGAGTGCTCTCCGCCCCACGCGACCACCCCTACTATACTATACTCTGTTTTTTAATCCCGGAGACTAAATTGACAGACGTGTCGAATTTTCAAATATTTTCGAAATACCAGCTGTAGTGGGGTAGTGTTATGCCTGCGTTATCGATTTGTTAATCATAAGTGTTTATAAACTTTATAAAAAATCTCTACAACATATTTTAAAAATTTGCGTACCTATGTATGGAAACACAAATATACATTTTTATGGTTTAAATATATATATTTAATTTTACAGTATTAAGCTCCAAACTGTTTTTTTTATTTTAAACCACAAAATATTTTAAATAGGTGTATCTTTTATGAAATATACGAATACGATACGAATTCTTCGTTATAATTTACAAAGATTTAGGCTTTGTTTAAGTGAAATATATGCTAGTTATAAAATCTAATTTGATACAACAGCCCTATATCTATTAATACCTATACTTGATTAATTTTGTGTTAATGTGTTTTAAATAAATACTCACGCATTATTTCAGAGTAACCTATAAAAATGGGTAATTAAATATTATTTTTTGATGGACTCACAATACTACTTTAAAATTGCATAAAATTGGCAACATAGGTAATGTCAGATTTGTCTCCGACATTAAAAAACAGACGATACACAGACCACCACATGTATATTCGGAGAATACTCTTCAGCATTTGCTCTTTCTGAGAAGTGTTAATAACTAGATTATTAGCAGTCTTCACCGCTGCTTAGATTACAAGGGTGGAGTCGATAGTGTCGTTTTCAGTTAATGTTTTAATGCAGTGATTAATTTTTCAGAATGAGCACTGGTTGTAAAGCGTACACTCTATATATACATAATTCTCTGTGGTAAAATATATGCGGCTTAAAACTTACGTAAACTTAGCCTTATAAAGTGAATTTATTCAATCATATTCATATGTTACCATATATTATACCAGAAACCAGAAGTACATAACAGATTATGAAAGTTTAGAGCCGCAATATTTTGTTTATGTCAGCATCATATGGATATCGGAAGAAATTTATGAAATCTACCGTTTTTGTTTTTGAATGTATACAAGTATACTTATATATTTAGTTTTTTTATTCATATGATGATGCACTCTTGTTGCCCGGCTTTCATTAGCTATGAATATTATGATGAATTGTATGTAGTTTACATTGAATAATACTGTTAATATGAGTACTAATATTTAGCGATATGACTATAATTTCTTATATACATTGTCATTTGCCTTTAAATGCATCCACATTTGTGTAAAAACATCACACCATCGAAAATTACTTGCATCAAACAATCCTGTCTTGTGTTTTATGTGTTTTAATATTGTTTATTGTTTTTACTTTTTTTTTTGTGCTACCTAGCCACTTTTTTTATTTACATTTTCCATGTAATGAAATGATAAATAAATGTATAATATAATATGTGTCTTAAAATGATTGAACATAAGAAAAATTAAAGTTTTGATTATGTTCAATCATTTAGGAAAATAATTGTTCTGAATAGTCACGGTATTCCAAAGGGACATTTATGTGCTGGATGTGGTCGAGGCATACGTAATATCCCGCGTGGAACCCCGTATACAAGCATTGTTTTTGGGTATTTTGACGGATATTGTTATGTGACTTACAATTGTTAAGAATCTAAGCATTAATCAAAATATTTTTATCCTGTAGGACGATGATGATGGACATCTGACAGTTCTGGGTATCGCAGAGGAACTTATGGTGAAGGCTGCAGATATATATTTGGAACAGTTTGCACGCCTTGGCGTCTTCAGCAAAGTGGAGGCGTTGGCCGCAGCACCTGCAACGCAGCTGTTAACTGATGGTGAAACTACTGTGCCTGCAGGTACATGTTTAAAGATTACTTCATTTGTTATATTTATATATATATTTTTGGCGTTTTAACATATTACTGTATGTTAATAAATTAAATATAATATATACATCTCTGACAAAATAAATTTTGTAGTACAGATAAAATAATTTGTAGTGTAGTAATAATTTCTTAGCGTCATTTAAATATTTTAACAACTTTTTTACTTTTTCTGTAGCGTTGTTTTATCATCTACTGTAAATATATAGTTTGCTGTAAAATAAATTACTAGATAATAATATTGTAATGTAATTTTTTCTAATATAGACTGATATTGTACACACTAGAAAATTTTGGAGTTTTTGCCTATTTAGAGAATTACCTCCAGTGCCACAGTTCCTATTGTGCATATCACTATGTATACATCATACTTTTATTTGTCAAAACTACAAGTTCATTGTAGATCTAATATTGCTATTATTAACTGTGTGCGTGCGTTCGTGCAGACGGCGGCGAGGACGCGATGGTAGTGAGCGCGGGCGCGGCGTACTGGTGGGGCGAGTGGTCGCTGTGCCGCGGCCGGGACGCGCTCTACGTGTGGAGCGACGCCGCCGCGCTCGAGCTCAGCACCGGCAGCAACGGCTGGTTCCGCTTCCTGCTCGACGGCAAGCTCGCCACCATGTACTCCAGCGGCAGTCCCGAGCACCAGACCGACAACACCGGTACACACATATTCTATACGCCGACACACCCCGCAAATATTCATTAAATAATTCTTATCTTAATCTAAATCTTAAACTAAATTTATTAAATAATGAATAAATGAATTTGAATTATTTATTAAATGTTTTGAAAATTTAGTGTTTCATTAAAAATTGTTAGTGATTTCTGCCTAAAACCTACAATTTACTTTATGAATTACAGAGAATCGAGGAGAATTCATCGATAAACTCCAAAGGGCGAGGGCATCCGTAAAGAATTCTGTCCCACAACCAATACTTTCAAAACCAGGACAAACGAAACTCATTTTGGGTAACTGGGCCTTATCTTGTAAAAAGTAAGTAATGGAAATGTAATAAAATAATGAATGTGAACATAATAATGTGTCGTCGAAATAAATGTTTTCATTTATTGTTTACAGAGAGAAAGAACTTCTTATACATAATACAGATGGACAACAACAAACAACAATATTAAGGGAGGATTTACCAGGGTTTATATTTGAATCCAATAGGGGAACAAAACATTCTTTCACAGCTGAAACATTTTTAGGTATTTTATACAACAATGTAAAAATTAATTGTGACAACAATATATAATAATAGTGTTGTTAAGGTCTAATTTATATTTTGTTTAGGTCCAGAGTTAGCCAGCGGTTGGGCGAACCGTAGATTAGTACCGACTGATTCCGCCAATACAAACCAGAGCAGGTCTCGCTTGTCGGCAAAGACCGAAGCACTGAAAGCACAGGTAATTGTTATTACATGTATAAAAATCTTTACCTTCTTGAAAATAACTCATAGTACTTGTGTACAGGGTAGTTTTCATTAGATGAAAATCTGTTTAAATAATCATATCAGGACAGGTTTTATTTCCATTGTGTAGGGGAATTTCAGATATTCAACTGAAATTTCAAACAAATTGACAGCCTACTTGATGGTAAATGGTAATCATCGCCTATATACATCAACAGTTTCACGGATATTATTTTCTTACGATAACGCTCGTGGATTAATAAAATTGAACGTTATACATTAACGTTCAATATTATTAAATGTAAAATGAGTAGGGACATCAGTATATATTACTAACAATCCCCTTTTCACATTTTAATGGATCGAGGTCTTCTAACTACTTACTCTGTTATAGAATGTAAGTAAATATGATGTGGCGACAATTATTATGTGACATGTAGTCTCCGAAAACCTGTTATTGTCTTTCTTTAGAAGTATATGTCGTATAATGTACCGGATGTAAGCCGTCGGTCTACTAATAACGGCGGTCACGTGGTGGGCACGAGGTGGACACGTGGGGCACATGAATTATGGTATGGTGTGTTGCGAGCAGGTGATGGAGCGGGCTCGCGCGCTGTACTCGCGGCACCTGGCGCGCGCGGCCACGCGCCAGCCTCGCGCGCCCGTCGCGCGCCTCCGAGTGCTGCTCGCGCGCATGCAGCGCCTCGCCGCGCAGCCCACCAGTCAGTAAAAGAATACCAAATAGGAAACGAGAATACCAAAATTTACAAATCACACATTAATTTATTGCTTTTGCAGGGATGACTTAATTGATTTTAATTTACATTGAAGCAATAAATTAATCTGTGATTTATAAATTTTGGTATTCTTCCTTCTTATATTGAATAGTATTTTTTGAATAATTTAATAATAAATTTTAAACTGTTCAATATTTTAAAGAGTTCTGTTGTGGTCTTAATTAGATAAAATGGTTATATTTATATGTATTAATGCAGAAGGCTGGCAAGAAGAATTGAATGAAGCTCTGGATCAACTAGCAGAGTTGTTGTGTGGTGACGAACTCTTGTCGGCTTATGAGCTGCAATCGTCTGGATTGGCCCCATCATTGTTACAAGTTTTATCTCCACAAGCTAATGGTGAGTATGGATTATACTGCTAACTAGTTGACGCCGCAACGTCGTACGCGTCGTGTAATAATAATAATAAAAGTCAAAACTTAAACTTTTACCACCTTTGTGAAACGACTGTGAAAACAGCATTCAAATTGGTGAAACCTTTATTGAGATTATTGTTACAACCGCACAGACTGACTGCATAAATTGTTTTGGCAACAGACGTGGTTGGTCAGGCGGCGGAACGCGAGCGTATAGTGCGTGCGTGGCTGTGTCGCGACGAGATGAGCGCGGGCGCCGCGCTGGCGGCGCGGCTGGTGGCCGTGCTGGAGAGCGTGGAGCGGCTGCCCGTGCTCGCGCCCGCCGGGGACGCGCCGCCGCCGCCCGCCGGCGCCGCCGCGCTTCACCACCTCACCAAGAGGATCAGGTACCGAGCACACACACACACACACACACACACACACACACACAGCACGCGCGGCTGGTGGCCGTGCTGGAGAGCGTGGAGCGGCTGCCCGTGCTCGCGCCCGCCGGGGACGCGCCGCCGCCGCCCGCCGGCGCCGCCGCGCTGCACCACCTCACCAAGAGGATCAGGTACCGAGCACACACACATTCACACACACACACACACACACACAGCACGCGCGGCTGGTGGCCGTGCTGGAGAGCGTGGAGCGGCTGCCCGTGCTCGCGCCCGCCGGGGACGCGCCGCCGCCGCCCGCCGGCGCCGCCGCGCTTCACCACCTCACCAAGAGGATCAGGTACCGAGCACACACACACACACACACACACACACACACACACAGCACGCGCGGCTGGTGGCCGTGCTGGAGAGCGTGGAGCGGCTGCCCGTGCTCGCGCCCGCCGGGGACGCGCCGCCGCCGCCCGCCGGCGCCGCCGCGCTGCACCACCTCACCAAGAGGATCAGGTACCGAGCACACACACACACACACACACACACACACACACACACAGCACGCGCGGCTGGTGGCCGTGCTGGAGAGCGTGGAGCGGCTGCCCGTGCTCGCGCCCGCCGGGGACGCGCCGCCGCCGCCCGCCGGCGCCGCCGCGCTTCACCACCTCACCAAGAGGATCAGGTACCGAGCACACACACACACACACACACACACACACACACACACACAGCACGCGCGGCTGGTGGCCGTGCTGGAGAGCGTGGAGCGGCTGCCCGTGCTCGCGCCCGCCGGGGACGCGCCGCCGCCGCCCGCCGGCGCCGCCGCGCTGCACCACCTCACCAAGAGGATCAGGTACCGAGCACACACACATTCACACACACACACACACACACACAGCACGCGCGGCTGGTGGCCGTGCTGGAGAGCGTGGAGCGGCTGCCCGTGCTCGCGCCCGCCGGGGACGCGCCGCCGCCGCCCGCCGGCGCCGCCGCGCTTCACCACCTCACCAAGAGGATCAGGTACCGAGCACACACACACACACACACACACACACACACACAGCACGCGCGGCTGGTGGCCGTGCTGGAGAGCGTGGAGCGGCTGCCCGTGCTCGCGCCCGCCGGGGACGCGCCGCCGCCGCCCGCCGGCGCCGCCGCGCTGCACCACCTCACCAAGAGGATCAGGTACCGAGCACACACACATTCACACACACACACACACACACAGCACGCGCGGCTGGTGGCCGTGCTGGAGAGCGTGGAGCGGCTGCCCGTGCTCGCGCCCGCCGGGGACGCGCCGCCGCCGCCCGCCGGCGCCGCCGCGCTGCACCACCTCACCAAGAGGATCAGGTACCGAGCACACACACATTCACACACACACACACACACACAGCACGCGCGGCTGGTGGCCGTGCTGGAGAGCGTGGAGCGGCTGCCCGTGCTCGCGCCCGCCGGGGACGCGCCGCCGCCGCCCGCCGGCGCCGCCGCGCTGCACCACCTCACCAAGAGGATCAGGTACCGAGCACACACACACACACACACACACACAGCACGCGCGGCTGGTAGCCGTGCTGGAGAGCGTGGAGCGGCTGCCCGTGCTCGCGCCCGCCGGGGACGCGCCGCCGCCGCCCGCCGGCGCCGCCGCGCTGCACCACCTCACCAAGAGGATCAGGTACCGAGCACACACACATTCACACACACACACACACACACAGCACGCGCGGCTGGTGGCCGTGCTGGAGAGCGTGGAGCGGCTGCCCGTGCTCGCGCCCGCCGGGGACGCGCCGCCGCCGCCCGCCGGCGCCGCCGCGCTGCACCACCTCACCAAGAGGATCAGGTACCGAGCACACACACACTCACACACACACACACACACACACAGCACGCGCGGCTGGTGGCCGTGCTGGAGAGCGTGGAGCGGCTGCCCGTGCTCGCGCCCGCCGGGGACGCGCCGCCGCCGCCCGCCGGCGCCGCCGCGCTGCACCACCTCACCAAGAGGATCAGGTACCGAGCACACACACACACACACGCACACAGCACGCGCGGCTGGTGGCCGTGCTGGAGAGCGTGGAGCGGCTGCCCGTGCTCGCGCCCGCCGGGGACGCGCCACCGGGAACACATAAACTATATACTAAAATGTGCTTACGGGTAGCATCGTAATGCTTTGCATATTCTTTTTGGGGAAGATTGCCCTATATATTTACATGTTTTTTGTGTTCAGGTTACGCGTAGAACGTGCCGCTAGCGATGACTCCACTGATGACTCTATTTCGAATAATGGAAACAATAGCGCCCGTAATCTTAAAGTGGAGGCCTTGACGACCGTCCGACAACTGGAGAGGTTCCTTGCAAAGTCTGTAGCATGCCAGTGGTACGACATGGATAGATCTACTTTTAATTTCGTACAGAAGATCAAAGCGGAATCACCTATTACATTTAATTATGATGTAAGTAAAATTTTATTAGTGTTTATTTTTTTATAAAATAAATGGCTTAGTTTTGTAACAGTATTTGCAATACAAATATTATATTTAATTTTTCTTGGTTTTAATACAGTGTTTACAGAATTTTTAAAGAATACTTGGATGTTTATGTTAGGTGTAAGTAAAAGTAATTTTGTTTGTTACAGTATGACTTCGACGAAAACGGGCTCCTTTATTTCATAGGTAGTAATGGTGGTACTTGTGAATGGGTGAACCCCGGCGCACATAATCTAGTTTGTGTTTGGTCATCCGACGGTCGCCAGTTGCCGTACGGACGTGCTGAAGATACACTTTCCAGGTCCCCGGAGCCGCTGAACGTGCACACAAATGACGACCGCCGTGCATTTATTGCGGTGGACCTGGGAGTGCATATAATACCAACAGCGTATACTCTCCGCCACGCGCGTGGATATGGACGGTCTGCGCTTAGGAATTGGCTTTTCCAAGTTAGTTAGTTAGTAGTAGTAATATAAGTATCACAGTCAAAATCATTTAATCATTATTGGTCACTTATACGTCATAATTTTTTATTACTACCCTACTGTTCATATAATATACAATTAGAAGCATACAGCTAAGTTTTTAGCTTAATCTTTTCTATTGTGTTATTGAACAACATAGAAGATAAATAATGAATGATTTTTCTCTCTGTACATTGTACTTAAACGGTAATTGATGGAGTAGGAGAACTTTCATTTGCATTGTCCAATTACACTTTCCGAAATAACCATATCTTTCGTATGATTTTATACAATGTCTAAATACAGTAGTATATGAAATCCTAGTGTGGAGCCTAGAATATTGTTCTAATTTTGTGTGAAGTTAATTTTCAAAAGAGAAAATATATTACTTAATATAACATCTCAATTAAAATTTTACCAAATATACTGCTTCGTTGGATAATATTTTACTTATTGTAGTTTAAAAAAATCTCATTTCTTTTAGATGTCAATGGATGGTGTATCATGGACCACTTTATTGATTCATAATGACGACCAGGTTCTTCAAGAGCCAGGTAGCACAGCTACTTGGCGTTTGCCCGCTGAATTTGCATACCGATACTTACGGATACAACAAAATGGCAAAAATGCTAGTGGGCAGAGTCATTATCTATCTCTGTCAGGCTTGGAGTTGTATGGCATTGTAAGTAAGAAACAAAAAATTTTGTTCTTAAACAATATGTTTACATGCATTTTTTCTGTAACTGGCAAACTAGTTGACGTATCCTGTGGTAACTACAATTATTTTGCTCGACCGCCAGTGGTAGTCAATTATGTCTTTCAGGTGGCTGCTATACGTTTGTATTCTGTAGTTTTCTAATCCCAAAAATCATAATTATTACCACCATTTCAGCCTATCCACAGTTATAAGCCTTTTAATTAAGTAGACGAGACACCCGCATCTCCATCAGTGGTAGCCATTCAATTTTGGTGGTGTAATAAGTCGAATGTAGATTCTGTTTTAACATTTGAAGAAATGAAACGCAACGTGATATCACGTGATAGGTGGTGAACGTATGCGACAACGCGCCGCGGCAGTGCGGCGCAGTAGCGGGCGGTGCGCCAGTGTCGGCGGTGGCTCCGGGGCCTGCGGGGGCGGGCGGAGGTGGAGGCGGCGGCGGGGGCGGGGGCGGGGGCGGGGGCGGAGCCCGCGCTCGGAGATGGCGAGGGGCGCGCGGACTGTGTGCGGGCGCGCGCGTGGTGCGCGGCCCCGACTGGAAGTGGCGCGACCAGGACGGACCGCAGCCCGCAGCCGGCACCGTCACCTCGGACCTGCACAACGGCTGGGTCGACGTCAGGTCACCACTTTTGTTCATAATAGATGGTTGTGATACGAATTCACGATGCGAGTGCATCTTTTGATTTGTATCCGACGTGACATAAAAGGCTTATAAGGCCTAACGAATTAAATTACACCTGTTTAAGAAAAGCAAACCTCGAAATAAAAGTATACTGAATAATCTAGTAATAACGGGCTAAATTCATCCTTTCATTTTTAGTTCATAAAAAAATACCTTTTTAATAAGTTATGGTGTTGTATATTTTTAAAAAGTTCATAGGAACGTTTACTGTTTAAACATTATTTTTTCTTTCAACTTGATTAATCTATAGACTTTAAAAAAATATCGCAATGTAATATTAAAATAGTGTTTAAATAAAGTATTAAAGCTGATATTTACAATACTTAAAGTACTGTTTCGCATTCATGTTACTTACATGATATAGTCAATTACAGTAATTGTATTCGTATAAATCGAGCTTTTACTCATGTATATTAAAAGTTATAAGCATGATCCTGTCAAGAAAGGTTTCACAAAAGTCGACATGTGTTTTCATCAATAGGTGGGAACACGGAGGCAGGAATTCGTATCGCATGGGAGCGGAGGGCAAGTTTGACTTAAAAGTGGTTAGCGGCGGCGAGGGCGGTGGTCGCCACGGCCGTAAGAGCCACTCCACACCCAGTCTCCCTGATGCCACTGCAGTCGACCAACAGGTCTCTTGTCTATTTTATAATGTTACGAAAAGAAATGTTAATAGTGGAATTCGAATTCGATATTACCAGTTATTTTGAGTACTGGATGACCTCCCAGTAAAAATTTAAATATTTGTAGTTATTGCTTTGGAATTAATGAAAAATGATGTGAATCTCAAAATCATATATAGAGTCACATCTCAAGCTCATTATATGTTAAGTGGTTCAATCGTATGTAAAAGCTTCATTTATATAATTCTATATTTATAGTTTTTACTTTTTATCCTGTAGTTTGGTGTGTATGATATCTTGGAAAATGTATAGAAATAATTTCAGTTGATAAATATTTTAGATAAGCTATGTTCTAGCTAACACGGTTTGTCAGACATTATCCCATATTTTGTGATCGCAAGAGAAGCATTACTCCATTAAAGAAACAATCATTTTATATTACAGTCGGAAAGTTACAGCGCAAATTAAATTGTAATTGAAATATGTTTAATATAAAGGTATCAGTGGCATCGACCGAGCAAGCGTCATCTGCCGATAACATATCAGGAGAGGAGATGACCAGCAACATGTCGCGGCCGCGCATGCACGCTACAGATCTCTCGGCCATCAATAACTCCAGTCACCATATCAACACCGGTAAAAATTTTATAAAAATATGAAAATTTTGAAAATAAAAAATTACAACAATATAGTTACATAAACAAATATGTAGTTATAACCAGAGGTAGGCGTTATACTAAAATCGTCTTCTTGAGTATCTCAGCTTATCACCTATTTGTAAGATGTGTTTTGGTTAAAGTATGAGTTTAAGGCAGAAATTACAGGGTATGAAAGCATGACATAATTCTCGGAAATGCTATGATGATGTGTGATGTCTGTGGCAGCTGATTGCTTTTCATGTACATAAGCGGCAGTACTATTTACCGATGGGCCGTTAACTTGTTTACCATTTGAGTTTCGAATATGGGCGATATAATAAACTTAACTAAGTGTGTTTTTTTTTTAGATCTTGCTACTATAGTGGAATCATTAACCCTAGGCGCAGAAGGCAATAATTGTATAGCTGATCTGGGTAATACTTCATATACTAACATGGAAATGGGTCCAACCAGTATCACGGATATAACAAAACCTTATCCAGCCAAAGAGCCCGCACCAGAAGGAAATACCCAGGAGGTTAGTGTAGTGAATAAGAATGGCGTTTGGGGAAAAATAAACTTTAAAAGCATTTTTGGAAATTTAAAGCTAGTGTTACAGAAATAATATAAAACTTTTTTTTTAATTATATGTATTACGTAATCAGACAAGAAAGGACAAGAAAATCTGATAAAGTTCATCTGAAAACGAATATGTATTTTCTACATGATTTTGACTATGTGAATAAATAATACAATAATAGACTGCTTAATATAAATTATAATTAAGAAGTATCTATCAATGTTAAGAACAAGTCGTAATGTCCAGAATAGATTAGTCCATATAAATAGCACTTGTTCAGGAATACAATTATGGATTATCCAGTCATATTGCGTTCAAGCGTATTTTAAAGAGCCTAGTTTAGAATATTATATACAGTTTTACAAGTATAAATACCCCATTTGTCTACATTTTAGTGAATACAACTTACAAGCTTCCTTTTCGACAAAAAATATACCAAATATTTAAAACGTCTTATTATACTAATATACATATTAATTACAAATTACATGCTTTTATATCTTTAACTTATTAATGTCTGCATTGACCTACCTATAACTACTACTTAGAGTTTTTAGACACGAAAAGTGTGAAGTGTTAATAAATGAAGGTTTTGTACAGGAAAATGAGCCACACAATAGTGACGGCGACGCTGTGAGGAATAGCGCCAATGCGCTGCTGTCGAGCGAACTGCTCGCGCTACCGGCCTCTTTGCTTCACACCCTCACCAGTAACACGAACCGCCTTCACATACAGGTATTTAATGCTCGATGGATTTATATTATTTTGTTTAATTATTAAACAACATAATATAAATCCATCGAGTAGTGAAATGGACTTCCGCAAAATAACACCTAATTCGATTAAATAGGTATTTAATGTACAATTCCGTTAACTGCTACAATGCAGTGAATACAAGAGATTGGCTATTACTTCAGGAAGTATAGAAAAATATATTTTCCTAAAGGCGTAATTCATACTGCATCAATAAGAAAGTCTTGTAGCTTACATATACTTCATATTACTTTTAATTATATAAATTCATAACGCTGGACTAATAGTCTTAAAATAGTAATTATTGAATTAATGGAGGCAACTAATACATACACTAATGATATATCTTAAATCTTTTGACAGTGTGAAGATAGTGAGACTGCTGACGCTCAGTATAGTGACCATAAGAAAGATGGTTCCTCGGGCGGTGGTTCGGGAACTATGAGTGCTAGTGAACCCGATTTGACACAACAGGTATTTGTTTAATTTCGTGTACATGTATATTATTAGAAAAATAGTTACGTTTTAATTTTTTGTGATCATTTAATCACACTTTCGCGCATGATAGCGTGTATGTTAAAAATCATTTCACTTTCTTTTATAACTTTCTTTTCTTTTTAACTTTCTTTTTTTATTCCATATATATTATTTTCTAGTTATTGAGTCATTGAAAATTAATAAACCTTGAACTTGTATAAGATTTATTAATTATCAATAATTCTATAATTTTGTATCTGTTCTATAGTCAGAAAATTCTCAATTTTGCAATATTAATTAATTATTATAACATGGTGGTGAAGCACCTACGATTTAAGGATGCGCGAAGTTTAAGTATGTACATTTACATACACATTATTTCCTGCGTTAAATAAGCCGAGTCCGACCTGAAAGAGCGTACGTATAAAGGCAGCCTACAGGTTACTAACCATTGACCGTCGGCTCGGTGGCTATTTCGATTATATAAAATGATGTTGCAGGGCGCGGCTCGGCTGCTGGAGTCGCTGGGCGCGGGTCGCGGCTCCGGCATAGCGGGCGGCGTCGGCGTCGGCGTCGGCGTCGGTGTCGGCGTCGGCGTCGGTGTCGGCCTCGGCGTCGGCGTCGGCGTCGGGCAGGCAGGCGGCGGCGCCGGCTGTGGCCGCGGCGTCTCCGCACCCCGCCAGCCCCGCGCCACGCACGCCTCCAGCCTGTTCCCCAGGTACGCCTGTTAAATGTCTCTACCGACTTCCACAGCCCACCTCACACAGTGGCTACTACAGTCATCAAAAACGATTCTGTACTATACAAAATATGTGTATAGCTGTGATAGTGAGTTGGTACATTTGAAAATATTGTCATTTACGAGGTATGGAGAGTTTGCTACGTGTACAGATTGCATACGTTTTTATGTTTTGTTAAGGTTTTTTAACAGTTTATGTGAATTATTTGTAATTATATTTTAACTTGCAGCCTCGTCCGTCTAGCCCTGTCAAGTAACTTCCCAGGAGGTTTATTGTCTGCGGCTCAAAGTTATCCATCGTTGGCGCCAAATGCTCAAAACGCTCTTACATTATCGCTTACCTCCACATCTAGTGAAAGTGAACAGGTGATAACTTGTTTATTGGCTGGTTGAACATTTGCTCCCTTAATAAGTCTGCTATAATAATTCTCCCTTTAATATTTAGTACTAGCTGAGCCCCTACCCATATAACTTTTTTGTTTGTAAAGTTATTGAAATACAAAAATCCAACAAAATTGTATGCAAAATAACGATATAAGCTGCACCCATATTGGTAAAGCCAATTCTGAGATTAGCATACACAAACGCAAAGACACAAAGTTCTAACAATCATTATTTTGGGTTTTATTGGTTGATAAAGTCACCCAATATTAGTTTCTCTCATACACCTTTTATGTCAGCGAGCAGTTATAATTTTAGTGTATGTATAGAAAAGACAAATATATTAACGGGATGTTCTACTTGAGGTATCTCTGGAGGACTTCCTGGAGTCGTGGCGAACTGGCCCCGCTTTACTCACCGAGCTGGAAGACGACGACGACGCTGACGACGCGCTCGACAGCGACAAAGAGAATGAACCCACATATCAGGAAGTGGTTAGTTAGAAAATACTTTATATTACCGTTAAAGCTACTAGCATAATACTTTACGCGCGAACAGCTCTAAAGAATCTTTACCAAGCTCAAGTACTATTGTGCATGGAGTATTGTAGACATACACATTGGCCAGTGCGCACAGGATTGATCTTGCCTTCCCTTTATTACCGAATTAGACGACGAACACTAGAATTTTATCCTTCCGTGATGGAAATTTCACATATTTACACTAAGCGCTTCGCGTTGTTATTTCTGATACGCATTGCCAAAGAGTGCACACACTCAGCATTTGATTTCCCGGAAATACAAGACAACTACATCCTCGGACTCTTCAACTTCACTCACTTTTCACCAGATGAAGTAAGACTAAGTGTAAACCTATTTATAATGAAAAACAATGAAAGCTAAAACTATTATTTTAGAACAGAATGCAAAATTGTTCTTTGTTAATTGCTAACACTAAGTGTGTTAGTAGCATTTGACTTAAAATTTCATAATCTTTTAAACTTAAAATAAGCATTACTTTTTAGGTGTCTCGGAACTTGTTGTCACTCATGGAAGAGGAAGCATTGGAAGCTGTGAGGAGCGCGAGCGGCGGCGGTAACTCCCGGACTCGGCGACCTTGGGATGATGACTTTGTACTCAAACGACAGTTTTCTGCACTTATTCCTGCTTTCGATCCGCGGCCAGGCCGAACCAATCTGAATCAGACTGTTGGTAAGTACATTGGAAGCTGATTCTATTTTATTATTATATATATTAATTTTAATATGATTTTAGGAGTATTTTAGCATTATTATTTATATTCTTAGCATTATATGTATATTGCAATTTAAATGATTTGATAAACACTGCAGCGGACAAAGTGTGATTCGGTTGTGATTAGCCATTGGAATGACAGGACAGATAAAATACATGATCTTCGTCCTCTAGAAAGGCAATGCAAGATATCAGAGGTGTCATATAATAAAGTTATGTCCTTAGTGCTGTTCACGGATGTATGTTGGCGTCAGTTACCGCTTAACATCAAGCGGTTTTTGCTACTCTGATTTCATTAAAAATGGCAATTACTTTTGATATTCAGCTTTTTAAGTTCAGTATACAATTAGTAGGGTATTTTACTAGTATTTAGATGTTTCTTAATAACAGCTGGGTTATATCATGGACGTCATTCGTTAATAATCCATAAGTTTTTAAGTAGCTTATAATTAAAAGAACTTAATTAATAATAAAAACCCTGTCTTTGTTTCTTTCTAACAGATCTCGATGTTCCTCTGAACGATGAATCAGAGGGTGAGGAAGAGGCGGAACCGGGTGTTAGTGGCAGTAGCGAGACTGGTAGTGGCAATGGTAATAGTACGACTAATGGTAGCGGACGACTGCCGGCGCTGCGTCTAGTATTGAGCACTGGTAGTGCTTCACTGACGCTGGAGAGGCCTTCGTGGACCTTGTACCGAGCTGTCGTCGCACTCAACGCGCGCCTGCCAGCACACGACACGCATCGCGACACTACTTACACGTATGTTATTTGTAATACCCCATCATTGTTCCACTGTCTCTCTCTTTTATTATTTCTTTTAAAACCTTGCGATTTTCTTTATAGATTGACATACAAGGAAATAAAAGGAATGGAGACATTTGCTTCCTCAAGTGACAGCGAAGATGATGAACCATGTGATCCTGGTATGATAACTATATTATTTGTAGTCAAAGATGTAATAAAATTATTGTTTATATATTGTGAAATATCGTATAAATGTTTCTAAGGGACAGTGGCAGCTATTGGGATAATATATGAAATAATAATGACACTGTCCTTTTTCCGGTTTCACACAGCATAATCTAGTCCAAAACTGACCAAAGCTTCTGTTATGGGTACTATATAACTGATATAAATACATAGAAACCGTGGGGACTGCCGCTTGTGATCGTTGATAGTTAGTGGTTTGTGTCCGCGTATGGTGCAATGGTGCGTGATGTTGCAGAGCGTGGTTTGGCTGCGGGCGCGACGGGTGCCGTTCTCGTAGGAGCTGCGGGCAGTGCGGCGGGTGCGGCGGGTGCGGCGGGTGCGGCGGGTGCGGGGGGTGCGGGCGGTGCGGGGGTCGCGGAGGGCGCCATGGCGACGTGCTGCGTGCGCGTGCTGCGGCGGCTCCGGGCGGCGGCGCCCGCGCTGCCGGCCGAGCCGTTCCTCTCCACCAAGCTCACCAACAAGCTGCACCAGCAGCTGCAGGAGCCGCTCACGCTCGCCGCCGGCGCCACGCCGCCATGGTAATATACACACATATATACATATATAAACTCACCTACGATGTTACCTTTGTTATTTAACGTCACGCTGAACTTTTTTTTTTTGATTATATGAATACACAAATTTTATATTATGTCAGGCTCCACACTTTTAAAGGCGGAATAATGAAACAAATATTACGAGACAAGGCAGTCAAACTCCCTTTTTTACCCCTTTACTAAACTGCCTGATAACATAATCGTAAACGCGCCTTATTATCTTTTTTAATAGAGTAGTTAGGAATTTGGCAATTATATTCATATATTAATTAATATGTATAATAGGTGCCAGCAGCTAAACGACTGGTGTCCATTCCTGTTCCCGCTGGAGACGCGTCAGATGTTCTTCGCGTGTACTGCGTTTGGTACATCACGGACAATCGTGTGGCTCCAGGCGCAGAGAGACCGCGCCCTCGACAGGCAAAGGTTGTTTAATTTCCTTGCGATTTCAGTATGTTCCTAAATATGTACTAACTAACCAGCGCTACTTCGTCTTCGTCATATTTCCTGTTTTTGCGACATTTTTCATAGCAGCTCCGTTCCTTTTAGTCGTAGCGTGATATTGTAGTCTGTCTGGATGAAAGAGCTATCAACAAAATTATTTTCTAAACCTACTAGTACCAGTGTATCATTAACATCCAAACTTCGCCTCTTTATACTATTAATGAAAAAATATTAAATATGTTTCCCTAGTAAACAAGAATAGCTTAAGAATGGCTTAAGAATATATAATAAAGTTATAAAAGGAATACTTATGTATGTTCTTTGATTATTTGTATTTAGGATGGGGAATACTGTTTCGCCACGTCGAGCTGATTTAGAAGCTAATGAGTTCAGAATGGGAAGACTTCGGCATGAACGTGTTCGGATACCCAGGCAACCAAATTTGCTGCGGTCGGCCATGCAGGTAAAACAATTAGTACTTAAAAATCGTAAGTTTAGTGGTATAAGATAACAATTATATACAATATAAATATAGACAAGTTTTAAGATATAGAGGCGGTGTCCCTGTGGGTTTGTTGGTTTTGTTGTTTGTGGTTGTGCATTGAGGAATTTTTTTTATATAATATTTATTTTAAATTAGCTCCTTTTGTATGTCTATTGTCTACAAAAGTGTTATGCGTGAAATTGACGTCATATTGTCATATTTAAAATATATCTATATTTTAATCAATTGCATTCCGTAAAGTATAAGTAAAGTATGCGTCAAGAGATTTTGGAACCATACAATGGTTACCATAAGATGGTCAGCATCGTTATTGGCAATAACTTAATATAAAATAATTGTTTTTATTTGACTATTTGTAGATTGAGACATTGCTCGAGTATATTCTCTATTTGCGTAGTCCTTGTGCCTAATAATATGAATGCGTGCAGGTGATGCGCGTGCACGCGGGCCGCAAGTCCGTGCTGGAGGTGGAGTTCGCTGGCGAGGAGGGCACGGGGCTCGGCCCCACGCTGGAGTTCTACGCGCTGGTGGGCGGCGAGCTGCAGCGCGCCGACCTCGCCATGTGGCTGCACGACGCGCCCGCACCCTCCTCGCCGCACGCGCACGCGCCGCACTACCTCGTGCTGCCAGATGGTACTTTATTATATTTTTTTTATTACTCTAATTGCTGCTCGCCGCAGCCGCCTTTGACAGCTTCATCGGAAGATATAGGCGTGTACAGGTGGCAATACAAACCCGCGGAAGGACCGGGGAAGGGATTGTTAGTAATGATCACGATTCCTCCTGGTCATCGTTGTGCTAAATTCTTGGTGAATTTGCCACGTCGGCTTATTCCACATGAAGTCATCCATTTCATTTACATAAAAAAGAAATAACCAGCACAAGGTTGGACTTTATACAAAGTCAAATTATAATAATCCAGTAATTCAAGATATAACAAAAACTGTTATTAAATTATTGAACTACATATATTGATTTGTGTAATCTTGTCTACTTATAGAAAAACCTCCGGGTTATTATGTGACACGTGCAGGTGGTTTATTCCCAGCGCCTCTTCCTCAAGACTCACCTATCTGTGATGAAGTTTGCAAATATTTCTGGTTCCTAGGAGTATTCTTAGCCAAGGTAAGAACGGTAACCATGCAGTTAAATTATATTGCTAAACGAAATTTATGTTCCTTAATTATTCCTAGTTAGATATATATATATAATTTATGTATAAAAACATATTATAATATATTTTAAGTCAATATAGCTTAAAGAAAAAATATACATATTGTTTTATATATATATTTTTTCATGAAGTTTTTTACCAGGATGACTAAGATTGTGGTAACTTTCGAAAATAGTTTTTCTGAACTTTGGCGGCAAGTAAGGACGTACTATTTCAGTGGAAATGTCACAATATATTTTTTTATTTGTATTTGGTACTTGAATTAATAACATACGTAATGATTTATTCTTTTTGAGTTGTTGTAACTCAATGTCATTCTGTTGACTTTTTTCTAAGTCGGATAAGTCGATAACGGTTGAAGTGATATTGTTTCGATGACTCGATAATACATCGGCAACCGTGTTATCGTGTCCGCTTACATGCTGTATATCTGTACTGAATTGTGGTATGAAATCCAAGTATCTGATCCTTCTAGGTGACTCGTCCACCGAAGGTTTCTTCGCCAAAGCATGAGTTAGTGGTTTATGGTCGGTGTATATTGTGAAAACACGACCTTCAATTAATCGTCTGAAGTGTTTTATTGCCATATATATTCCCAATAACTCCCTATCGTAGGTGGAGTATCTCGTTTGAGCTCCTGTTAACGATTTGGAGAAAAATGAAATTGGCTTCCATTCGTTTTTAATTTTTTGGTGAAGAACTGCGCCAACACATTTTAAGCTAGCGTCAGTCATCAATGCGATCGTTGCGTTCGACTCTGGAAACGTCATAGTTGTGACGTCACGCATGTCTTGTTTACATTGTAGGAATGCTTGTTCTGCTTCCGTATTCCATACGATAATTGTTTTATCGTTTTTCTTGCTATTTCTTAAAAAATACATTGAGCGGAGCTTGATGCTTGGCAGCGTGTGGAATTAGGTGCCTATAAAAATTCACCATACCCAAATAACGACGTAAATCTTTGACTGTCGTGGGTTTAGGGTAAATGTCGATTGCTTTTAGTTTCTCTTGTGTCGGTTTCATCCCTTGGCTCGTTATATGATAACCAAGAAAATCTAACTCATTTTTGAAAAACTCGCATTTGCTCATATTAATTGTAATTCCATTTTCATTTAAACGAGTAAATATAATTTCTAAATGTTGGTAATGTTCCTTCTCGCTCTCGCTGGCTATCAGAATGTCATCGACAAATATAAAAATAAAGTCTAAGTCTCTGAATAGCGAATCCATGAATCTTTGGAACGTCTGACCCGCGTTTCTTAAACCGAATGGCATTCTTGTAAATTCGAAAAGTCCAAACGGAGTTATAATAGCGGTTTTTTCTGGCTCTGCAGTGGGAATGGAATGATAAGCCTTCCGGACGTCGATTTTGCTGAAGATGGATTTTCCACTAGCAATATACGAGAAATCCAATAACCTTGGAAGTGGATATCGGTCCGGTACGGTAATATTATTCAATGCGCGGTAATCACCGCATGGTCTCCATTCACCATTTTTCTTTTTTACCATGTGCAGTGGACTAGCCCATGGACTGCTTGATGGTCTGCATATGCCAATTTCTATCATGTCCTGAAATTCCTTTTTGGCAGCCTTATATTTATCTGGAGGAAGAGGACAAGCTCGAGCGCATACGGGAAATCCTTTTGTTATGATGTGATGTTTGATCTTATCTTGTACGGGAATATTCATTGATGTAGGCCTTGTGATTTTTTCATATTTTTCCAAAAGTTGCCTTATATAGTTAGGCAGTTCGGAGTCAATGGAGCGAACAGAGGGAATGTTTGCTTTGATGAAACTTACAGGCGTTTTGAGCTCTGTAACTTTATCTATTAATCTCTTCCCGTGTATATCTACCAATAAGCGGTAGTGCTCTAGAAAATCAGCGCCTAATATAGGCATTTTGACGTCAGCAATGATGAAATTCCATTTGAAGGAACGTCGTAAACCCAAATTTAAGGTTAGTGTTTTTTCCCCGTATGTCTTTGTCACGGTTCCGTTTGCGGCGAATAATTTTAATTCGCTAGCGCTCTCATTGGTCTGTGCTTGCTTTTTGATCACCGAGATATTTGCTCCGGTATCCACCAAAAATCTATAACCACTGTTAGAGTCGGTTATAGCTAGGCGGTTAAACGGGTGAACAGCACAGAGTTCCGCCTTGTTCTGTGCTGAGTCTAGTTTTCCGACGGCTGTCTTTTATTGTTCCAGGAGCACGGCAGGTCACATTTATATGCCTTTTCTTTAAATCTACGATGATAATAGCAATAATTATTACTCTGTCTATGCGCTGACCGACGGCGTGAATTTGATCTAGATCGGAAATTGCTGCGTCGGTTTATGTGTCGCGAGCGATTTTCGCGTAGTACAGCAACTTCTAATTGCAGCGTCGCGAGTTGTGAAGACAGGTGTGTGACCGTATTTACGTCAGCGGTGCCTGTTGATTGCATTGTTGTATTAAATCGCATATTTCCATGTATGCGATCGGCCATTTCGCTTAATTTGTCCAGCGTCAATTGCTCAGTAACCGCTAAAACGGTTGTGACTGATGGAGGAAGCTGCCTCATCCATAATAGTCGGATGGTATCCTCATTAATTTTCCCGCAACCAGCTTCTCTCATTTTCCTCAATAACTGGGACGGTTTTTGATCTCCCAGGTTCATTTCTGCGAGCAGTTTGTGGAAACGCTCTTTGCTCGCTCTCCTCATAACAGTCGATCAATCTGTCTTTAATGACTGAGTATTTATTCTCTGGTGGTGGATTTGTAAGTATATCGCTGACTTGGTGGACGACCTCCTTTGGCAGTTTGGATATTACTGTATTATATTTATATTCGTCGCCTTGTTTTTGAGGTGCGATTATTGCCTCAAATTGTGCAAACCACAAACGTGGCGAGTCTGTCCAGAACTCAAGTACCCGCTCTGTGACGGTTATTGCAGCGATGTCTATACAGCTAGTGGCAGACATGCCTGGTGTACTAGGCATGTTTGTTCCTGTTAATGGCATAGGACGAGCTATTGTTAACGTTGTGATGAGTAAAACAGCTGGCCAGTATTATATGGCGGTCAGTAGTATGGCAGGGTTCCTTGTTGCGCAGTGTAGCCAACGATTTTTGTGCCTCTTGAATTTCCGTACCGGTGAGACCCGCTTCTGGGAAGCCGGTGGAAATGTGCAATCGTTGGTGGTGCGCAGGATGCCGTCAGCCAGAGATCTCTTGCTTGATCTCGTCGTTTTCCCAGGTTTCGTTTTGATCACGTCGGCCAGATCACGTCGGGGTCACCACTGTTGCGGGTAAATAATACAATGTTGCTGGTCGAGACGATGTATATTACAGATGATAATAAACTGACAATATGTACATAGAAATAATGATCTTATATACTAAATAAAAATAGGAAAATGTAAGGTGGGGTGACACAGTTTAGATACAGCAGTGCCTAGTAGACAATATTGAATTTGTCTTACTAGACATTATTAAATGCAATTATTATTTTATGTATCTAGGTGACTGTGTCCCATAAAACAATATCTGTTATGATGAAAACATACAATATTGCCGCAGTAGTAGCCACAGTAGTCTCCATTTCAGGGATGAATTACGGATAGTTCAATACAATACAAAAAAAATGTTTTTTTTTGTTCAGGTCTTACAGGACGGACGGCTCGTAGATCTCCCTCTTTCAGAGCCGTTTTTACGAATTATGTGTGGAGAAGAACTCAGGACTGAACATTTGGAAGAAATCGATCCTATACGGCATAGGTAAAGTTATCTTCATTTGCTGTGTTTGAAACATTATTGTCATTTATTTTCCATAGACTATCTCTAAGCGCATTGTCATCTGCCAACTAATCCGATTACAGTAAACAAGACGACCCGCGCAACTACATCAGAGTTACTTGACTTGATTTACATAATATCTCTTTAAATAATAATGTATTTGTTATTCTTGATATATAAGCTAAATTATTATAAAATTTCAACATTATCCGTTCTGCAGTTTTTGTGTGAGAGAGATATATCCATCCATCTATATTCACAAACTTTCGCGTTTATAATATTAGTAAGATTTATTTACCAATATATAAGTATTACGTATATGTGTTCTAAGTGAACAATGAACAATTAATGCTGATAAAGTGTAGTATTTTTTTTAATAGCAAGACTTACTTTTAGCGGTATATACAGGCATAAAAATAAATGTTATGTGGGGGTGCAGATTCCTGCAGAGCGTGGTGGCAGCAGCAGAGCGGTACGAGAGTTCGCCCGAGGAAGAGCCCACCGTGGAGGGCGCCACGTTCGAGCAGCTCGCGCTCACCATGGCGCACGTGGCCGCCCACCCCGACCCAGCCGTCGCCGTGCAGCCGCTCTGCGACGGCGGCGACCACATCGAGGTACTTTACGTACGGTAAAGAAGAAGTAGCACTTCTTCTTTAGTCGTACGCTTTTAACAGTGTGGTCGTGGCTTTAGTAATGATATCTCTTCGTTGTCCTCCTTGGTGACGACTATTCTTAAATCATGCGGCTAAAATTGTCAAATATAATAATGTCAAAATAAATTTGTCTTTTATACACCTCTCGAACTAAGGGCGTCATTGTAAATAATGACTAGTTCATTATCATTGAGTTGTACGTAGCAAATCTTATTCTGTTGTCTAAAGTGGTGTTTTTTATGTTCAAATTGATAGATGTTTAAAATTCATAAGCATGTTAATTCATAAGCAAGTATATACCGAGAACTGGAATGTTGTCAATGATGGTTTTCAAACCAAACTGTTGAATTATTGCATAGTGTAAAACAGTAATGTTTCCTCTTCAAGTATAGTGATGGCAGCTTGGTATGCTGAGTGCCTAATCTCTAAAACAGGAATAGGTTAATTCTATAAGTGTCATGTTGATTAGGTAAAAATATTTAATATATCAGGCGAACGATGGTAGTTCGTGTACTATAATAAAGGCCGCGTTATCTAAAAACTACGTACAACTGTAGGTGGGGCCACACAACGCGCGAGCGTACGCTGAGGCGTCCGCGCGGTGGATGGTGCGCGACGGCATCCGGCGGCAGACGGCGGCCTTCAGGAATGGGTTCGGTGCCGTGTTCCCGGCGCGGCGACTGCGAGCGTTCTCGCCAAGCGAGCTGCGTCTGCTGGTTTGCGGCGAGCGCGGGCCCGCCTGGACCCGCGACCACCTGCTGCAGTATACAGAGCCCAAGCTGGGCTACACGCGCGACAGGTTCGTCACCACCCACTTCACACGATCCTCTTATTATCGGTACACAGAGTTCAAACTGGGCAAAACGCACGACAGGTCCGTTACCACCCATCGAAACTATAATATAGTTATTCATTTGTCCACTTAGAACCGTGATATACAGCGCGACAGTTTTTCAACCAGTGATCATTTGTATAAGTGTTACACTGAAACACGATAACTATACATACACTATAACAGTGCTGTCGATATCACCGTTAAGTCCTTCAATGGCCAACATTGGCTATGTTGATGTTATACATATTTGTTACAGCCCTGGGTTCCTGCGTCTTGTGGATGTATTAGTGGAGATGTCGCTGGTTGAACGGAAAGCTTTCCTACAGTTTGCGACCGGTTGCAGCAGTCTGCCGCCCGGAGGCCTGGCAAATCTACACCCCAGGCTTACTGTAGTGAGAAAGGTAATATTTATTATACATTGTTTAAGATTTTTAATACGACCTCTTATACAATTGCTAAAACATAGTTATGCAGAGGCAAATAAACAACGGTTATTGAGTGTTGATCGAGAACACTTAATTATTTATATAATTCTCAATATTCTAAATACACGTAGGCACATCAGTTATATAATTAGTTGTAAAAATGAAATTGCTTTTATCTGAAGTTTATGAGAAACTGCTAAAATATTATATATTTGCAGGTTGATGCTGGAGACGGGTCGTATCCATCGGTAAACACATGTGTGCATTACTTGAAACTACCTGAGTATTCATGTAAAGAAGTACTACGTGAACGATTGCTCGCCGCAACGAACGAGCGAGGCTTCCATCTCAACTAGATTTAGGCTATATTTTAATATTAATAAATATGTTAAAACTATAAAAAATAGCACTGACTAATCACATTTAATTGGGCAAGAGGTTCAATGATCTTATAGATGTAATTGTTTCATATTTTGTTATAAGGAAATGCCCTTTATTTAATTATATAATAAAGTATATATATATGAATATTATATTATATTAATGGAGTCTTTATATGAATATTGGTTTACGTTAATTTAATTTTTCGCTATAGTGGTTTTGTATAGGTATAGGTGATTCATAATTTCCGTTTTGTTTCATTATATGAATGCAATAAATAATTTTATAACGGAAATTACATAAGTTGAAGTATATTTATCATTATCAGCAAGATGTTATATCAATTTTATTGTTTTATTTTGTATTTATATAAAAAGTAAGTAAAGAGTCAAGAATTCTGTTATAATAAATAAATCACAATGATGGTATGAGACTGCGTACAAGGTAATAGTTAAAATTTTTCGAATGTTGACATCGATAATCTATGTAAATAAAGGCTTTAGTTGATAGTAGTTGCTAACTGATAATCACTCTAATATGGTACTTTCCCTGAGGTTTTACTATAAACATTTCTGTGTTGCAGAAAAGAGTTTACTTATTGCAATATTAAACTTATTTCTGCAAAGATTATCGAAGTCAATCTAAGGGAAAATATATTTTTTCAAAAACATTGTTAAAATTTAAAACATGGGTTTTGAAAATAGATTGTAAGTGTCGTACTTTACAAAAAATTGAAATTGGAAAAATAATTGTGTTAATGTTCAATAATTTATATTCTATGTCGAGTGAGCTAAAATATTGTTTATTTAGAAAATTTACTATTTAATGTTCTGGCCTGACGTCGTTAAGTTTGGCAATAACTGACGTCAAAATCCAGAAATGCTCTAATAAGTTCATATTAAACTAACGCCCTTCGTATCTATATGCTGTATTAAACGTATTCATTACTTGAATGTAATTAACGTAATATAATTAAAAATATATTTTTAAGAATAAGCCAATCGTTAAGGGTATGCAAAGCAGATGGCCCGGTAGAATACTCATGATACTGAAACACTCACTCAAAAAGAAAGAAAGAAAGATAGTGGAGATTGTTGTGAAACTTAATTCTATTTGTAGTAAATTGAACACATTCTGCATGTTTGTTCGATTAATGAAAAATATATATATATATTTCACTTTGGGAAAGTTATTTAGTTTCATGAATACTATCACTCGTCTTTGCTAACCCTATTATTATTATATATATAAAAGTAACTCTGCTTAGTATTTATAGATAACCGTGTCTAAACCGGTGTTATATAAATTTAACTTTTTTCTTGTTCTTCAATATAATTTGAAAAAACATCTACTACATAGACAAGTTACATAGTCAAAACAGGTCTATCGACAAAAAAGTTTGTCTTGGAACATTTTTTTCCTTTCACGATATACAACTACTTAAAATGTCCAAGGTTTAGCAGTAAATTTATTATGTTATTTTGTTTTTACTAAGCATATAAATTATGTAACTAATTCTCTCTATGTCTATGTCTTCTCCATTTGCTTCCAATGATTTTTCTCTCTATTCTACTGTTTAAAACCAGTTGACGCTATAAAACCCTTAACTAAATTAACGTTACAATGCTTCTAGTCATCTTTTAATATCGCGTTTAAATAATTTGGGAGGCACAATGTCAGCTAGCAGATTCTATATATTTTTTGTTCAATTAATTCTTTATTTGGGAGTGTTACTTACTATTACAGAATTTAAAGATTTAAAATAAGCAGTCACCTATAATTTGTTTGATAAGAATCTAGAAGTATAGGTGGGCTTCATTTGCGATGGAATGATTAGGTATCACGTGCCGTAGTGGGCAAAAAGCCGATTGATTTAGATTGCCAATTTTACATTATTTCTTTTAAATCAAATAAGTATAAATAAAATTTGTTTGATTGTTGATGGGTTGATATATAATATGTATTTGCTGACCGTCAGTTAAATCATGAATGATAAAGTACAAATCTTTTGTTTGTCATTATTAGTATATATTCTAACTCAGTTCAGTTCCTCAATATTTGCGTTTTATTGTAATAACTTTCACTTGCAAAAACTAGTACTATACACGGAATCCCTTCTTAGAATTCTTTGTTTTCTTAGTTTAAGTATATTTTATATTAATGTTATCAATATGAGTAAAATGAAAAGAATATGTAATCGAATTTAATTTCACTTCGTTTGAATGCCTTTGGAATGTATTGAAATTTTAATGTTATAATTACTAATTATTCTTTAATTTCCTTAATAAAATATATCACACATTGTACATATTTCTGCAAACTTAGCACTCTCTCAGAAATTGATGTAAATTCGTTGCCACGAAGCCTCTTGAAATATAAGGAATCTAAATTGTTAATAATATATGATTCGTGGTGTAAAACACTTGTGCGTCTACGAAAGCTGATTGTAGAACTATGTTCCTTTAGTTAAATAATTTTGTCAACTAAAAGTTGATTGTGATTTATGAATAATGATATAAAATATTCTATGAATTTAAATATATTTTAGCTTAAATTTAATAGGTATTTAATGTAATATTATTAACAATATAGCATCTTGTAGTGCTCCTGTACGTGTTGTTAAAGATATCAATATATCAAGTGAAAATTTGAATAAAATGTTTTTCTTTTGTATTTCCCCTGTATTTAAAGATACTCTATTGAGAGTGCACTACAATTTATTCTATGCAATGGCTCCTATACAACATTTAAGAATAAGCTATACCTACGAGTAAAAAACTTCTATACATCACTTGACAATTGATTTTTCATAATTATTGCAAATATTAAAAATTATAACTGCTAACAAATTTCTAAAACCCACAAACAAATCATAACAAAAATTAGTACTACTGCAACTATACTAATAGTGATCGTAATTACAAGTTAGTATTCAACATAATTATAAAAAAAAACCCATGATTTTTAAACACTAATTATGCAACCTTTACACTTTAAACACTAATTACCTCTTGTAGTAGAATGTCTGAAGATAGATATTGGCGTATCAAAGACATACATATATTTATGTAGTAATGTTTATTATATGGTGTTAGAGAACGTGGAGGAATTATTTGCAATGCTTCTATGCAGTTGTGAAACTATACGTATTTAGTTGGTTTTATTGAGATATATCTATATGTCAAATATCTTTTAAAAGTGAGATTCTCTACAACACAAGTAAATATAGCTCATTTCAATGGGTTTATGATAAGTAACACTTAGAGAATGTGATTAAGGTGTCTGTGTATTGAAGATAGTAATATCTTCAGTGTTTTTCTAAACCAAAGGCGTTATTTATATTGAAAATACAGAACAATATACTAATATTCTTGAATTTATATATTGGGTTGATATGAATAGATATTTTTATAATTTGTGTTTTTAAATTAAATAATTTCATGATATCTTATGGCATATATGATGTTGTATGGTCACGTAATTTACTATTATTTATTGCAAATGGATATACATTTCTTGGCATTTGTCTTTCTATATAAATTTTTAACTGAAAGTCTTGTACTTTTGAACTTTAATGAAATAGTTAATAGTTATATTTTTTATAGGTGTATAGTTTTGGATTTATATTTATATTATGTGATATTTTCTCATCTGTGATTCCTTGTAGGATCTTTATTGTATAACTGCAATGTAACTGTACTCGCCTTATGATGTCCTGGGGATAAATTAACTGCTGACACACCTAGTACCTACTTATAGGTTTCTTTTACGACAGAACGTTATATTTTCAAAATTTTGTCGATTATAATTACTAATTTGCTTTTCAGTCAAAAGAGATGCCTACTTACTTTCGACAATAAGTGAAATATTGTTTGATATACTTTTTGCTTGCTAAATTATATCGCAGTATTTTAATGTATTATTTGTTGTCATTGGTGTTGCTTTTTCTTGTTGAGACACCGGGTCAGGATGCTGCGCAACCCGGTCCACGGCTCTATATAGTCGCAACCTTGGTTTTACACAATTTTCATACAATACTTTTGAGCTCAGTATCTACCAGTATAAAAACTTATTGGCCACTGGTATAGGTATCAGTCATTGTCTAGTTTCCAGCCGATCGGTAGGAACATGAAAGCTTTTTTGTTTCTTTGCGCCGCCACGGCGGCGCTGGCTTATGTCAGTTGTCGAGAAGTATCCCGTGAACGGAGAGATGCAGATTTAGAGCCAGCTGCTAGCCACCATGGTGGTAAATGGGATAAGGGTGGCGGCCATGAGCATCATCACCATCACCATCACGATCATGGCGAGAAAGGACACAAAGGTTATAAGGGTCATCACCATCATGAACATGGTAAAAAGGGACACCACCATCATGAAGGACACAAAGGACATCATGATGAGCATGGCGGTCATAAAAAACATCATCATCATGACGATGGGCACCACCATGAACACCATCATGGCGAGAAGGGTCACAAAGGTCATGGGCACCATGAGGAAGGTCACTATCATAAGGGACATTCCACTAAGGGTCATCATGGAGTTCATAAGCACGATGAGTTCAAGAAGGAAAAACATTTTCATGACCATCACCATGAAGGCGGCCACCATGAGCATCATGGAGGTCACCACGAGGAGCACGGTCACAAGAAGGGCGGTGGTTTCCATAAAGGCCATAAGCACGGCGGTCATCACCATCATGAGCATGGTAAGAAGGGTCACCATGAGAAAGGCGGCCACCATCACGATCACAAGGGACATCATGATGAGGGCGGTCATCATGAGCATCATCATCATCACCATGATCATGGAAAGAAGGGTGGACATGAGGACCACAAACATTGGGGACACAAAAAGGGTCATTAATATATTTTCCCCAAATTCCCATCGATGCCAGTTTATTAGGCCTATGTATAGGTATATCTAATTAAGCTTACGACATATAAGTGTTATTGTTTATGTTGACTGTGATTATATTTTACATTAAAATGACTGTAATTGTTGTTATGTATATTATTTATATTTTATCATTGTGTCTTACTCTTGAATAATATGGGTGTACAAACCGTTGAATAAATTGAAGCACGATTTTAATATCTGACATGCAATCTAATGTACAACATTTTTTCCTTCATCTTTCATAGCAGTTTATCCATAATTTTGTTAATTATTTTTTTACACCAATGAAAAAGTACTAATTGTATGATTAAGATTTGATCAATTTGGACTGTTGCTGTTAATTAAACGGAAACACTTTACAATTCAATAGTCAAATTTAAATTATATTTTAAACTGCAGTCATGTGATGAATTTAATATATAAAGTACAATTATAGTAAAATATATATTTCCTACTTGGAATATCTAGAGCTATGAATATAATAGATAGATCAGATCTAGTTAGTATTTAGTTAGTTACTATCAGATCTCATGGTAGAGCGATGATAATTTTTCTGATGAGATTGACTTCGCCGGGCTGCTAAGCGGTGTTAATACCAAATCCAAGTATTTGAATATATTTGATTTGAAATACTTCTTAGACTAGATTCAATTTACGTTATTATGTATGATTTACGTTATATTTCATATCTATTTGGCTTAATTTGTATCTGTTGCATACGCATAGGTTATTTAAGTAAATTTTTTTATTTATACAGATAATAACAAGCTATAAAGTTTTTTTTATTAACAACAATAAGTGTAAAAAGAAAAAGTAGGTACATACTATATTAAACAAATAATGACTACAAATACTAGGTACTACAAAAGTTTGTTTTATGATACCTAAATGAGTGGTGACAGAGTAAAAGTAACATCATTTATTGTGCTGAATTGGATTTTTTTCAAAAACAAATGCGATACTAAAGGATAGTATTCGGTACATATCGGTAATTAGCTGTACAAAAACAAACTTATCAATTTCAGCTCACGTTTCGACAACAAAGTTACATAAAATTGTTGGCCGTGGTTCGTTGGCAACGGCTCCCGACGAGGTAAGTAACTGACGTTGAGAAACTAGAACGGTGTCCGAGATTGGCCTACATACGGCAAAGAATTAGTCGTGGTTGCAATGAAGCGTTTCTTAAAGAAAACAATTGCAATGGAAATGAAATTTATACCATTTCACAATTATAAAGTTTTACAAGTCTAATAACTTTTACGATACGGCGTGACTACTACGACTATTGAGTAAATAACGTCATCTTTTGCTGCTATAGATATATTTTTTCAAATTTGTATAATAAGTACGTGACTTAATGACGTTTTCAACAGGTGTAGGATTCTTAGTTGTTTAAGAGTTTAATAAAACCCTTAAACAGCTGTACCGTGCCACCTCCCTTGATAAAAGTAAGGACAAATAATAATAATAATAATCATCTTTATTTCTCTCAAATAATAAACTAATTCCAAATCTCATCAAAAAAATCTAATAGAAATTATCCACCGAGAAACTACTACGAGAATTAGTAGCGATATGAAGTAAAAATTGATATACCTAGGTATATTTAAATTTGATGTGAATTTTTACTTTAATATGAATAGATCGAAATAGAAATTACTACCTACACTCACAGAAATCATTTTATATATAACATATTTATAATTTCTCCGTTTTAGTATAACGGTACATATATGTATATATGTATGGATATACATACTAAAACTTGTAAATATTGTTGCATTTAGCAAAGAAAAGAAATGCAGGCATTTTGGCGTAGAGCCAACTCTTGCGTTTGAAATTAGGTTTACTTTTTAGTTCGGATTTTATACCGTAACTGCAATGCTTAAATTGCATGAAAAAGGTGGCCTGGTTGTCAGTCGAAGTTCAATAAAGAAGGGAAAAAAAATGAAAAAATGTTTAATCGTTTAAAATGTTCGGGTCTCTGAAATAAACAAAGATTTGATTCATACATAGATTCATTTGAACCTAACCAGATGTAAAATATGATATTTAGAAGTAGTTACCTAATAACTTTTAAAGCATGATGCTTTGAGTATGCGTGAAGGGATAAGTTATTGAAGAACTAGTTTATGGGGCAATATTTATAGTATCACGTACAGGATACCGATCAGTTTACGTACAGGATATTCACCAGCGCCTTTAGTCACAGGAACACCGTAAAGAGTATCTGAAAAATAAATTCAGGAAATATTGAAATTTAAAAATGAGGGTACAGATAGCGTAGGTAATACGTATCTTGCAAAGAAAATTATTATCAGTGACATAACCTCGTTGAAAGCTGGAAAGATGATGCAGAAATCAGAACATGATATCCCCATACATACTCTCATAAATGAGTATAGAAAGAAAGTATTTAGTTGATTAACTATTTAGTTAATCGACTAAATACTCCAGATTATCTTTCTAATAACAAGAGTACTGAACTAAACTTTATTGATTGTATAAAGAATTACCAATCTCTATCACCATTCAGATGGTACCTACATATGTAACTGAAAACAGTAAAATCTAGAACCTCCTTTGTGTCAATCGGTTGAAAATACGCAGTGACGTCTAATTTGTTTACGATACACAACCGGCTAGTTGTTGCCGTCGTTGCATAAATGGTTGGTGACGACTGCGCCGACGCTGACGCTGTCGGGCCGGCACCTCAACGCGGTGCCACCGTGACGTACCACCTATTGACCATGCAATTTTCACGGTCGATATCTACAAATCTACGAGACAAGGCGACTGCGATAGACACATTCTCTAATTTAAAATTGAAACCCACAGGATGTTAACTTTTACTAAGCAATGATAACTTCAAAGTAATATCTAAATTTATCAACAGATTTCAGAAAAAAAGAAATCTCAATCGAATTGTATCTTTTATTTACTTAGATATATTTTACCTACGTAGCGTATTACCTTACTCTATATGTTCTGTAATTATGCACCTATTTATTCTTTTTTCAATCGATATAGGATTAGAATATCTTTTTGAAATTGATATTAAAAACATTATCAATTTAAAAAAGATATTCTAATCCTATACTAACACTGCCACTAATTAAAATTGTTTTTGTTAAACAAATTCTTAACCTATTTTAGGTCAATAAATAAATTGTATTATATGCGCTAACATCATACATAATTACAAAACACAGTATTTAATATGGCATAGCAATGTAAATGCATTTTACACAATTTTTTTTAGTACATTATTTTTCAAGAATTTTATTATTATGAGAAATATGACGACAAAATCTGCTTCTATTGAATATACATTATTCGATCGATCTTATTATGAGCTGGCTATTATTTGAAAAAAAAAATACACATTAAATAGGTAGATAGATGGATAAAATTCTTTTCAATACTGGAAAACTATAGAAACTAATAAAATATTTAGAGTTGTATATTATTTTTTATATTAGAATAATACTAAATAAATAAATAATGAGCATGTAATCTTGTGCCTGAAGATTGACTACATTGTTAACATTGTTAAGAATGAGACCGCCAATTCCTATTAGTGACCATTAAACAAATCCGTGTCATTAACTTACTTAAATAATTTACAAAATATTTGAGGATTTCGGTGCATATTAACAATATCACTCGAAAGCACTGTGATCAATAATGAACCTGTCAGATTAAATTATTACAAATATTTAGCAATAATATTGACCACAATTTCTAACAAGCTTATAAAATAATGAGTATGCAATGTAGCGAGAATTAGAATATTTATTTATAACTCTTTCGAGGCAGAGTTATTTTTGGTGTGATCTGATCTCGCAAATTCTAAATATTTCAGTCGAGACTCGCGTTTAATACTAATAAATCTTCAAATATTGTTGTGTCTAACTTACTATCGTTAATACATTAGATTGACGTATTAATATCTATAATATTATCTATACATAAAATACCTATATATACATAATAAATTAATTAATATGTAATAACCGACATAAAACTGTAATGTAAGTTTGAGGTGATTACGTATAAAATAATATTATGAAAATTATAATCAAATGGATATTGTGTTTTCCGATGGTTTGTTGCCGTAGCACAGACGTACTGCCGGTGAGTCAGTTGACTCCGTCTCACCGCACTCACTGCGACGCGTCACTTGTTAATGCTTACACAACTCTTTATATAAAACTGCTGAGCTCCCGATGGTACAGACAATTTTAGAAGAAACGTACATCGTGCCGCTGCAGCATCACGACCACAAATTAGAGCATGAGGGTGGCCTTAGTGATAGGATTGCTAACGCTATTGACGGTCGCTCATGCACGCCGTCTACCTACTGCCAAATATGTACAATCTACGGAGAAAACAATAGCAGACCAGGAACCTGCGGGAACTGGCCACAAGAAGGAGGCGCATCATAATCATGAATACAAGAAGGGAGGCGGTAAAGAACATCATGCACATCATCATCACGAACATGGTGAACATGGACACAAAGGTTATAAAGGTCATCATCATCACGAAGAGGGTAAGAAGGGCCACCATGATAAGGAACATCATAAAGGTGAATACGACGATCATGGAGGCCACAAAAAGGAACACCATCATGAGGATGGCCACTACGACGAGCATCATAAAGGTGAAAAAGGTGAAAAGGGACATAAATATGAGGAGAAAGGACATTATAATAAAGGACATTCTACAAAAGGCCATCACGAAGTGCATAAGCTTGATGAATTCAAAAAAGATAAACATTTCTTCGACGAAGAAGGAGATTCTGGTCACGAGGAAAAGCACGGAGGCTTTCATGAGGAGCATGGCCATAAGAAAGGTGGACATTTCAAGAAAGGTCATCATCATGGCGGGCACCATGAACATGAACACGGCAAAAAGGGACATCACGAAAAAGGCGGTCATCACCATGAGCACAAGGGCCATAAGGAGGCCGCTGGTCATGACGAACATTATCATCACCACCACGATCACGCCAAAAAGGGCGGTCACGATCATCACAAGAAATGGGGCTACAAGAAAGGACATTGATTACCGTATTAACATTACAGAATATTATAACTCAAAGAAAGCAGAGTTGAAACCGATCGACCCGACATATTTTTTACCTTGCGTAAGTTGTGGTTATTATACAGTCACTTGTCAATTACGGATAAAACAGTGCACTTTGGATTGTCTAGTTTGGATAATATATAATGCTGTGATCGTGAAAATGTTTCTATTTTCACATTTATATATGTATAGTGGTATTAAACACATAAATTATTTTATTATGTAAGTAAATTAAGCTACCAATTAGAAAATATAAACATTATGAAGGAGTTATTTTTATTGATTTCAAGTGTAGTGTAATTTTCAAACGTAATATGGCTCTACATATTGCGTTATAACTACTAACCTTACCCACCATTATGCCTGTCCCATGAGTAAGCTACTAGTAACTATAGTTATAGCGCATCTCTGTGGGCAAGCTTTTAAAATAATTAACGTTGATAACCACCACTCAGGATTCTGTGGTTTTGGGCGGGAGCTCTACGTACACGCTCTTTACTACTACTATATGAAGAGAGCATCTAATAAGTATTTCTGAGAATTACTTATTTATTAGATCATATATAAATTATGCATCTGTAATTAACAAAAAACAGAACAGGCTTATAGATTTTTTTTGTTGTATGTGATTTGTAACAGTCAGTCGTAACAATTAGTTTATTCGATATGGTGGGCATTTAAATTACAAATAAAAGTTTGATAGTAGGTATTTTTAAACTCTTATAATGTTCACTTTAAAGAATTTAGATTCTGAAACTTTTTTACTCAGTCAATAGTCAAGTACCTTACACATGAAATTTTCTTATAACTCAACTTACGACATTAGAATATTCCTTTTTGTAATTTAACAAAAAATTGCTTATTATTACGCCTATTATGAAATTATAATGTTTTCCTATTTAACAATTATTAGCATTAATTGTACACATGTATTTTAAAGAATTCTAACTTGGTCTTTAGAGAAAATACTTAACATAAACATTATATGAATATTGATAATTTCAAACTAATAATATTTAGTAGTATTTAATTCAGTAGTATTTAATATATACTCGTATATTCAAAATATGTTATATAGCGCTACCTAATATTTTTTAAATTTTTTTTCAATATATTATACTTACAAGGCGTACCTTGAAGGTAGGTACTATTTAAAAGTATGTATATTAATATGTACATAGTTATAAGGGTCTTCAACGCGCACGTGACACTGCTGGTGTTTCAGACGTATGTAGGTAAGGGTAAGGGTAAAGGTAATACTATTTCCCATCCATCCATGTATCCATACCATCAGATGAGGCGTATACTAGATTGCCATCATTGTAGTATAAAAGAAATATAAATAGATAATATTTAAAGTTAATTTGGAGAGAATAACAATGTGGATTAGCTACTACATAACATAATGTTAATTTTACAGGCGTACGGATTTTTTTAATATTCGTAATGACTTTGTTGTTTTTCAATTTTCAAGCCAGATCCTTTATACGCAGGGAGAATCGTGTGCCAGTGGCTTCTATCCTCTTTAAATTTTATGTATAGTACATAAAACGGAATAAGTATTTACAACAATGATAAATATTCAATAAATGTCTTATCACTATAATGTATCTACAAATGTTTATTTTTATAACAAATTTTTAAACTATATTTTGTATATTAACTAGCAACTAGCCCCGGCTGCGCACAGGTGTACATGTGTTATATATATAAACCTAAATCCGTTCGGTAGTTTTAAAGATTCAACCATACATAGGGACAGACAGCGATAGCGACTTTGTTTTATACTATTTAATAATAATGATAAGGTTAATAAGTTTAAAAGTGTAAAAACAAACATGTAACATTTATTAGACTTTTATTTTGCTTTTCTGTTTTATTGCTGCTAAACTGTAATACTACGCTTGGTCTGGATTAGGAGTTGACAGCGTTGGCGCCCATAAATTTGCTGCCAAGTGTGACATGACTAAATCCCCATACTTGCTCGCTAATTAGTGTAAAAGCACTATTAATGGATTACACTTGTGAAATATACGTAACAGTTTCCTCTCTAAATTACATTCAGTTAACGTAATTAGGTACAACACTGTCCACAGTGAGTCTTTTATGAGATTCTAGTTCTTAATTACAATTTTTAAAGTGATATTTGTAAATATTCAAATAGATATGTACTTATTCGTAAAATGACACAATGTCTTATAGGTAGGTTACTAATTGAGCGCAAACTGTAGATTAGCTTAAGTGTTGAATATTTATTATAACTATTTCAATGAGACATAGAAATAGATAGATTAGAAATATATGACAGAAGCATAATTCTTGCATAGCACTGTGGAAAATTATTCTTAAATATTTTTTCTTCTGATATAAGTTTTGTTACTGCAATAAATTAATGTTTAGATAGATAATGTTGTTGTTGTTTTATTTTTAATAAATAAATAAATAGAATTTCGTCTTTTTTATGTAAATGCATTTCCATAAAAACGCCTGCGAGTCGGCTTCGGCATTTTATTCGGAGTGATAATATTTGCAGATATCGCAAACAGAATATGAGCAAGTGTTAACTAAGTAGCTAATTTAATATTGTATTTATAATTCTAATTAATTAATTAATAGGATTTAGTCTCATGTATGTTTCATGCATATCTACTTCGGATTGAAATCTATATTAATTTCGTAAAACTTAATCAAAGCAAATTAACATTTTCCAGTATGAGTATGAGTATGAGTATCTTTACATTAATAAAACAAATTAAGAAGGCATTTACAGCTTCTGAAAAACTATTGTTACGTATAGAAGAGATTTTTTTTTATTTAATCCATCGTGATAACTAGGTAGCAATTCATCGAGACTCGACTTATTTGATTAGCACAAATTGGATACGTCACGAACGCTTTATTACAGCCTTCTATGATTGAGGGGATTAAATAGGATCAAAGGGATTCTTAAGAGAGGACCTGTGTTACATCCAAATGGAAATACATTTTACATGCTGGTAAATATTTATAGTTATTATAAGCATACATTTATTTAGAATATCGATGTCTGTATTAGTTGGACAATTTTCTACTGTTATATCACACTCAAAGTTAGTTATTACAATTCCTAAAATGATTACTAGAAGGTCTATTTGTTTGTCCACTTGTTTTATTGTATAAATTTATACTTTGCTTGATCTGCCGTTGAATTAATAAGTTAGTTTAGTTATGAAATTCAGAAGAAGTATTTTTATATAAAATTTCTAGACTTTTCTGGTTTTAGTTCATAGCTCTTTTGCTTACAAGGTCGATCTTTTATTTCATTCTGTTCCTTTCTATAGCCGACTCTGTATAAAGAAAGGCATTTAAAGATTAGGCAACCTTCTAAAAGCCTTATTAGTGTTCAAGCCTGCAAATATGAGTTATTGATTTTTAGTTTGACTTCTATAGCATATTAGAAAACAAACTACAAAGAGAAATATCTGGGATCCAAGTAAGCGTAGTTCGGCTTCGGGACTGTTCGCCCTTCCGAACTAGTTCATTCCCAAAGTACATACTTTAGTATACTTTACATTTATATACTTTAGTACCTAGACTAAAGACCATATTCATGAGACAAGACTTACTGTTTCATACTTTTCACGCCCGATTAGCTGAAAGGATTTTAATGAAATTTGAGCTGAAGATAGAAGATATCACGTGGAGGGACATATGTAGGTTATGGATAATATGCGACGGAAATAAATCAACAGAATATTAATTTTTACATAGTATAAAACAAAGTGGCCGCCGCTGTTTGTTTGTTTATATTTTATAAATTACATATAGGATTTTAATGCAGTTTTCACTAATAGATAGAGTGATTCAAGAGGAAGGTTTATATGTATAATACATGCGTGTTATAGTACGGAATACGATAAGAAATTCAAAGATTTGTAAAGTATCCACGAATGCGAGACGGGTCCGCAGTTAAATAATAAATTAATATATACTGAATTTATGGAACCAACATATTAATATATATGTCTATAACAGAGTAGGTATATTAGAATTTATTTTACTTAATTAAATTCAATAATAAACGTTAATAGTATGAAGTTATATACGTATGTTGCTAATAAAATTGTTACTGAGTTGCAGCTGTACATCTCTTTAGCAAACTTCACGTGTTTATTAAATCTACCAAAAGTTATGAGGCTGTGAGAGGGCACACAAAGTTCTCTGAATGTCACTCGCGATATCGTATTTTTATTCCTTTGATATTTAAATTTTAAGGTTTTTACTTAGATATCATAAATATACAAAATAAACAGAAATAAAATAAGTTCTTACTCTAAAAAATATTTATTTGTACATTGCCAGTAATTTAATTTCTAAAATATTTGTTGCCAAGAGTAGGTTTCATAAAGGCTTACAATATTAGAGATAAAAAGTAAATTCCATTGACGTAATTTATATACTATAATATGTCTTATTAACGCCTACTTATTTTGTTAATAAAAAGCACCTATATCCTTTTTGATGAGTTCCAATTAATTTATTACTGGGGAGGCGATTGTTAGTAATGAGTACTAGTGGGTTTGTTGTACTGGCAAATTATCCAATCATGTCCAACTCCATGTTCATGAGGTCCAATGTCGAGGTCGTTAATTCCTCGTGAATTCACCACGACAGGCTAATTGACCTGACTTCATTTGCTACTGGGGTCCGGTTAGTTAGCTAGGTAGGAGCACCATTATCATCCATTAAAAAAACACAAATTTGACCCAATTTACAGTATTCTGTAAATTGTAATGTGATTTTGTTTGAGTTAATTGCTAGTACCTAATTATAAATTTGTACTTATTAAACAAAATAAATATAAAAATTTTGATAATTTATTTACAACGCTATTTAAATTGTTTTAATATAAAATAGTATAGTTATTTATTTATTAATGTCCTTTCTTCCATCCCCAGTGTTTATGATCCTCGTGGCCTCCTTTTTTGCCGTGACCGTGATGGTGGTGGTGGTGCTCGTGGTGGCTGCCCTCATCGTGGTGGCCTTTGTGTTCGTGGTGGTGTCCACCCTTTTCATGATGTCCTTTCTTTCCGTGGTGGTGTTCATGATGACCACCGTGTTTATGTCCTTTGTGGAAGTGCCCTCCCTTCTTGTGACCGTGTTCATGGTGGTGACCACCATGGCCTTCTTCGTGGCCGGATTCTCCATGTTTCTCATGGAAGTGTTTGTCTTTTTTGAATTCGTCTACTTTATGAACACCGTGGTGTCCTTTCGTTGAATGTCCCTTATGATAATGGCCTTTTTCTTCGAATCCGTGTCCCTTTTCACCCTTTTCGCCGTGGTGATGTTCGTGGTGGTGGCCGTCGTCGTGGTGATGGTGTTTCTTGTGTCCACCATGCTCGTCGTGGTGGCCTTTGTGTCCCTCATGATGGTGGTGGCCTTTTTTGCCATGTTCATGATGGTGGTGCCCCTTGTAACCCTTGTGGCCTTTACCACCATGTTCGTGATGGTGATGGGCGTGGTGCTCTTTTCCACCACCCTTCTCGTGATGGTGTGAAGCAGCAGGCTCAAGATCTGCGTCCCGTTTCTCCCGCAAGTCCCGTGCGTGGGCTACAGCTAGGAGTATACCCAAGCAACTCAGCGCCAGGGCCACCTTCATTGTGGTATTATTTGTACGGCACTGTGATATACAATAGTTATTATTATCGTCAACAACCTTTTATAGACACAGGCTGATTTTCTTATAACTTCTATTGAGCAATTATTGCAAGCGGGCTCTGGTGTTTACATTTACTTTATTGCCAAGGTCAAACGGCCGGTGATAGATCATTGAGGTAAATATATTGTGATTAAATATATAATTTACTTTTAAAAATTTCTATGTCGTTTCTTTATTATCAATTACTTATATAGGTTTAAAATATCGAAGTATAAATGCAATAAGAACAGTCAAGTTCATGAAAGAAAAGTTATCCAAATTATCTTTGATACTCGTATTAGACTCCGTTGGCCACATGAATTCATTGTGAAAGGGATAATAATTATTGTCTTTTAACGATTTCACAGCACATAAGTATTTTGAAGTTGACGATATAATATATTACAATATATAATAATTTGTTTTACAATAAAAAAATGCTTTTAATATAGCAACTGAAGTACTAATTATACATGATTCTCTAATGATTGAGAATATGCACTTTACTACAGTGCAAAATTATCATTATTATATACCTATGTATACAATAATGATAATTTTAGGCTATTCGCTATTACCATGTATGGCATTGTTAGACTAGATAAAAAAAACTATATAATATAATATAACAACAATTATAAAAAAAAATATTATGGTTAAAGAAACTTAACTGAAGTAGTTAGCAAACTTAAAAAACTAGGAAACTAGGGATAGTGTTAAAAAATAAGGTGCATAATTGGCCGTAAGTTTCCTATATGATGAATATATTATCATAAAATGTACTTATTAAACATAATACTATACAGAACATAATATTATTTCAAATTGAAAAAAATGATTTCACATCCGATTTTTGAGACACAAAGTAACTTGTGACTTGCAAATAACTTTTGGCGTAATAATTAATGCTTGTTACGGAGCTCAGTTAATGAGTAAAGGATGTTATCCAGTTATACTCATAGTACATATAGGCAGGGCAACCGCGTGGCGGCGTAATTTATGCACTTAACCCGGGGGAGTAATAACCTGGTTATTATAATATAATTGGTTTAAAAACTCCACTTCATATAATTATTATTACAATAAATTATTTACGATATTAAAGCGAATTGACTATGTAACTAGTGTGCATTTTAAACATTATATGAATGGACAATAAATTACAGGTATTCCGATATTGTATTTCTGATAAGAGCCGAAATTGGTTACATGTTTTATTATTGTCAATGGTACGAGTAAATAGTAAATTTTCATTTTTCGCTTAATTAATGATACTGAAATAAAATAATTGCATATTAGCGTGTGTATTGCAAAGACCTCATAGCTAATATACGAATATGTTCAAAGTCTCCAATCAAACAGCATTAATTGAGTGTACCCGACTCAGATATCTTATTTCAAAGGATGTGACAAGGGTAACAGTGCTCGCCGCTGTTTAATACTTATATTAATTTGAATATGTGTACAATATATTATTATATTTTGGAACAAAATTTGTTTCATTAATTATTTAGCCTTGAGAGTGGTGACATATATACCTACCTACTACTGTTTCATTATTTTGACAAAAAGACTACGGTAATTTTTATTTTGTTGCTTACTACGTAATTTTATACAATTATCTATAGATATATAGTATATTCTGCTAAGTCTTTGATTATTGAAAAGGACGTCAATAAACCTTAGCGAATAGTCTCTCCCACACTATGTATAATGGATATTTACAGAGGTAGAATTTGTGAAAAGTCTATGTGATAATTCAGTGTTATCTACCTATTTCAGCCGCCAAGCAGTTTGTTTGTAAGGTGTGTTTCAGTTGAAGATAAGACAACGACATTAAAAGATATGAAGGCATAAAATATTAGATATCCGGAATGCATAAGTGGTATCACGGACTCACTAATTAAAGTGAACGTGAACTCTTTTTAGAGTAGAAACGTGAATACAATTAAAATAAAACGTTAACTATTGTCCTAAAATACCACATTCTATAACAAATTATCACACCCCGTGTCGTTTATCTATCGCTCGTAGGTTACCGCTATTTCAAGTGCCCAGCTAGTTCAAGTGTATTTCAGTACCGCTAGTTCAATGTATTTATATCAAAGATTAGAACATTTATAAGAACTGGAAGCTTGAAACTTTACACAAATTATCCTTACATATCGGTTATACTGACAAAAACAGAATTTAAAGAAATTTTAAGAGGACAGAACATTTCAGTGTGAAGACATCAGAAAACATATGGTAAATATAGGTAACCGTTGAATATACGAGTAGGTCGTTCGTGCCAACACATACAATAAATCACTTTTGTAAAACTTGATTCAGCCCTTTAGCTGAATCAAATTTTATAAAGCAATCTTTTTAGGGGTAGAATTAATTGAGGCAGAAGTAATAAGTGGGCCGAAAAAACTTAAAAATATATTGAAATTTAACAAACATTTCGACTTGCATTTTTACGCTCAGCAATGTACTAGTTAATCAGTCACTGTAAAGGAAAAACAACAATGGTATGACAATAGATAATTAATAATAATATCCCTGGATTATTCACCCACACCATCTAGTCAAGTCAGCCAAGGGTACTACATAAATGATATAAATACTTAGATATTTTTTTGTAAATATATACATAATATACATATGAATCGAATATATACATAATAATATATATATATATATAAATATAAATATATACATAATATAAATATAATCAAAACTTTATTGGAAACTGCTTCCGCATTTGACCTAGCTGTAATAAACACTTGGTTTAAGAAGAAAGAGAAACACCTTATCACCTATAAAAGTGGTCACCATGCGACACAAATAGACTTTTTCCTAACGAGAAGAATCAAGTTATGGACTGTGAAAGACTGTAAAGTGCTGCCGGGGGAAGATCTAGTTACACAACACAGATTATTACTAATAGAAATAAAAATTAAAACACAGATAAATAAAAATAGGAAATAAATGGCGAATGATAGAAAAAACGAGTATGCAAGCGATTCAAGAAAGAAGTTGTAGATAAAATGATTAGTATGAAAGACATGAAAGGAAAAACAGTAAATGAATGTTGGGATGAAATAGCACATTGTATAAGAATGGTAGCAAAGCAGGTCTTTGGAGAAAGTAAAGGAAAGGGTATAATAGGATACATGGTGGTGGAGTGAAGAAGTACAAAAAATATTAAAAGAAAAGAAGAATGCTTTCAAAGATTGGTAAAAGGTACCTACAGAGAATGAACGTCTGAAAGAAGAGAAAAAGATAATGTATAAAAAATTTAAAAAGGAAGGAAAAAAAGTAGTTGCAATAGCCAGAACAAGAGCCCTAGATAAAATATATAGGTCACTTGATGACTCTAGTGGCCAAAAAGAACTATACCGGATAACAAAAATGAGAGAAGAAAGAGCGAAAGATATAAAGCATGTAAAATGTATAAAAGAGGATACAGGACAAATTTTGTTGAAAGATGACGACATAAAAGCACGTTGGAAGGGACATTTCAATAAACTTTTTAATAAATTATTGCAAGAAGTGGCGATCCCTGAGGAATGGTGTAATAGTTCACTAGTGCCCATTTTTAAGAATAAGGGTGATTTACATGATTGCAATAATTATCGGGAAATAAAGCTAATGTCGCACAGTATGAAAGTATGGGAGAAAGTGATAGAGAAGCGATTGCGTGATGAGACGGATATCACCCAAAACCAGTTTGGATTTATGCCAGGCCATGTGTGTTTAAATATGTTTTATTATTTGTAATATTGAATATGTAGAGAAGAAGTATTAATCTAAAAACTGTGTGCAAATTGTCATCCAAAGCTGTAGAATAGTTTAAGTACATTCGAAGTTCCGCACAAAAGTATGTAATGAATATTAGCACAAAAGTAAACCTAGAAAACTATCGACGCTCCGCACCAAGTTGGGAAATGGTTTGTTAAACCGGCAATGTTGCAATAGCCAGTTCCGGTTTAGTTTGTATTTGACTTGATTTTCAGCTGCACCGTTTTAGTCCTGTCTGTCTCTGTTTCCTGAATATTTTTGTTGTTCCGGACGTTTAAAAAGATTTTATGCTGACATAATTAATTTTATTACATAATTAAATTAATTTTAATAACTAGTTACATATTTAATTAGACAACTGTCTGCCAACATCGAGTACAAATCATTTGTGATTCGATAATTATTTACGAGTTACGAGAATTATTTTATATTCAATTATTTGTAATTTGCGTACTCGCACGCAAATTACAATTTAGTATAAAATAGTTGTTAAAAATTCTAATGGGCTTTTTTTATTCGAACTACTCTAATGACGAAAATAGTGAGTACAGAGGGCATTCCAAAGCCGTGGAAAGGATTACGGAGCGGCTGAAGATAGACTCCTGTCTGACAGATACAACTTTAGTCTGAGGGCAAAGCTACGCGTTCGAACCTTGGCTCAGGCCGTCCTAATTTCGAATCCCGTTTGAATGGGACAGGGGATCGATTGAAAGTATTTACGTGTACTGTGTGTGTATAGGCTTGTATAAATAAAGATGGGATTTAGTTAGTAATTTATATTATTTATTATCATTTAAAATAGATGTTTGTTTACGATAATTGACTTTTATAATTTACTGTAGCACTCCATAATTTACTCTTTTATGGTTACGAAGCACGATATACTAGAGAACCAAAATGTATACAATTTTCATTAAAATATTTTTGATTTTCAGTGTATAATAAATGTCATGTGATACTGAACCATCTGCTATAAAACCTGGTTAGGTGGAAACAGTATAATATCGTACAATAATACCGCATCGTAAATTAACTAGAGAATGATGTTATACGCTTTTAGATTCCATTCTCAAAAATATAACGGTATCAAACAAATTTGGTATACGGCGATTTTTAGGGGGTTATAAATCACTTAGATATATCGCATCTCAGAGAAAATTCGATTTCACAAGTGAACTAAAATTATCTGCTACGTAAAATTTGTAGGTATGAGTGAGTGTAAAATCTAGTTTTATAGTATAAAAGTAGAAAGTTACATATTTGTCTGTTTATTACCTATTCAGGACGGTTTTGATTGATTTTGATGTTCAAATGGATTTTGATATGAATATAGATAGTATCAGGACGGGCGGACATTTGTTATCTTTTATATCAAAAAACAGATTGAGTTACAGAAAACAGCATGTATATTATATTTTAGTGCTATATTATATTTTTAACAAATGACAAAAGAAGAGGGTTTGCAATTCGACTGTGCTTTTTGTACAATATTATGTTAATGTAATAAAATCTTTTCCAAAAGTGACATACATAGATATATAATAATTCTTTATCTAAAGGATTATCATGTGTTTAAATTTTTTTTATCCTAAATTAATTAAATACAAAATCTACCAGAGATTTTGTAAAATAAGAAAGATATACTTTCTTTTGGAAATTACTATCTACTTGGAAATCAACAAAACCAAAGTTATTATTTCTCAATGATATTTTTTTGTAAATATATAGTAACAAAACCCATTTGTAACATATCAACAACAATTAACAACAAGTGTGGGCATACACTCCATGGCTTAGTGACCCTTCTTGTGGCCCCAGTGTTTGTGATCTTCATGACCTCCCTTCTTGCCGTGGTCATGATGATGGTGCCAGTGTTCGTGGTGGCCGCCCTCTCCGTGATGTCCTTTGTGGTCATGATGGTGACCTCCTTCCTCATGGTGACCCTTCTTGCCATGATGATGTTCGTGGTGTCCACCATGCTTGTGGCCTTTATGGAAGTGGCCTCCCTTTTTGTAGCCACCCTCGTGATGATGACCGCCATGATGTTCATGGTGTCCCTTTTCACCATGATGATCGTGGAAGTGCTTGTCCTTTTTGAATTCGTCATGTTTCTCAACTCCATGGTGTCCTTTCGTGTCATGACCTTTGTGCCAGTGACCATGCTCTTCGTGACCATGGCCGTGTTCGCCCTTTTCACCGTGATGATGATGGTGATGATAGCCGTCATCGTGGTGGTGATGCTTCTTGTGTCCGCCATGTTCGCCGTGGTGTCCCTTGTGCCCTTCATGGTGATGGTGTCCATGTTTACCATGGTGATGTTCGTGATGTCCCTTGTGTCCCTTATGGTCATGACCGCCATGGTCATGGTGGTGATGACCATGGTGTTCGTGACCGCCACCCTTGTCCCAGTGGTGACCCTTGTGGGATGCTGCAGGTGCCTGGTCGGCGTCCCTTTTCTCTCGAATGTCCCGGGCAGTGGCGACTGCCGCGAGGGCGAGTAGCCCGAACGCTATTATCAATCTCATTGTTGATTACGCTTGTTGCAGTTGCTGAATGATAGTTGCATCGGTGGCAATGATTTTATATACCAATAGCACTGCGACCGATTAGGTAAGTTCACGTTGTATAGTGTCAAGGTTGATACTGTACAGAGATTTCCACTTCCAGGTTAGAATATATTTTTGTGTCCGATTGAACTATGTCATAATATTCATCCCAATACGATACACCGATCGATATATAGGTATAACATGAGCTGTTACCGCGCTTCGTTTGCTTTTTTTGTACAATCTTTGTTATATATTTCTTTGGCAACGTTCCCTTATTAGTCGTCAAAAGATGACAGACACATTTTCGCATTTATAATTAATATTATGAAAGTAGATATGGTTAGTCTGATTTGATTTCAGTAATAATAACGCTTTTTAGAAATGTTTATAGAATATTAGAAAGTACTAGATTAGATATCTGGGTTTTATAGAAATGATATAGCTTGAAAATAAAATGATGCCTTCCCCTAGATGATTTTGTAAAAGATTTGAAATATATTCCAAGGGATCTTTTACATAAACCTTTTATTAGTAAATTGTAAGTTAAACCTAAAATAACATGATGTACTTTGTACTTACACTAGATGTTCGGTTGTACCCAAACTCGTAGATAGCAAGTGATGTAAGTATAATTTTCATTACAATTTATTCGATACATGTTAAATATAATTTTGTTAATTCAATTCGATAAATTTTCGTAGTATAAACGATAGTATGTTAAATACAAGTACCTGATTTCTTATCCAAAAGTAAGAGTATATTGAGTTACTCAGTGATTAGTGTAGGTATATACTGTACATGTTGAGTATCACCGCAGTTGGTTGAGACAACTAAGTTAAATATGATGCCTCTTCTAGTAGACTATTGCGTGGTTTAGTAGGAACAATACTATACATAGAGCAATATTACAAAAAACCATTTATGTTCATAACTGAAGAAATAAAAAAATAGCGATAATATCAACTAGTAAGATATAACCAATCTTACAAGTTATCGAGTAGTATACTAATACTAGCGCAGGGATTTCTATATTTTAGTATAAAAATATAGAGATCCCTGCAGTAATTGAATCCGTAATAATCCGTGCGAGTTCAAACTCTAGCAGTGTTCATCAACAGCATACCTACTACTGTTTGGTGATTGCTTCTTCGTTGCATAAAATGTTAATAATCACGTTTCAGTCATAGTGCAATCCAACACGTTCTCTTTGTTTTAGATTGAGCTCTCAATCTAAAACAAAGAGAACGTGTTGGATATTTTCTTTTTTCTCGTTTTTGAGTTTTATAAAAGTGTTATTTATGCATTTTATGTGCATTTTGAATTAGATAGAAACGTAGAAAAGATGTAGCAGATTTTGTTTCCCTAAAAAAATATAACATTATCTTCATCATTATGGTTTTACTTTCGTCCTCTATTGGTATCAAAGTGACTTTCAGGAGTTATAAACGATTTTTATGCAGCTTTAGACAATGAGTATAGTAACTATTGCCTTTATTCTACCTCAACATCTGTAGATTTACATAAATAATAAAATTATCACGACGTTAATTAATGAAATAGACGTAGATATTTTTATCTGAACGTGTCTGAACTGAAATAATACCCTACTGAAAACTTAAATATTTCGTGTACGCAAATGTGACTATGTGCTCGAGCATATTCGACACTCCCTTTTAATATTGTGATTAGTTATTATTGTTTTTGCTATAACTAATATAATTTATAATATTTAAAACGTTTTAATGCCATATAAGACTTTAGTAAATACAAGAATATTGAAACAAAATAAGAAGAACTTGAATTCCGCATAATTTCAGATTACCAATTGTGCCCGTTTCAAGTTAAATAACTTGTTACATGGTACGGGGTTCGCTTGGGATGAAGTTAATAATAAGAAAATATTACGTAATGGTGTAATGTAAGAATAATATTCATTTATTCAGAGTTGAATTTGTAATAAGGTTTTATGTAATGATATGAGATACGTACTATAAATAATGTCGAAGTCTACCTTTGAACGGTTTGGATGTAAGTTTAATAAAACAGATATATGAATGGGTAGTGGTTCTAAGATATGAATAAAGTAGTTGGATACTGGAAATGATAGATCTGTAACTTAGGTCACTAATTTCAGATTTACGAATTGGTTCAAGTACGAGAGAAAAAATAAGAAAAAAAATGAAAAATGATTATTGAGATTATATTATCTATTCTAATTCTCTGTATATACACTTCATATTCTCTAGGTAAACATATGTATATGTAGATAGAATATAGACTCTGAATAAAGAAACAACTACAAAGAATCAATCGACTAAGACTTGTCCCAAAGGGTACCGAAGTGTAATTGCGAGTTTATATGTATTTAAAAGAAAGAGTATATATCGGTGTGAATATGTGCAAAAGCTTATGTTGATTTAGGCTTGTGAAAAGAATATCGGATAATAAAAGTAGATTGACAAAGTAAAAGTAGAAATATGCAGGATTAACCTAACGTGACTTCAATTATAATACATATTACTATAATAAAATAATAATAAAAATAATAATAATCAGCCATCCCGGAGAGTCACTCAGACATGTGCTTTCGGGTTGTTCAGCTCTTGCCAACACTGAGTACTTGCACAGACACAACCAGGTAGCTAAAATACTCCATCAAGAGCTAGCTCTGAAGTACGGCCTCACGAATGAGAAGTTGCCGTATTACAAGTACGAGCCCCAGCCGGTCCTCGAAAGCGACAGCATCAGGCTCTACTGGGACCCATCCATCATCACGGACAGGGCCGTTCTTGCGAACAAACCTGATATCGTGGTGATGGATCGGGCACTCTCGAGGGTGTTTTTGGTGGACGTCACCATACCGCAAGACGAGAACCTCGTGACAACCGAAACCGAGAAAAAGAGAAAATATCTCGACCTGGCTCACAAGGTGACCGAAATGTGGGGGGTGGAGTCCACCGAAATCATTCCAATAGTTATGTCAGTGAACGGTCTTATCCCAACCAGTTTGGAACAACATCTCAGACGGTAGGGATTCCGCGGCGGGTCACTCCCGGGAAAGATGCAGAAAGCAGTGCTCGTAGATTCAGCCCGCATTGTACGCCGGTTTCTCTCCCTGGGGCCCTGAAACCCGGCCGACTGTGCTTCTGCCGGGGATAAGTTACCATCTCCTCTCCATAAGAGGGGAGATGAGAATTAAAAAAAAAAAGAATATAATAATATATATAGAGTAATAATAAACTATAAACTATATAAAACAAAACAAATATTTTTGAGGGTATACAGTTAAAAATCATTACCTCCCGTGCTAGTTAGATAACTGTGTTACGGCAAGGTAAGAATCTCGCACTATATGAATAGGGCTCATTTTTAAATGGCATATCAAACGGTTTTTATAATACAATGGGATCGTCAGCCGGCAACATTCTTTTGAATGTAATAATAACTTATTACAGTATATGTTAACGATACAGATAATTTAAGTATTTTTTTTTTAATGAATTTATGTTAAAGAAAAGAAAACCTAAAGATAAAATTTCTAATTCATGCTCCATATATCAAGATAAGTATTTATCCTATATATTTATATTAGTATAAAGTAATTATATATAGATAAAATATTATATTAGTATAGATTAAACTATACTAAGTTACATTATATTATAATATATTACATCATATTGTAAATGTATGTATATATATGTATGTATGATAGTTATTGTATTGTAATGTTGTTCTATTATGTAACTGCAATAACTTCCTCAGTGCCGGTATAGTCAAGTTTCAGTAAAAAATCTTGAAGTGTCCTTCTACAGTCATATTTATTTCTATTGTTTAACAATACTTTTTTATTAATGCGATTATAAAGTAATGGTCCAAGAAAATTAAAAAAGCTTTGTGCAAAAGTAGTTTTACATGTGGGTACTTTGTATACTTTGTGTGTTAATCTTTTAGAGTTATCCAAGTTAATTGGGTGAGAGTGTTGTTTTATAACAATTCTTTTTATATATAGCTGGCGTACTGTTAGCACCGTAAGCTCACGGTATAACTCTGTTGTGGGGTATCTAAATGGCTTAAATTTTAGAACTTTAAGGATAGCTCGTTGGGCGCGTTCCAATTTGATCAGAATGGTTTTCTTTGCTCCTCCCCAAGCTGAAATTCCATAAGTAATAATAGACTGACATAAAGATAAATAGACTATTTTACTAGTTTTATCGTCTCTTAATAAACTAATTTTCTTGAATATTGGTATGAGTTTACGAATTCGACACTTTAATGAGTCAATATGTTGTTTCCAGTTTAAAGTTTTGTCGATTATAATACCCAGATATTTAATATTATCTGTAGGAGAGAGAACAACACAGCCACAATTTCCATTTTCATATTGGGAACAGGTATGGGCTCTTATTGTAAAATCAGGCTTAGGTTGATTATTTTTGTATATTGAAAAAGTTAAATATTTAGTCTTACTTAGATTTAATGTTAGAATATTTTTGTCAAGCCAATTTATTATAACCCTTATTCCTTTCTCAACAGTTAGACGAACCTCCTCCCATGAAGGACCTGTAAATATTAGAACGGTATCATCCGCAAATGACACAATTTTTGTATTTGATAGGTTAAAATTAGAGAGATAATAACTAATATATATAGAGCCGTATCAAAGTAATTTAGTAATTGCACAGATATGTGGAGTTTAATTAATTTACTCCAACTTAGTATGACGAATATTTTTTGACACACTGTAATTAATGAAATGTTTTGTTATAATTATATAAATTTTAATATTGTTAATATATTTCATATATATAAGTTCAATGTTCAAATTTTCAAGCATCTATATAACCGTCATATTAACAATATAAATTTTCACAATAATTATTTTATATTTATTTATATACTATTGGTGCTCGCAGACAGTTGTAGATTGCCATCTATTGATGTTATGTTATTGAATAAATTGTAGTTAGTGTATTGTGAATTTTATTAAAATTAACTAGTCCTTGCGTATTTTTCCCAACTTTCTTTAAACCTACATGTGTATATTTAACAATATGTAAAACAATTTTTACGTGGATCATTAACACACAAATAGACAAATAAAAGATAAACAGACGGTTTTCCCCTCGACACGATTTCACGTTTTATTATATGTAAAGAAGATCTGTATAGCCTATGTATGAATAAACTTACCCATCAGGAGCTAAAATGAAGAGTGCGCAGAGATATTATTCAAATCTTATTAGGCCTAGAAACAGCGGTAGGTAACTCAGACCCCGACATGTTGGAATAAATATGTTCGGTGCCAAATATAGCAGTATATTAATGAATGGTATATTTTTGTGTACTACTTCTCAATAGGTAGATATTACATAATTTGAGGTCAGAGGTGTTAGAGGGTTTAATGTTAAAATTTGAAATTAACAATATTAACTGCATAATAAAATTACTTTAATCTCTTCTGTAGATCATTCTTTAAAATTCCGGTTTAAGTTGTCTTTTTGTAGAAAATTATGTATTTGCAAATGAGAATTAACGTTGTTACTATCGATACTTACTATATTCTGAGACTTTAATCGCTCCTTTATTTACAAAGTTTAATTATAGATTTATAATAAAATATTAATAAAGAAAAAATAATTTTATTTACGTATCACAAAATATTAACAATAACAAAGCACATCTTTTAATATATTTCTCTAACTCTAATGTTTTTATTTGTCCCCCTTTTTCCAGTCCCAACCTTTGTGTTCTTCATGACCTCCTTTGCTGCCATGGCCTTCATCGTGACCCCAGTGTTCATGATGGCCACCTTCATCGTGGTGACCTTTATGATCATGGTGATGGCGTCCCTCCTCATGGTGGCCCTTTTTGCCTTGTTCGTGCTCATGGAAACCGCCCTCTTTATGTCCCTTGTGGAAGTGCCCGCCCTTCTTATATCCATCTTCATGGTGGTGCCCACCGTAGCCTTCTTCGAAACCGGATTCGCCGTGTTTATCGTGGAAATGTTTGTCTTTCTTGAACTCATCTATTTTGTGTATGCCATGATGTCCTTTTGTCGAGTGTCCTTTGTGAAAGTGTCCCTTTTCTTCAAAGCCGTGGCCTTTATCCCCTTTCTCGCCGTGATGATGCTCATCGTAGTATCCTTCATCGTGATGATGGCCTTTCTTGTGGCCGCCGTGGTCACCATAGTAGCCCTTATGTCCTTCGTGATGGGAGTGTCCTTTCTTAGCATGATCATGTTCGTGGTGTTCTTTGTAACCCTTCTCGCCAAATCCGCCATGTTCGCCATGATGATGTCCATGGTGTTCACCACCGCCACCCTTTTCCCAGTGGTGGGAGCCCGCCGTTTCGAGATCAGCATTCCGTTTGTACCGTGTATCTCTTGCATGGACCGTAGCCACTACCAACAGTAAACACACCACAAGAAAAGCTCTCATCTTCTCCTGTTCTCCTGATTCTGTTGAGCAATGATTGCCAAATGATGCTTGTTACCGATTTCTCTAAGCTTATATAGTTATTGCCAATAATACAGTTGTTTTTAATGTCAGGGTAACTAGTAATGAGGGTCATAGGCGCGTGTCTGACCCGAATTATTTATTGACAATATTATTTAATTATATTTTTCGTATATATATAAAATGATTTGACAGGAAATTTTAACATTTTTACAAATGTGCACTAATTTTCATTGTTATTAATTTCATGTTATGTCTATGTATATCGTGGTTACAAAGATCACTATATTTGAAATTAACACACTATTTTGATTTTATATACTTGTATAAAAATGTAGGTAAAAGATTAAAAAGGAATTGTTGTAATTGGTTATGAATTAAATATACGGATTATGGTAGTGAATTACTATAATATGAGCTTTTGAAAAGAAATTTAAAAACCTTTTAGTATTTCATAACTTTTATTATTTCAGTCCGATTATATTTTTTATGTTACAATACATACTTTAGATTAAAAAGCATCTTTTTTGGCAATTGATAGGTAATAGTTTCTTAAAACCCTACATAAGTTTCTTATGTCCCGTGTGGGTCTTATACAAATTTTATACTGAAAGTTATTTTAAAAATAAAATTTATTTTTTATGGGATAAAATATACTATGAAGTAATTATTCCAACTACCTGACAGTTAACGGTACATAATAACTATTGTCGATAGACGTAAATATAATATCAAGAAAATCATACAATATTCTTGTCTTCAGATCAAGAAGCACTGTTACATGACGGAACACAGCTAAACGATTACTATTTTAAAATGCGGTTTTGAACAATCATTTTGTTGTAGGGTTTTATTTAGAAGTTTTATGCACTCACACAATTTTGGATAATGTTATGTGTTTAAGTATATACTATAGTAAAATAAATAATACTTACTTGGTAAAATTGTAGTCTTATAAATATGAATATTTATCAAATAATGCGACTTATGGCAATGTTTCTATTGCAATTTAAAATCTCTAATACTAAAATTTATTTTCAAGAAAATTAATGATATTTATGATATGACCGTAGATGAAACCGATATTTTAGTCTGGAAAATATTTGTAGTAAACCTAAACTGACGAAAATAAAACACGCATCCCAAACCGTTGAATAAGTTAAGCTGAAATTTAGCATGACATTTGCCTAAAAATGGAGTTCTAAAAATACTAATGGTAAAAGCTTGTTTAGAAATTAGTTTTTTAACTTAGAGGCACAGATTAAAAGCGAATGAATTTCTCACAAATACGATGTCACTCAAACTTTTGATATTTACCTACGTGGGCAGACATATTTAACAGTTTCTTTGAATCTTGACTCAATTGTGAAGAGCTAAATACCGCTTTTTTACTGGAAAATGGTTGATTTTTTTATTTAATTGATATCACAATGAAATAATATAAAAATCAATTATTTCTTATACGAAATATTACTAAATACTATTTAAGTACTTATAAGTTTTTAATGTTGACAATTACGAATAGTCTGAAGAGATGAGACTTGACTGGCCACTGTTTTCACCGAAGTCAAGGGCGTCTCGTGTCAAGGTGTAGTTGCGAAGGCGTCGCCCCCATTTTTTTAATAAGCTTTGTTTGAACAAATTTCTTCTGAGCTATTTCTTGCGTCACAATTTCCGGTCCGGTGCACGCGAGTCAGTCCAATAGGTGCGAATGCAGCCACCGAGACTTACGTGCGTGATCATCCTATAATTTAAATTATATATTACATATATATTAAAATACTCATACAAGGATTTTTTTCATCTACAGCTGCAATAAAAAAGACATTTGAAATTGATGAATAAAATGTAAAAGACAATAATGATATTTGGCCAAAATAGTATTATTTTAAATGTTAATATACGACACCTAAATATTAAGTAAATAAAATATTATAAACTATAATTTTAAAATTAATTTATTTTAATAGAGTAGGCACCTAGCTCCGGTACTTAGATTCCTTAATTTATTCCGTATCTAAATGTCATAATTTGCTTACGGAAATTCGTTCTACTAGTCAACGTAGTTCTGATGATAAAGAACGTCTGGTACCTACCAATCTAACCATGCCATTTAATTGAATAAAATTTAGTGCAAGTGGTGAAAATAAATATAATAAACCGATAAAAAATCTATTAAAGAAAACAATAGATTTGGCGGTCTGAAGATTTGTATAATAAACATATAGTACAAAACTACTAATGAATTAATACTGACGACGGTAGTGGCAGTGGGCTTGCTGTTGGAGGCGGTTTATATGAATAGTCGGCAACGGCTACTGGCATATCTCGCCCTACCATAGCCTAATATTCGAGGATCTGGTAGGATATCTAAAGAACACACAGCCAAAAAGGAACATAGATCTTGTTTTCATTGCTTAATTTCACCGTCAATTAAGAAATTTTTCGTTGATTTTTCGTAGCATAAAATATAAATCCGAAAGCAGTTACAATTTTCTGAATAGACTTATTATTATTAGAATAGATTGATTAAAACCCAATGTAAATATAAAAAGACGTCTACGTGGTTCCTCAACCTCACCTATTTCAGCGGCCAAGTAGCTCGCTTTGTAAAGCTTTCAGTTGATGAAGGGTGAGATAAGGCTGTGAAACACGGTAAAAACAGGTCCTTTTATTCTACTTGTACTCGGACGATATTATTTTAATATTTCCTCGATTTGAATATTGAAATTTTAATTTAGAATAAATTTTGTATAATATACCGACCATAATAATAATATGCTAATAATTAGAATAACATGTAAATTCGTAATAGTAGTGCAAATGAATAAAATCATAGTTCATTTTTCTGAAATCACGTAACACCAAATGTAATTACAATGTACTGTCTGGTAATCCGAGCTTAAACTAAACCGAATCTCTTGCGAAATTCCATCAAGGCTTGGGGTCGGCTGACAGCGACCAGACCGATAGTCTGATAACTCGGATCTTTTAATGCCTTTACTTACAGTTCGCGGCTACAGATGTTGCTTATTTTAAGTCGGTACGATTTTATATACCAAACAATTTTAATTACGTTCATATAATTATCGTCACTATCATGTTTGTAATATTCTTTTAAAAAACTGTTATTCAGTCTTTCTTAATTAATAGTTTGATACAAAATTTGATACTTTATTTATTTCACTCCTTAAACCCAATAGTAAAAAAAAATCCCCATCTTTTACGAATGTCGAGACGACTAAAAACGCCGTGTTACGCAAATCATATTAGAATTTGCATTAAAATGGACTACTCTCCTGTCGAGGATGTAACATTAACAGAGTACTAGGTATAATCTTATCGGCGGGTTATACAAAGTAAATTCTATTATGATTCACGTCAAGGGCTTCATGTACAAGGACTCCTGACACCAGTGAGCGCCGCCATCTTTGAATTAGTTGTAATGAGTTAAATTTATTAATTAATATTCCTATAATATTAATTTCAAAATTTATTTGGAGATATTATTAATATTATGCCCACAAATAGGTTCTACTACGACTTTATGTTATATTATAAATACAATCATGGATAGTAATAAAAAATACAATTTTATAATAATAACTAATATTTGTATTATGATCCTTATGCTCAAATTATATGACTTTATATGTAAATTAAATATACTAGGACATTTACATCAGTGGCGGCTTTTTTTGCATTCATTTTGCAGAAATATATTTTCCCTGAACTATAATGGCAAGAGGGGCTTTTTTTATTTCAATAAATGTAGGTTTCTGGACTAAAATAGTATGGTATGACTAAAATACTAAATTAGTATTTGATAATGTATAGTCCCATTATCTATATATTATATTATAATTAGTTTAAATGCATATATAATTTTAAGTCAGTAAAGAACGAAAGGAATAAAATAAAATTGCGTCATTACTATTAACCACGACGTTGCAATTGCTCGTAAACTCATTTGTGCTTCTGGTACACTTTTTGAAAACAATAATGTAATGACGATGCCTTATATGCTGGCGGGGCATCAACATCAGATTAAAGGAAGATGATGAACTCAGATCCTCGTTGTTGGTGGCAGTTATTGTGGTGAATTTGACTTTCAGATTCTTCAGAAAATAACTATTCAATATTTTAGCAGGTAACAACCTTTTAGAGACATCGCTCAGTAGGGTCTAGTCTATGTTACTAACAGTCTTCCTGTTTCTGGCAGGGTTCAATAAAGGGTATTATTATATAATGATCTATATTTGTAAGAGTAATATAATAGGAGCACCTCGCAAATCAGTCATAGGAAACTTAAGTCATGAACTAGCGCTTTGAGATGTTTAAAAAAAGAGTTCAGAATGTAGATTCAAAACGTACGAACCTGTGGGATGATTTGATTGCGTATATCTATACGGTTGTTTATATTTAGTAGGCCCAATGTGCACGTAACGGGTCCACACGACGTGAGCCGCCCCTTTAATAAGTTCCCTCTTTGGCACAGTACTAAAATAAAATTCTGTGACATTCGTTCAAGTCCAAGGTTAGAATTCGTTTTGGATTCAACCAACGATCAACGTTATTCTATGTAACTGAAACAATCTCGGACAATGATATAAAAAAAATATGAATGAAGCCTCTCATGTCTTATTACTATTACTTATACAAAAGTAAAGTTATTTGAAATTTTGTTAAGTTAAATGAAAATGAAAGGAGTTTGAAAATACATTTTATAATCTTAGTTAAATGTTTATGCGTAGTAGAACTGATAGTTTTTACTATGCATATAAATAAAAATGAATATATCAAATCTAACATACACATAATATATTTTTTCGCTCAACATACATATATCAGCGGACCTAGCAAACGTTGTCTGTCCGGAAAATCACCATCACCTCACCATCACTAGGTCGAATTATTTCTTCAAATCCTTCAGGAACCCAATGAAAAATACCCTGAAAAGTTATCCAAGTCGCTCCAGCAGTTTAGGAGGATTTACCTAA